GGTCGCGGTCCTCGGTATCGGCGGTCTCGGCCACCTCGGTATTCAGTGGGCTGTCGCGCTCGGTGCCGAAGTCACGGCGCTCTCGTCGTCGGCGGCCAAGGAAGACGAGTGCAAGAACGTGCTCGGCGCGCACCACTACCTCAACTACAGCGACCCGGAGGCTGTCAAGGCGGCGGCGCAGTCGTTTGACATTCTGCTCTGCACGTCGTACGGCGACAAGACCAACTGGGATTTTCTCTTTAGCCTCGTCGCAACGGAAGGCAAGTTTATCCTCGTGGGCCTCCCGGAGAAGCCGATTTCGTTCATGGCGTTCTCGGTCGTGCCGCGTCAGATCACGTTTGTCGGGTCGCTCATCGGGTCGCCCGAGACGATCGAAGAGATGCTGGAGTTTGCTGTCGAGAAGAACGTGCGCTCGATCGTGCAGGTGATGCCCATGGCCGAAGCGTCCGCTGCGTTGAAGAAGGTTCGTGCCGGCGATGTCCGCTTCCGCATTGTGCTTCAAAACTAAAGGGTTGCGCCCTTTCACCCTTGTCAGGCAGACTTATAGTGCTGACTAACGCGAAAAAGTGTTCTATCTATCTATCTATCTATCTATCTATCTATCTATCTATCTATCTATCTATCTTCGCATTTTCCGAAGTGTGAGGTTCGGACGCGGCTGTTGAAGATGCTGCTGACAACACTACATTGGGCCGTGTAAACCCTCCAACACCCGACTTTTGTGAAACTACGCTAAACCCTTTGACACCGTTGGCGCATAATGCGCATAATGGATCCAACCCCAATCCAATGGTTGTACAGTATGAACTACGCAACGAGCACCGCATCGACGTGTACATGAGCGACCCCGCACTTGTAGCCTGGCACTACGACGACAAGTCTGACTGTCAGAGCGCTTGTGGCAGCATGGCAGTGCTGGTCGTTCTAGAAGTTTCCTCGACTGCAGAGTTCCACAGCGACCTTGTATACTCCTGCGAGGGACGTCGCGTCAAGCTTGGACCGAAACACCGTAGGCATTTATTGTTGAAGTCAACAAACTACTCGGACATCGCGCCAAGAAGCCCCGCGATGTTGACTGATCAAACGGATCAAACAAGCCGCCATGGTCCACTCGATTATCCGAAGCAGATTTTGGATCATCTTTTTTTGTACATGTATGCCGTTATGAATATAGATAATCAAAAGACAGATTTCGTCGGGATCTCGAAGGCATGCTCATCGCACATAGCGACTTTACGACGCCGACAGGATCTCGATAGCGTGTGGGGCTTACTGTACCCGAGGTACGCTACATAGGAAAGCAGGTCGTCCTGCACTTGATGCTATTAGATGCACGATCCATCACCGGTGCTACAGCATCGCGCGGCCTCTTATGTGTTGAAGCCAATGACGGAAGCCGTCGTCGAATACACAGAGCCCACCGTATGCGTGCCTTGTCCCTGGTTGCTACTTGAAGTACACGGCGAGGTTGAAGGCGATCGAACGTCTCCGACGCAATGAGCTCAAGAAGCACCATCCCAAGCTTGGACTGATGTGCGCTAGCATGCTATAGTATACGACGTGACCTTCCGAGTGCTTTGCAGGAGGAACCCCAAGGATTGGAACCGAACCATACCCGTCCGATTCCAGTTTGACACGCAAACGCCATTGGCCAACGCGGCGGCCAATCAGATGGTCGTGTCGCTGCATGGATCGCAGGTATCTTTTCACTTTCCGTTTACTAGTGTCATGAAGACTCAAAACGCCACAGCACCCGCACTCGAGCCGATCGGCTTCCTCACACTGGTGCGGCAGCCCGACCTGCTCCCGTACATGACGCAGTTCCAGCACGGAAGTCCAAAGGAGCTTGCGACTGCCTTCAAAAAGTACCGGCGGCAGCTCACCAAGTCTGCATACGCGCACATTGATGCCGAGAACCACAGTGTCTTGCGCTGCTTTGTGCTCTTTCGACTTCTCGCTGATGGTCGATCGAGCCTCGCGCAGCTCTGTCTGCGCCACTACCCGGACGGGTACATGGTCCCGCGCCTCCCGGTGACAGAGCTCTATGCAATGGACGCTGCGGCGCGCCTCGGAGATGTCGTTGTGCTCGCGTTTCTCCACAAGCACGATCTCGGACGGTGCAGCGCCAGTGCTATGGACGTGGCCGCGGCAACGGGGCATTTGTCGGTCGTGCGCTTTCTGCACCGACACCGGCGCGAAGGCTGCACGCAGCTGGCGTTTACACTAGCCCGTCGACACGGACATATCAAGGTGCTGCAGTACCTCACTACGCACTGCGCCGAGTTTGAGCGCCGGCAAAGCGTGCCGCGACATTCGGGCAAAGACGCGGTCGTCGCTGGCGGCATGGTCGCCTCAAGCTGCATGATACAGTAGCGCATTTGAATGAAGATGCGAGTATCAGTATATTTCAATGTGCGTTGTTTAACGACTTGGGCTCACTGCGACCCTCGGAGTGAAATGGCTCGGACGTATCGAGCAAAAGGGTTGCGGTGCAGCCTGAAGTTGGATCTGATCTGATAGAACGTCACCAGTGCTCCGGTTGTCGGGAGCTACCGGTACTGCATGAGGTGTTTCATGCACTAGTATGGCGCCCTTGACGGTGCGCAATGGCCCCGAGAGGACAGTTGTTGCCATTATCGAGGTGGGCTGTAGCAGGACTGCAAATGGGAACGGAGGGTGTTATTGAAAGGGTACTCGCATACGAGTTTCAAACGACGTTTTCGGAGTACTTCTACTCATGAAAGAACCCGAGACAATGCGGATGGAAGACAATCAGAGCTCCTTGCCTGACAATGATTCCTAACAGTACCGCACCACGCTGGACATGGCTAGGACAACCCTTCAACTACAGCGCCCGCCCGCCTGGCTCATGGGATTCTTCACGCTGGTCTCGCAGAGCGAGCAGACACGCAGGATGCGTGTGCGAGCGCGCGTTGTTGATGCGAGACGGAGCAAGCACATCCTTTGTCCAATCTCCGCAAAGGCCTGTCACATGCGCCGTCAATTTTGCCCGTGGGAGGTTTTCCATAGCAAAATCGAATCTGGGCTAACGTCACGTGCCATGTCGCGTGGTCCACATCCCTATTAACCACAAAACACACAAAACCCACCATGAGAAACCCGGCGTGGGAATGCGAAATGTGCAATCACCGGATTCCTGCGCTGTGATTGGCGTGCCACCAACCAATCGCGTGGCACGTTGCCGTATCTGGCTGCCGCCCGCGCGGAGCCAGAGGCACGGCAGCCGCAAGGCGCATCTCATCGCGTAATACGAGCATTCCTCCATTGAACACGCACGTGCACGATGAAGCCGCTGTTCCGCCACGCCAAGACCACATCGCCGCGGCAAAGTCTCTCGGCGCATGGTCGACCCCAATCGGCCGTGCTCGATGTCCTCACGCAGCCGGATCTGCTGCCACTCATCGCCGCCTACCAAGCCGGCACGTCGCGCGAGCTCGCTCGGATCTTCAAAAAGTACCGGCAACAGCTCCACAAGCCCGAGTATGCCATGGTCAACAGCGACGATCCGAGCGAGTTTCGCTGCTTTGTGCTCTTCAAGCTCCTCTCGGACGGCAAGACCCCGGGCGTGCATCTTCTTTTGCGCGAGTTTCCCGACGGCTACAGTTGTCCCAAGATGAAAGCTGCGGCCGACCTCTATGCGATTGACGCCGCATGCCGCCTCGGCGATTTGAACGTTGTCAAGTTTCTCCACGAACACCACTTGGGTTTGTGCAGTCAAGCCGCGATGGACGCGGCGGCGTCCAGCGGAAGCCTCTCGATCGTCAAGTACCTTCACCGCCACCGCGACGAGGGGTGCACCCCCCTTGCGCTCGCCCACGCCAAGCGCTTTGGGCACATCAAGATCTTCAACTACCTCGCCACGCACGTCGCAACAAACGAGACGCCGATTCGTGAAAAGTCGGCGCTCACAGCCCGCGACACGGTGGCCGCCACGAGCGACTGCTGCATTCAATAGTCCCGGCACATTTATAGTCTAGTTGGCAGAGTTAATTTTTCTTATTTATGCAAAATACCGCACATCATTGTCAATACATTGCCGACAATTGCTCTTTGGGTTGTAGTACATGTAAAAGCAACGTCGTTTTTTCGTCAAAGTAGTAGGGACACGGGTATTCCTTGTTGTCTGACGTACTCGCTACCAAATAACTATACTATCGACAGTTCCGCTCGAGTTTATGGACAATATGTCCAATTCGCTCGCGTCCCTTCTTCGTTCTGGCGATTACGCGCGAAAGCCGAGGTGCAAGCACCCCTCGACGCGTTGTAGCACAATCGTCATCATCCTCGTGTTGACGGCAAGCGCAAGATTCGACATTGGGAAAATCGAAGTTCGAAGTGACACACGAACGGGCGTTGGCAGCCATTGCCTGCGTAGTTCGAAGTTGTGCGGGCGAATTGTGGTTCTCGCTTGTGCTGCCACGTGGCGGCGCTTGTTTTATTCTTTTCATTGTGATGCATACGAAGTATGAGCTTCAATAAATTATTGGTTTAAAAACAGCGCCACCGCATCGAGATGAGCAATGCGGCGACGGCTTGCACCCACCCACTGCGAGATCCGGCGCCGATGACCAACATGATGGAGCGGCCTGCGTCGGTCTCGGACCGCGTCTTGACGTCCGGCCGGCGGCTTAAGATGGGCCTCTCGTCGCTCAAGTCGATCGAGATCCGCGAAACGACCGCGGCCCTGCGCATCCAGCAGTTCTACCGCAAGTACCTCGTCAAGTGCAGCCGGCCGCTTGTCGTGCGCCCGCCCGCCAGCTCCAAGAAGCTCAAGGTCACGAACGACACGCTCGCGCTCACGACGGCGTTCTTCACGTCCACGATGGCGTCCACGAAGCAGCTCCATGCGCGCGAAATGCTTCACAAGCCGACGCTCGTCGACGACCATGCACCGGTCGCGCACGTGGACCTCAAGGCCGCCGAGCCTGCGCTCCTATCGGCCGCAATGAAGGAGCTCGCCGCGCTTCGATGCTCGAGCCCGTCCGAGGCCGACGTCACGGACGCCGACCTTTTGGTTCACGACCAATTTGTCAACATGATGCACGAAAAGTGGCTCCTTTGCAACACGGCCGAGCGCCAGCGCATCCACGAGCCGTCGACAGAGACAAAGCTGCCGTTCTACGCGGCGGTCTGCGACGTGCGTCCGTGGTTCTCGGACCTCGTCTTCGTGGCGCGTGGCGGGCCCATCGTGCCGCATGTGCAGCAGGTAACACGTCGTCTTGCGCATCATCGCATGACGCCACCATGCGCGAATAGGTAATGACGGGCCCATCGAGTGCCAAGCACCTACGTGGCGTGATCGCTGCCATCACGGCGCTCAATGCGACCGAGCAGTGGGCGCCCGACGCCACATCGCTCTTGCCCAAGGTCCGCAAGCTCTTCTGGACGATGCGGTCTGAAATGATGATGCCCATGGTGCGTTCGATCGGGTACATTCTCTGCAAATGCTGGCGCGTCCTCTTCGACGGCCTGTACATTGACACGGCGTCCATCGCGAAGCTGCAAGACCTCGTCGCGCGCCTTGGACCGAACGTGAGCCTCGTCTTTACGCCGACGCACAAGTCGCACTTGGACTACCTCATTGTGAGCTTTGTCTGCTTTGCGTATGGCCTCCCGCTGCCGCGCATTGCCGCCGGCAACAACCTCAACCTGCCGCTCGTCGGCCGGTACTTGCGTTCGAACGGCAGCTTCTTCATCCGCCGGTCGTTCCAAGGCGATACGCTCTACAAGAAGTGCTCACGTCGTACGTCCATCAACTCTTGGCCGACGGCGCGCCGTTGGAAGTGTTTGTCGAAGGCGGGCGGTCGCGCCACGGCCGCGTCCTGTCGCCCAAATTTGGCTTCTTCCACATGATTGCGTCCTTCTTGGAGATGCACCCGCAAAAGGCGGTGGTCATTGTACCGCTCTCGATCGATTACGACAAAGTCCTCGAAGTCCCCGACTACGTCGCGCAGCTCCTCGGCACCCCCAAGCAGAAAGAGTCCATCTGGAACCTCCTCCAATCGGTCGTCTCGCTTCTCTTTAATCGGTGCGGCTTTTGCTACGTCCGCCTCGGCGCGCCGATCACGATGCACGCCGAGTCGTCCATGGAGCAGCTCGGCGCGTCGGTCGTTTGCCGCATGCAAACCGCCGGAACGATCACCAGTACGTGCTTGGTGGCCACGATCTTGCTGGCGTCGCGCGATGCTCCGTTGACGCGCGCGCAGCTCGAGGCCCAAGTGTGCTGGCTGCAGACGACGCTTGTGACCCGGGGTGCGACGCTTGCGCCGTTCTCGAGTCTCGAGACGCTGATTGACCACGCGTTGCGGCTGCTTGATCTGCCATTGACGGCGCCGTTTCTGCCGACGCCTCTTGATGCGAGCTGCATGCTGCGCTTGGCGTACTACCGGAACCACCTGCTGCACCACTTTCTCCCCGAGATGTGCTTGGCGACGCTGATCACATCGTACGCGACCTTTACGCTGGCCGATGTGGCACGGGATCTCGCGCTGCCATGGGCGTTGTGCACGCGACTGTGCCCCGGGGCATCCTCGGTGCCCGCCCTCGACGCGTCGCACATGCAAGCGTTCATCGCGTCCGTGCCGATCCATGCCGTGGGTGACGGCGTCTACAACGTGGACGCCGCTGCGTATGCAAAAGACCCGCTCGTGCAACTGGCCACGTCGCTCTTGTGGCCGTTCATGGACGCGGTGGCGCTCGTGCTCCGCGTGCTCGAGTCGCACGTGGCGCTTCTGAACGACAAGCATCCCGGGAAGCGGCATCAGTTTTCCGAGCGCCACGTCATTTCGTGGATCCACAAGGAGACGCCGGTGGGCGCGATCGACCATGCCGAGGCCATGAGCATGGAGAACATCAAGGTCGCGCTCCACGCGCTCGTCGATAGCCACGTCGTGCTCAATGACGCGCGGGTGTTTGAACTGGCGCCGGCGTACGCGAGCGTCATGTCGCTCTCGACGGTGCGTCGGACGCTGCTCCGCAAGCCACGCCGGCAGCGGTGGCACGTCGCCGCCGCGAGTGGGCCGCGCGCGTTGCCGTGGGGACACCTCGCACTGCTGTTGCTGTAGACGTGTGAAAATTTACAATTGGAATAGATCAACATTTTATGCGTGCTATGTACTACTCTAGACTTCATCTTGGTGGACGTACGCCGTCGCCGCCGCCGCTACAAAAGAAGGGATTGCTTTCAGATCGCCGTGACGAAGGGCAGTGGATACCTCGCCGCTTCTTGCAGCGGTACACAAACAAGGCAATGAGCGCGAGACCGATCAAGCACCCGCCGCCGATGAAGAGTCCCAGTGCCCAGCTCGGCGACTTGCCTGCAGAGTATCCGTCAATAATGAGATCTGGAGGACAAGAAGTCACGCACCGGAGAAGTCGAGGATGTTGGCGCCGCCGCCGCAGTTGCCATTCGCGCAGTAGAACGTGACGGCTTGCTCACGCACGAGGTACGACGTGTAGTAGACCTTGAGGAACGTGTCGCCAATGATCCAGCGGTCGCCGGACGAGCCACCGGGCGGCGTCATTTGGAGCTGGATGAGAATTTGGGTCTCGGAAAACACCATCGAGTAGTCCCACGCGTTGAGGTAAAAGGTCGTGCCGTGGATCTTGAGCCCAATGCGCGGCAGTTGAACGTCTTTGGGGCAAACGTAGTAGGATGCTTGCCACATGCACTGCTGCGGCAGAAGGTGCGTCGAGGCAAACTACAGAAGGATGAGGCAACGCCATCATCTTGTATGCAATAATACCTGCACAAAGAGGAAGCGGGGCATCGAGAGAAAGGTCGTGCCCGAGTCGACGACCGCGATGCAGCCGTGGACGGTGTTCTTGCACGGCGCTGTGCTGTTGTCGTTGGTGCTATAGCTCTCGAGAAGGATGTTCCAGTGCGACGTTTGGTTAGGTGCAAGCGGGACCGTGACGCCGACCAAGCTCTGCTTGGCAATGAGCGCATCGTCGACGCCGTTAAGGATCAAGGACGACCCGGACGCGTCTGGCACGGACGTCAAGAACATGCTAAAGCTCTCGAGGTGGCTCATGAGGTACGACGCGTTGGACGTCGTGTTGAACGTCGACAGCACCGGGTACGCAAGGCCGAGGATGCCGTTCGTGGCGTTCGTGAGCACGTTGTTGGCCATGCCAATGCCGTAGACGCCGTCGGCGAGGGCGAGGCTGCCCAGCGCCACGGCGCCGCGCTTGGGAAGGAGGCACGCGTCGCCGCTGCCATAGTAGATGCTCACGCCGCCGGCGGGGCACGGCGAGACGCACGAAGCGCTCGAGACCGCCGTGCATGCGACCCAGAGATCCGCCGAGCCCGTGTCGACTTGGACGTTGTAGTCCTTGCCGTCGATGGTGACGCGAACAATGTACTGCGTCGCGAGGTGGTTCTGAATCGCGACGGTAGAGGTGGCGGTGCTGAGTGCCCGCGGAAGGCGGGTCATGGGCAGCGCGAGGCGCGGCAAGGCAGCAGCCATGGCGAGGCCAAGCAAGAGAACAAGCCGGGCGAGCATCGTGGTCGAGTACGGGTGTTGGACCGTGGGTGGCGTCCGGGGCGGAACGGAGTGTGTTCACAAAGTCGCAGCATGCTTGAACTTGGCCGGCTGGATGCCAAAAGGGTGGGATGGTGTTCGTCGGCTTGTGACGTCTTTCTACGTTTTTTCTGTTTAAACAGAATCAATCCAGCTACCATGGTTCAACGCTACGGTTCAACGCAGCGTCTTGCCACGTTTTTTAATAAACGCATTTAACCATGAGGGCATTGCAAGCAACACCGCCAGCTGGATACTGTCACTATTTGCAACAATACGGTCCTTTCTCGCGCGAAATAGTGTGTATTTTGAGCTCAGACACATTGCGACTACCTTGTGGCGGCGCCGTAGGCGTGGGATGCACCCGTCTCCTCGGACGACGAGTTGTCGTCGACGACCCACACCGATTGACACGGTCGCTTCGACGCGCCTAATGGCGTGTCTGTGAGATGCATGTCGACGAAAAGGAAATAGTGTTACCGGTGCGGCGCCGGTAGTAGTGACACCACGCGACCAGCCCGAGGAGGCCGAGTCCGACAAGGCACCCACCCGCAATGATCAGAATGAGCGCCCAGGTCGGCATGCCCGCTGCATAGTACCAGACGTAAATCCAGGTGCACACATATCGGTTGAGAGGGCACCTGAAAAGTCGAGGAGGTTGTCGCCACCGGCGCAGTTGCCACTTTTGCAGTAGAAGACGACCGCCTTCTCCGACACCTTGTATGTCGTGTAGTAGACCTTGAGAAAGGTGTCGCCAATGATCCAGCGGTCCACGAGGCGGCCGGATGGCGTCGCTTGGAGCTGCACAATGATCTCGGTCGGCGAGAAGACGAGCGAGTAGTCCCACGGATTGAGGTAAAACAGCGTCGCGCTGTCGCCGAACGCGAACGCGAGGCGTGGGAGCGCAATCGTGCTTGGGCACGTGTAGTAATCCCCTCGGAACACGCAGTTGTGGGGCAGAAGGTACGTGGCGACAAACTATTTCAGCCGTCAACCATCATCACTCGAGCACGTGGCAGTCGTCGTACGGGCTGGAAGACAGCTTTCGGCATCGCCAAGAACGACGTGCCCGAGTCAACAATCGCGAGGCAGCCGCCGTTCTTGCACGGTTTGAGATTCCACGGAACACTGCCGCCTTCCACGCTGAACTGCGAGACGTTGATGTTCCAGTAGTCTTGTTCGCCGGTCGCGAGCGGGATCGTGTACCCGACGAGGTTGTCTTTGGCGACCATGGCGTCGTCGACACCGTTCAGCACGAGCTTGGAGCCTGGCGCGTCGGCTTGAGGCGTCAAGTACATGCTAAAGCTGTCGAGATGGAAGACAGCGTACGACGACGTGTTGGCCAGCGACCGGTACGACGAGAGGCCGGGGAACGCCAGCCCCAAGATGCCTTGGCTCACGTTGGTGGGAAGGCTGCTCGTCATGGCAATGCCGTAGACGCCGTTCGAGACGGCGACGCTGCCGATCACGACGGACCCATTCTGTGGCACGACGCACGCGCTGCCGCTGCCGTACGTGATGGTGATGGCCGTCGACGGGCAAGGGCTCACGCACGCCGAAGACGAGATGTAGTCACAGGTGACCCAGAGGTCGGCCGAGCCAGTGTCGATCTGTACCGTGTACGACTTGCCCTCGATGGCGACGTTGACCAAGTACTGCGTGCTGCCGTGGTTGATCAGCTCGACGCTCGACGTCGCTAGGCGCCGGTGCATCGGCAGCTCTTGCCGATAGAATGACGTGGCGGCGCTAGCGGCTACAAGCGATGCGCAGCAGAAGGCGCGAAGTGCGTGCATCGAGGCAATGATGGGCACTCGGCAACGAGCGGGATGTCGGTCACAATCCTATTTCCGGATAATGCCACCGGATAAGAACCCTGCCTTGTGATTGGCGCACGCGGCAAGTATCCAGCGTCAACCCACGCCGCCACGAGGCGGCACGACTGAACTTGACCGACAACCTTGCATAACCGGCGTCGCGCGGACGAGGAAGGAGCGCGATAGCTTACATGCAAGCTACCGTGGAGCAACATGCGAGAGCTGTGCACTTGATCTTAGTGTTATGCCAAACTGCGAGGGACCGACAACGAGTTCGAGCGTGCAATAAAGACCTTCGGTTCCCACACCGTCGACTGCAGTAACGTTGTTGGAGGAGCGCGTTCTGCTTGGGTCTAGAAACTCGAAGCTTCTCATCATTGCCGTATTTAAAACTATTGAGGGGCGAGGTGTAAATGCCCATGTGCTGCCTCTTGGTCCAGCTCCTCATCCACGCCCACAGCCCACGATGATACCAACGATCTTCGTGCAAGGATCAATGGTAAAAACGCCTGCCAATGACAACACACTGCAGTACCGTACCGGTACGAGGCGGCGGTGCGGGCATGTCAGCCTGACACGTTGTGTGCTTCCCAGCGACCGCATGCTGGAAAAAGTGCCGAAGCGTCGGCGCATGTTCCAAGGAACAAACGCGCGTTCGTTCTCGAAACGATTCGAGCGCGTCCAGCGCATCACAGTTCTCAATCATCCAACATGACCAACGCCAAGGTGATGTGCGTCACAGTGGCGACACGTGCTAGCACCTGCTCGACGGCGATGGCCCCGTCCGACAAGAATCCCGCGCACGCGACATGCGGCGACGACCTCGCGGCAAAGACGACAACGGCCGAGCACAAGAATACAAGCATCACGGACGCCGCGGCGAGCGGACACTTGGCATCCCAGGTTCGACTCGGCACCCAGCTGGTGCAAGTGCCGGGGAGACACGACGAAGGCTACCAGTGGACGCTTGTCGCAGCGCAGCGCGGCGCTGGCGAGGCCCAACTCTTACTGGCAAAGCTCCTCGCGCTCGGCCACGGCTGCAGTCGAGACAAGCCCATGGCGCTTCGCTGGCTCAAACGAGCGCGTCTCCACAACGGCAACCAAATCTCGGACGATGACGTGGCATGCGCCAAGCACATGATTGCGATCGGCGAAAAGGTGTGCGCACGCGAACGGCTCTTCAAGTGGTCAACCAACACGCTCTCGATCTCGGGTCGCGTCCAGAGATTTCAGTCGCATGACGACGACGCGTCATCGCTGTGCTTTGGCGACGTTCTCGCGCAGATGGTCGCGCGGAGCAAGAATGGGTCGTCGGTGGCCCGCGACTTTGTCCAAGGCTACACGACACTCAAGGCTGGTGTTCACTTGCTCGAGGCCGGTGATATCACTCGCGGCATCGCGACCGTGCGGCAGGCCCATCGGTTTTGGAATCCGCTGGATGTGCCGCGTGACGTGGGCGTGGTCGTGCAGCAAGCGGCGCGTCGCCTCCTCGACGCTAGCCCCTCGGACGCCGATGCACTGTATGTCGAGGGAGTTTACGGCGTGAAGGCCACGCCGGCGATCTATTGGCTCCACTGCACGACGTTGCACCCAACATGCGCCGCCTTCCACCACGCACTCGGCGCTGTCTATGCGTCTGCGGGCCAGTACGAGAGTGCGCTACGATCGTTCACAAAGGCCATTGCGGTCGCCACCGACGCCACCTCCAACGAAACGCTGACGTGGTGCTACGAGCGCGCGGCGTGCCTTCGAAAGCTACTGGGGACAGGCCTCGCGTCGGTGGCGTCCGCTGTCGCTGCCTACGAAGGTTACGTGCGCGCTGCGCCGCGCGACCACCGCAAGGTGCCCGAGGCATGGTACGCACTCGGTCTTCTCTACGCGGCCGCGGGCCGCACAGAGGATGTGCGCCATGCGTTCGGGCAAGGCGTTGCCGCCGAGGCGTGCCGGCTGCACTGTCTGCCGCCACTCAACTTTTCGACCAAACAGCGCGTGGCCAAGTATCTTTTGCACGCCACGGACGTCCGTCGGCGGCCTTTGTCGGGTGGGGCGGTGCACGGAAACGCATCGCCGCCCATTGCACTGGACGTGCTTCGCCGCATGCACCGGCTTCCCCTGTAGTCGATGCCAGCCTTCTCGTCCATTTTTGCTTTTTTTCTACTCGTATACTACCATATAACGATATCGTTCGTACGTGAGTGTGCGCGTTGACGCACGATGCTTCTTGCACCCACAGACGCGCATGTGTCTCACTGATCAAGTCGTTTCCTCGCAGACAAGAAAGTACCCAGCGCGATCCTCGACGGTTGTCTGGATCAGGTGCGTGTGGACTGCACGTGTCCCTGCGCGCGCTCACATTGTGTCCACAAAAGTGCAGACGCCATGTCGCGCCCGTGCACAGATACCACATGGCTATGCGCCGCCGTCGTCTTGACGTACTGGCATCCCCATCATCCCTCACATGACGACGTCCATCCTCCTCTTCCTCGCCCGCAATGCCTGCATTGCACGCAGTCTCCTTCGGCCCATGGCCTCGCACCATAGCAAGGAAGAGGCCATGGCCGTACATAGCCTTTCCTTCGACGAGATGGTGCGCCAGAACGGGCGTCGCAGCCTGGACCACGCAGCTTCGTCGGTCCAAATTCAAATCCCGCGCGTTCGCGCTTTTTCCAGCGCCAAGTCGCGGTGGCGCTGCGCGCTGATTGGTCGAGACGTTGGTTTGGCCACCGCATGCAACGTCTTTTTTTGTCGGCTGTGCGAAATAAAATCGTATTTTTATGCACGTTGTCCGGTGTCTGTGTATTAAATAGCTACCTGTTTGTATGCATAATGCGAATTCGCGGGCGCGCGGGGCACGGACGACGCGCGTATTATTTTATGAGAATGGTGGGCAACGCGGTGCAATTAATTTCGCGAATTAAATGAGTGAAGTTTGTATGGGTAATATTATTCGGTTGTTTTTTAATTTGGACCACTACGCCATTCACCATGGAACAGCAGCAGCCAGGAGGAGGCTACCAGCCGCCGATGGAGCCATCGTCCTCCCATGCGTACATCCCCATGCATGAAGGGACGCCGACGTCGTCGACGACGTCCTTCAGCCACGCGGAGCCGACCTCGATAGAGCCGTCGCCCATCAGCCGGCCAAGCTACTCGTGGAACGAAGGCGCGGCCGAAGGCCACCACGCGTCGGCGCCGACGGGGCAGCCCCAGGACTACCCGCCGATGCAAGTGCCCACGCTGCCAATGGCGTCGCTGCAGGTGCCCAACCAGCTTCCCGGCATGCAGATGCCCATGGGGTACATGCCGTCCATGGCGAACGGTGGCGCGATGCCCAACCCGATGATGGGCATGCCGATGCGCAACCCGATGGCCGACCCGATGCACATGGGCGCCCAGTCCATGTTTCCGCAACAACAGATGCACCACCAAGCCGGCGGCGGCATGCACTACGCCAACATGGGCCACCCGACGCCGTACGGGCAGCTCCCGCAGATCCAACACCCGCACATGGCGATGAACAATGCGCCGCCGATGCGCGCACCGATGCCGTACGGCGCCTCGTACGAGTTTGAAGTCACGCTCCAGAAAGGCTCGTACGGTCTCTGCATGAACATGGGCGTCAAGCTCGGCAGCATCTCGGTGCTCGGCTTTCGCCAGCCCCAACCCGGCGTCATGGGGCCGGCCGAGATGTGCGGGATGATCCACGTCGGCGATGACCTCGTCGCGGTCGATGGCATCGTGCTCCAGACGGCCGACGACTTCAAGAAGGTCGTGCCTCTTCTCAAGTCGGAAGCCCCCGCGACGCTGCGCTTCCGGCGCCACAACCGCCCCGAAGGGGCAGGCTACTACAACGACGTGATTCCGAACGGGACAGGCACGTCGGGCAAGGTGTATGCGCCTGGTGAGGCGTACTTGGGCGTGCGCTACCACGGTCCGAACCGGTGGTCGGCCGAGGTCAAGTCGGCGCAGAACCACATCCAGAGCCTCGGCGAGTACCAGAGCGAGTACCTCGCGGCGCAGGCGTACAACACGTACATTTACCGGACGTACGGCCAGGGCGCGCTCAAGTTTATGCACCCCGCGTGCCGCAGCCAGGCGCAGATGGCGATGACGCCGGCGCAGATGCAGCAGATGCACGTCATGAAGCAGCAGCCGCCCGTGCGCAAGACGATCCTGCACGCCATGTTTACGGTCGAGCAGAAGGAGCAGCTGCGGTCGCAGATCATGGTCTTCAAGTTTAGCACCAGCGGCAACGGCATCCCGAACGAGCTCCTTAGCATTGCGCTCAAGGGCGCGATGCCGCTCGACTTTAACATCCAGCCCAAGGACCGGTCGCGCAAGAAGACGTTCAACGACGAGCAACCACCGCGCCAGAACAAAAGGCCGGTCGCCCGCGGCCAAAGCGCAGTCGCAAGAAGCACGACGACTCGGACGACGACGACGACGACGGCGGCGACGACGATGGCGACGGCAACTTTGAGCCCAAGAAGGTCATTCCGCCCATGGTACACAACCCTCGAAAGCATGTCGTTCTCGGATGCCCATGCCGCTTCTAGGACGTGCGTCGGTCGCGCCGCAATGCGGGCAAGGAGACCAAGCGCTACAGTGAGGTGGCCGAGAACGATGGCGAGGAAGAGGACGTCGAGGCCGAGAAGCGCAAGCGCGAAGAAGCCGCGCAGAAGGAAGAAGACGACAAGCACGCGATGGACAAGATTGTCGGCATGCGCTTTTGCGACGACCCTGCCAACGGCTTGGTGCAGACGATGGAGTTTTTGATCAAGTGGAAGAAGGCCTCGTACATGCACACGACGTGGATGACGACCGCCGACATGGAGGCCCACGGCAAGGGCGCGGTCTTGCGCATGCGCCGGTACCTCCAAAAGCACGCCCGCGAGGTCGAGCTCGCGCGCCTCAACCCGACCGACCGGCGCGAAGAAAACTCGACGTACTTTCCGTCAGCGTACCTCGAGATCGACCGGATTCTCGACATGATGCCGAACGTGTCGGAGCCCGTGCTGAACGCGATGGGCGAGACGGTGCTGCGTCACGGCAACAAGTTTCTCATCAAGTGGCGCGACCTCTCGTACGCCGACTGCACGTGGGAGTGGGCCGAGGACGTCACGGACGACCGCAAGATTGCGACCTTTCACCGCTACAACCACCCGCCGATGGTCGACAATGCGCCGCGGTCGTTCTTTGAAGACGTGCGCCCGCCGGTATGTGTGCTTTTTGTTTTATTTTTACGACTGGCTCATGGTGTGATGTAGCCGAGCGACTGGGCCAAGTACCAAGAGACGCCCAAGTACAACGACGCCAACACGCTTCGCTCGTACCAGCTCGAAGGGCTCAACTGGATGGTGTTTTGCTGGTACAACCGGCGCAACTGCATCCTCGCCGACGAGATGGGTCTCGGCAAGACGATCCAAGCCACCGTCATGCTCGAGCACCTCCGGCAGCACGAGCACATTCGCGGACCGTTCCTCGTCGTCGCGCCGCTCGCGACGCTCGGCAACTGGAAGCGCGAGATTGAGTCGTGGACGAGCATGAACTGCGTCGTATACCACGACTCGGAGGGCGGCTCGGAGACGCGTGCGTTCATTCGCCAGCACGAGTTTTACTACCGGCAGAACGACGCGTACCGGCGCCGGGGCATCTACAAGTTCAACGTCATGGTCACGAGCTACCAGACGCTCATGGCGGACGCCGAGTTCCTCCAGGACATCCACTGGCGCTACATTGTCATTGACGAAGCCCACAAGCTCAAGAACCGCGATGCGAAGCTGCTCGCGTCGCTGCGCCAGTTTACGTGGGACTCGTGCCTCCTCATGACGGGCACGCCGCTCCAGAACGGCGTCTTTGAGCTCTGGTGCCTCCTCAACTTTATCGAGCCCGAGAAGTTTCCGAGCCAGAAGCTCTTTTACGAGCTCTATGGCGAGCTCAACACGGCCGAGCAGGTCGCGTCGCTCCACGAGCAGCTGCGCCCGTACATGCTCCGCCGTGTGAAGGAGGACGTCGAGAAGAGCATTCCGCCGAAAGAAGAGACGATCATTGACGTCGAGCTCACGACGATGCAGAAGAAGTACTACCGCGCCATCTTTGAGCGCAACCGCGCGTATTTGAACCAAGGCTCGAACATTGCGGTCGCCAACTTGATGAACGTCGAGATGGAGCTGCGCAAGTGCTGCAACCACCCGTTCTTGATCCGCGGCGTCGAGCAGAAGGAGCTCGCGCACGTGACGACGCAGCACGAGCACACGCGATTGATGATCCAAGCCAGCGGCAAGCTCGTGCTCCTCGAGAAGATGCTCGCCAAGTTCCGCGCGGAGAAGAAGAAGGTGCTGGCTTTTCGCAGTTCAAGATCATGCTCGACATCCTCGAAGACTTTTTCAACACGCGCCAGTATACGTTTGAGCGCCTCGACGGCGCGCTCCTCGGCAACGCGCGCCAGGCCGCCATCGATCGCTTCAACGACGTCGAGTCGGACACGTTTGTGTTCCTTCTGAGCACGCGCGCGGGCGGCGTCGGTATCAACTTGATTGCTGCCTCGATCGTCGTGCTCTTTGACAGCGACTGGAACCCGCAGAACGACTTGCAGGCCGTCGCGCGCTGCCACCGCATTGGGCAGACGCAGGCCGTTCGCATTTACCGGTAGTCCCATTTTTGTGTGTGTTGCGGGAGGTTCTCATCGTTTTGTTTGCGTAGGCTCGTGACGAAGAAGACGTACGAGGCGCAGATGTTTGAGATTGCGTCCAAGAAGCTCGGGATGCACCACGCGGTGTTTGAGACGGGCGGCGTGCGCAAGGACTTTGACGGGAGCGACGACAGCAACATGATGTCCCTCATGAGCCTCGACAAGGAGAAGGTCGAGATGATGATCCGGTACGGCGCGTACGCGATCATGAACAACGACGAGGAAGATCCGGAGAACGTCAAGATCAACGAACTCGACATTGACCACCTCTTGAGCTCGTCGCGCACGATCCGGTACGACCCCGCGACCGGCAACACGTCCGAGGAGAATGGTCCGGCCGCGCTCTCGTTCTCGAAAGCGAGCTTCACGGCCGAGACGTCCGACTCGACGATCGACTTCAACGACGGCGACTTTTGGGAAAAGGTCCTCGGGCCCAAGCAAGTCCAAGTGCTCGCGTCGCAGGTCGAGAACGGGTCGCTCATGAACGCGGACGTGGAGACGATCAAGGCGTTTTTGACGACGCTCCGAGAGCTCTCGCGGCAGCTCGTGAAGGAGCGCCAGAAGGGCGGTCAAGTCGCAGACGCGGACCAGATCCTCTCGATCTTGATTGAGCTCAAGGTGCGTGGTCCGCTCTCGAAAGCGGTCAACGTGCGCTCGATCGCGGCCGATTGGCTCGAGGTCATTGAGCGTCCGAAGCGCCGGCGCAACCAAGAGGTCGAGAGCGCGCTCATGTACCATCCGTTTTTGGACGGTGACGACGACGACGACGCGCCGATCGAGGCCTCGAAGAAGGGCAAAAAGGGCAAAAAGTCGACCAAGTCGGCGCCGGTCAGTCGCCACCGCAAGTCGTCGCACACCAAGGAAGACAAGAGCGGCATTGTGGTGTCGATGCAAAAGCTAACGCGCCACGAGTACAAGGTCGTCAAGGTGCACAGCCGCATTCGTAGTGTCAACGACCGCATCCGCCTCGAAGACAGCGAGGACGACAGCGACGGCTCGAGCGAGTCTGGCGGTGACGAGCCCATGGACGAGGACGAGGACATGGACGAAGACATGGACGACGACATGGACGAGGACGCGGACGAAGAGGACGAAGACGACTACGACGACCGCAAGCCCAAGAAGCGGCGAATCAGTCGCAAGGGCCACCCGAACGCGGTCGCGACGGGACTTGCCGCCAAGCGCGGCCGCCCGCGAAAGAGCAAGTCCAAGGCGGACGACGAGTCGGACGTCACGACGACGACGACGACGACGCCAGTCGTGGTCGCGCCGGCCGAGCCCAAGGGCGAAGGCATGGAAGAGATGTGGTGTCGTGTGTGCTACAACGATCAGGGCTACGACGACGACCCGATCGTACAGTGTGAAAAGTGCCATTGCGCCGTCCACAAGGTAGTAGTATCTTTGTACCGCGTGTGGCGTCTCATGCTGTGTGCCTAGTTTTGTTATGGGATTGAGCGCGTCCCCGAGGGCGACCTGCCGTGGTACTGCGACCTCTGCCACGCCCACATGGACGCCACCGAGGTGCCCAAGGTTGACTCGACTCCCTTGCAGGGTGTGGTGCTCACTGTCGCCATGTGTGTGTAGTCGTGCATCATGTGCCCGCTGCAGCTGCCCGAGACTGCGTTCAAAGAGACGGTCGACGGGCAATGGGTCCACGTGGTCTGCGCGCTCTGGGCGCCGGGCGTTCAGTTTGAGGACACGGCCAACATGCGCGGTCTCCAGAACGTCCGCGAAACCATGGACGCGATGGACGACGAGCAAAAGGCCGCCACGTGCATCCTCTGCAACGAGCCCAAGGGCTGCATCAAGTGCTCGCGCAACGCGTGCAGCACGTACTTTCACCCGCTCTGCGGCCGCCAGACCCGCGGCGTCTACGACATGTACATGAACGACACGGGGAGCCTCCGGTCCTTTTGCGAAGAGCACCGGCCCAAGAACCGGCCCAAGGTCGTCCGAGGCGACGCTGCTAGCTAAGAGTTGTTGATCCCACACTATATACCCTTATCGAGTTGTATTTGCATCCTTTTTGCTGGTTTCTCAGAGGCCGAGGTCCCGGACCTTGTCCATTTGCGCATCAAACTGCGCGAGCCACGTGTGGTCGAGGAACTTGTTGTCGCGCTTGGGCTTGTCGGCAAAGACGCTCTCGATCGCCGAGACCAGCACGAGGTTGTGCACGGGTCGGACGAGCGTCAAAAAGTCGTCGAGAATCTCCTTGCGTACTTTGGGCATCGAGATGGACCCTACCCGCAATGGCATCCGAGAGCACTAGAAAGAGAGCGTACGTAAAATGTGGTGGAGCGCCGCCACGGGGATGCTGCCCGTCTCGGCCTTGTCGACCGCACGCGCTGCCGACAGAATAACGTCTTTGTACGGCAAGAGCTTCTTGACGTTGATGGCCCAGTTGTCGAGCAGCATTTGGTGGGACGCTTCGAGGGCCGAGTGGACCACGTGTGGGAACTCGCGCCGGAGCTGGTCGCGCCGCGCGTCCGTGCGCCGGTTCATGCGTACGAGGCTCTCAAACTCATCAATGTCCAGAACGCCGTTGCCGTTCTTGTCGAGGTGCGCCATGACCACGTGGAGCTGTAGGGCTAGGGTTTATAGCCACACAAATGCAATGTCGAATGTACCTCGGCGGGCGGCAGCTGAATGTCGAGCTGCTTCAACACGTCTTCGAGCTCGTCGCGCGAAATGCCGCCGCTGCTGTCAGCATCGCAGTACCGGAAGAGGTCGATGACGCGCAGGTGTTTTCGCCGCAAGTGGCGGTCGATGCGCTGGATGATCTTGTAAATGATTTTGGATTTGCCGCGGGACTCGTAGTCGTGAAAGGTGTGCTCGTGGGGGTCGCCGAGCGAGTGCAGGAGTGCCTTGTGCCGCGGCGGACTCTGTTTTTGGTTATTGGGGCGCGGCGACGGCCTGGCCACGGCCGCTTTCGGCAATGGTTGTGATGACGTGACGGCCGGCAGTCGCGGCACGCTGGTGCCCTTGGAGAGCTTGAGACGCTTGGCCCACTGCGCGTGGCCACCGGGCACTTGAAGTTTCGGGAGCGACGGCGGCGCAAGCGATAGAATCGCCGCTTCATCGAGTCGGACCGGAGGCTCCTTCTCGCTACTGCTCGTGACCTCGTTGTTGATGTCGTGGCTCGACGTTTCCGTGCTCATCAAGGTCAGGAGCTTGGCTCGCCATGCTGGCATCGGGGGCTCTTGGTGCTGGTTGGTGTCGTCGTCCACTGTGCTCGTAGTGGTTTCGGTCACTGTCGCCGTTGCGCGCAGCTCGGCCTCGAGGGCCTTGAAGAGGTTGTTGTCTGTCGGCAGTGTTTCTTTTCCAGCACTCGCCTCGGTTGGTATGTCCATCGCCTCGGTTGGTGTGTCGTTCGCCTCGTTTTTGGATGTCTCTTGGAGCGCCTCCAGCTCGTGGCTACGCGCGAGCACGCGCAGGAGCTCGTCCAGCTCTACGCACCAGATGACGACGACCTACGATGTGTCGTCGCACGCACCGAGCTCTTCTTCGTCGCCGTCGGCAGGGTACGAAAGGACGTACGTACTGCCAGCTTTGCTCTGGACCACGCCTTCGAACACACCGAAGCCGTCAAATTCCTTGAGAAAGCGAGTGCCAACCGCGGGCTCGAGCCGCTTGCGCGCAAGGAACCGGCGCACGGCGGCTTGGCCCTGCATGAGGCCACGCCTGAAGGTCACCGCCGTCGTGTACAGCCGCCGCTCCCCGGTCGTTGTGACGCGCTCGGTGGCGGTTGCAAGCGCAGCCCGCGGCAAGCGCGCGGCGACGACGATCTGGTGTAGAAATTCGTGCGTCCGGTCGACCTCGAGCCCCGCGAGCACCTGTACCGGTCGCTTTCTCGGATTATGCAACAATGGGATCCTTGTGTGTACCTGCACGGGGCTCACGAGGAAGAGCACCGAGACGTAGTCGCCTCTCGGCTTCGTGGCCTCGAGGGCAAACGTCACGAGTGCCAGGGCACGCGTGAGGAAGGCTGCCTACAGCTAGATCCTCATGATCCGCTTCGTGTTGCTGCTCGCGCACCTTGAGCTCGCGGGTCGTGACACGCGCGAGCGAGAGCTGCGTGGCGCTAAAGACCCCGATGTCTCCAAACGCAGTGACGCAGACCGTGTGCAGGAGCGGGAACGGCGGGCGCAAAAGTATCTTGGGCGTGATGGGCAGGCTTGGAAAGGCTGCGTGCAACGCTGCGTAGAGACCCTGGACTCTCGTGTCGCCCATCGCTGAAGCAAGCTTCTAGTTAGTACTCGTTCTATTCTTATCCTAGTGTAAACTACGTTGCAGGTCAATCGACATGGGATTCCCTTGTGTTAAAGTGCCTACTATCGCGCCTTGCGCCGGCGAGGAAGCCGACACGAGCAAGCAGCATGCAGTTGGTTCTCGACCATCCACCACGCAGTGCCAATTCGTGACTACTGGCTCCGCGAAAGCACGAGAGGTCGACACGAGGGATCGCTATACCAAGCCACGATGCGTAGAGTCGGTCGTTGCGCCGATCCCTGTGCAGTCGGCTCTCGAGACGACGAGACGCTGCAAACACCAGTCCAGCTGGGCAGCGGATTCGAATGGCATTAGATTCGCTGGCTATCCACGAGTAGTGTGTGGCAGACGATGCGCCCGCGACATGGCTTCGAAAGGAAGCAAAGCACTTGAACCTCAAGAAAGTCCGTCCAGACTGCAGCTGCAGACACCTACCACGTCCATCCATGAACGCAGACGAATCAAGATTGTTGATGATCGCTCATGGCCTTGGCTCTTTGGTGTCAAAGAACAGAGGCGAAGATACGATGCCACATCGGCCGCACGTGTCCCAAGCGAGCACGCACGCACCCACACGCCATACCCAAGGCACCTACGCACAATCCAAGGCAGACCAATGAGATGGCGGCCCGTCGCAGCCTCAAGCCAGCGTCCATCCTATGTCGTCTGTCACATTTTTTGTTTCGACGCTATGTACCGTGTTTTTGACGCTATTTACCAGCTTTTCGACGCTACTTCCCACGTTTGTTTCGCGCGTCTTGGTACATATTGTCGGAACGTCACAGCATACAAAAACCAAATGGATGCGAGTAGCCGAGACGCCTGGGACAGTCGACGACACCAATCAAACGTGGGAAGAGGATTGGTAATCGTTTTGAGCCTTGCGCTGGAGTCTCATTTTCCAATTTACCATCTTTACACCATGGCATCTATCAACGCGTCCTTCTCGGTGCTGACGAACGGCCCTCTCAGCGCCATGATCCTCTCGTACCAGTACGGCGTCACGAAGGAGATGTCGACCGTGTGCCTCACTGCGCGCCGCAAGCTCAAGCGCCGCCCGCTCGCGTCCCAGAAGCACTTGATTCTGTCCCAATCCGACATGTTCCGCGGCTACCTCCTCCTCAAGCTGCTCGAGAAGGACGACTTGGCGACAGCGAAAGAGCTTTTGCGCCAGCGCCCGACGGGGTACATTGCGCCGCCCGTCGAGTCGAGCTACATTTACGGTCTCAACAACGCGACGCGCCTCCGCGACCTCGATTTGGTCAAGTTCCTCCACGAGAACGAGCTCTCTAAGGCCACGAAAGACGCTATGGACACGGCCGCCGAGTTTGGCGACCTCGAGATCGTCCGCTACCTCCACGAAAACCGCAAGGAAGGCTGCAGCCTCGTGGCGTTCGTGTTGGCCGAGCGCCACGACCACAACGACGTGCTCGAGTTCCTCACCGAGCACCGTCCCCGGGATCGCAACGCGTGTCCGTCGGCAGACCCAAAGTTGCTCATGATCCCGGCAATGCTTAGCAACACGTGCAGCATTCAGTAGACTCGATGCGAGTAGGATAGGATATTATTTTATTTAAAAAGACACGTCGATTTCACCACAAATCGTCTCCCTGCCGTCTTTTGTGTCGAAACGATGCCGCGAATCGAACCATGGGACACGCGCTATGACGCGTCGTCTTTTCAACGCCACGACCCAAGCGCGCCTGGCGTTGATGCGATGCGCTCTTGGAATCATTGCCGCTCACCGGTGCGGGCTGTACGTCGGCATTACGCCGACCTGTCTCGAACGCCGTGTCTTCGGACGGTTCTCTCGCAGCTTGGTTCTGACGCACACAAGGATCCGGCTCGCGTTGTCCCACCAGTTGCGACGACCGGGCTTCTTGGCGCGCCGAAAAATGCGGACGCTGGTCTGTCGAAGTCCATGGCGCGCCACCGGATACGTGGGCGGTCTATAGTCCATTGTTCTCAGCTTTGAGCAACGTTATCCGCAAAATTAGTGGCCACCACGCCGCCTTGAAGTTGGTATTTCAACGTGGCAGATGGTCGCGCGGATCCAGCGTCCATGAAATCGACACCGGTGTGGGTAATTGCCTTAAAAAGTCTCATTCTTCTATGACAGAAGCGTCTGAAAACGCTGGGAAATACAAGCTCTGCACGCTAAATCCTTCCTTGAGCCACTGCATTCGACATCATAAAGTGCGTATTAGACGTTGTATTTGCCTTATCATTCTAATGTACACCAGTACTCTCTCGAACTCGGTCTCCGAGGTGCAAGCGAAGACAGCAGGTGACATTACGGTATTGTACTTATTTAAGCGAATGAAGCTGTGGACGAGCTTGAAGTTGGTGGGCATACATTTTTCCTGGCAATGACGTGGCGCAGCGTGCGAGTGCAACGGCGGACCAATATATGAACCTGGCCCAAAAGGAACGGCGGATCAATGGGGAAGCCCATGGGGTCTTTTCAGACCACCAATGTGCTTTAGTACAACGCTTTATCTTTCTAGCTTTGTACGACTGCGAGTCTCACGGTATACGAAACATCGGCGAGTGCATTGGTTGACGGCACTCGCAATCTCAACGCCCACTGCAGCAACGGGTTTCGAGAATAGTCTGTTAGTAGCACCCTCCAGTCCGTCCACAAGAGACTGCACCCAGCGTCGGTGATGGCGACGGCGATGGTTGTAGCTCTACGTGTCCAGGGACGGCGGTGTTTTGGCGCTCTCGGACGTTTGCAAGATCGGAACAGACCCACGCGGGACGCTTGATTCACAGGCGGCATGGAACAGTATCCCACCGCCGTCGAGCGTCGGGCACAGCTCGGCGTATTCGCTCGCGATTGTATAGTTGACAGGTACGACAGCTACTACTATGGTAGAGCGTGAAAAGGCGAAAGGCGCATCTGCTCCCAATAATGGGGCACGTACAACATATTGCGTCACCCGGGATGCAATGTTGGTCGTTGGAACAGTGCAGAAGACAAGAGGAACAAAATGACGGTAGCGAGCGCCTTTGAAGGACAGTCGAACCGAGGCGCGTGGCGCAGCAGTCTCTCACGTGATTTTTATCACCTTATTACTTTGTAGTAGAGGATGATGATGCCTCCAATTGACATTTTATTTATTTTTGCAGCAAGCGGGTCGACGAACGAGGAACACCAGCTTCTTCAAATGAGAACATCGACGCTGTTGACATGTTTTTATTATACGTGGTATACAAGCTAAAAAACTCTGACAGACTGCATGGTTTCGAGTGCATCGACGGTTCTAGAACCTCGGACGCGCGTCAACCTGCATCCTAATCATTGAATAATATTTTAATAGAGACGCAAAATTCTGCCGTGAGAGACCTCCCAATACTGAGAGACTCGAGTTGTGGCAACCCAACCACCGGCGATCTTTGTGACACATAACAAGCACGGCTGGTCACTTTGCAAAAAACAGCGTCGCCCACATGAGTGCGATCGTCGCTGTATTGACCAACCCGAGCCTCATGCAGGGGCTCACGGCCTACCAAGATGGTGTCGCTCGGCACCTCTCGCGCATCTGCCACCGCTACCACAAGCAACTCGCTCGCTGGGCTCGGTTCCAGCGGCACGATGGCCCGGCCGCTACGATCTTAGCGTCCCCGGCGCGCTTTCGCTGCTACGTGCTCTTCCAGCTCATCAAGCATGGTCAATTTGAAGAGGCACATGAGCTCATCGACGAGCTCGACGGAGAGGTCTTTGAGACGCCCGAGAATGGCCACGCGCCGTACTTGTTTGCGCTCGACAAGGCGGCGGGCTGTGGCGACCTGGCGCTGGTTCAATTTCTGAGCAAGCGCCGTCTCGGCCAGTGCACATCAACGGCCATGGATGACGCGGCCGCGAATGGGTACGTGGATGTGGTGCGCTATCTGGACGAGCACGAGACAGCAGGGTGCAGCTTTGTCGGCTTCTTGCTCGCAGAGCGCAATGGGCACGCCGACGTCGCCGAGTACCTCAAGTCGCATCGACCGCGCGACCAGCATCGACCGCCACACACCGACTCGAAGCTTTTGTACATGGTGCCCGTCGTGCTCGCGCCTGTGACCGTTGGCGTCAGTGTCGCTGTCGCGGCCTGCACGGTGCAGTAGCGAATGTTTGTTGCAGTATAGTATTTATTCCCCTTGTCCATTTGCATCAAGACATTTCTAGTTTTATCCAAAAAAGAGTTGCGCGATCACTGTTCAACTATTAGTTGAAGTGTCGATTACTCGAATGGTGCTTGTGCAAACAGGGGCGCGAAATCCTGCTGCGACTGCGTTTCATTGAATGGGATGGTTCAAGCCTGAGGATCTCGTTGGCGCCAACAACCCAGGCATACAACACGTGGTCGTCGTTTCCAACAGACCACACGGCTCCTAGTGCTTAGTACGTTGCAACTTGCAACGTACTTGCAACTTGCAAGTACTAAAATGTCATGGAGATGGCGAGGATGTGGCGTAATCGGAGCGTAGTGTAGGGGTAGGGCTGTTCACATCTTGACATCTTCGATACCGGTAGCCTTGACGTGGGATGCCCAGACGGCGACAAATCCTCCTCCTCAGAGTGGCACTGGTTGCGGACAGGGACTCTATGAGAGACGAGCAAGTGTCTTTCGACGGCCGCGTATCTGATACGCGTCAACCGAGCCAGCATCAGGCTCAGGCCCGCACGACTAGAAGAGCCTGTATCATCAGGCTCAGACTCCGATGCCGCGCGGGCTTCGGGACCACAATCTTGTTGCGCGCGTTTCTTAAGGGACAAAAGTGCAGATACGAATTGGCGCTGGTTTTACAAGACGAAACCGTGCTGTCGTTGCCACATAGAGAGACCGAGTCTTCATTTCGCGCCTTCTTCTTTTAGATTCGCTGATGAATCTTGCAGACATCGGAACTTCATTCGTGCGGGCAGGTTCGGGTTCGAATCCCGCTCCCAACGTTCGTTCAGACGAGTGAGACGTCGCTTGAATCAAGCGCTCGCTGGATGTACTCGCAGTATACGCGCACAGAAGACTATATCAGCCGTGCATCCGTTTCTCGCGCGCCAACAAATCGCTCTTTGCCGACGACGGCCTGCGCACCTCTGGCGCGACACCTGAAGATATCTACCTATCCAATGCGACGCTGTGTCTTTGCCAGCTCCATCGACCGTGCAGCGAGCAGGTGCCCGTAGACACGTGGCACACGGACAAGCACGCGTCCTCCTGCATATCGCCCGTGCCTCTTTTATCCGAGAAACAAAAGAAAAATTGTGCCGAACTAGCAATGTATAGAGTGCTAGTTCGGCGCTAATTTTTAACCACCGCCGCGGCAATGCGGCCGCGACACGTCGGGCGACATCGCTTCGACCGCTTCGAGCATGTTCTCGGTCTGCAGATCTAGTATCTGCATATATACGCAGCGCGTAATCTCACAGGCGGGTTTCGCACCGCGCGTTTCTACAAGCCGCAGGTGCTTTTGCCGCTCAACTTTTGTGATGGCCATTTTGGTCCAAATAGTATGAGTAGGGTGTTGTGCTTCGTGCGCGCACCTGCCTCCGACAACGTTGAAGGACTCGCTCGGTCCAAGCTTTCCCCGTTCGTATGGTCACGAGCCGGCCGTTTACAAATTCCCGGCTCGTCCCACGCGCCTTCGTAGCCACGTGATCCTTGGCCGGTACGCTCGTGGACGGTGCGCGCGCCAATCAGATTGCCGTCTCGTCCGACGTAAGCTCGAGCCACATCGTCGACTGTCCCATGGCCGCCACCAGATTCAAACTCGGTATCGACTACGGCGTGTGTAGCCTGCGACAGCGCGAACGCGGCCTTTGATTGGCTACGTACTTTTGACGCGCCAGCTAGACACGATGCAATCCCCACTCGTCGGGCGAACGGTAGCATCTTGTGCTCAGACAGCGGAGCTCTGTCACATTTTCAAGGCGGCCGCTTCAGGATCACACACTTTTCCTTTTCCACTTCCTTGACCATGGCGGAGGTTGCTTTTGCGGTGCTCACGAACGGCCCGCTCCTCGACTCGATCCTCTCGTACCAGCACGGCCTCAGCCAAGGCGTCTCCAAGATCGTCATGGGCTACCGCAAGAAGACCAAGCACGCGCTCGTGTGCAAGAAGCAAAAGCAGGCGCTGCTCGCGTCCCCCGACATGTTCCGCGCCTACGTGCTCCTCAAGCTCATCGAGAAGAAGGACGTGCGCGGCGCGAAAGCGCTCATGGCCGAGCGCCCGACGGGCTACACGTGCCCGACCTTCGAAGGCGGGTACCTCTACGGCATCAACACCGCCGCGCAGCTCCGTGACGCTGCGCTCGTCACGTTTCTCCACAAGCAAAACGTGGGCAAGTGCACGAAGCACGCGCTCGACACGGCCGCGTCCAACGGCGACTTTGAAATCGCCGAGTTTCTCGTCATGAACCGCGACGAAGGCTGCTCGCTCGCGGGCTTTATGCTTGCCGAGAAGCACGGCCACACAAAGGTGCTCGAGTTCCTCCGCGAGCACCGCCCGCGGGACCAAAACAAGTGCCCCCCGGTCGACCCCAAGTTTTCGCTCCTCCCTACGTGGTTCGTCAACCTCTGAGCGGCTCCGTTTCGGAAGAGCCCTGTCGTGACCCTTTGTGTTATTTAATCTCACCAACACTTATCTATTCCACCAATTCCTTTGCTCTCTTCTCTCGCGTCGTCCATCTTGGTCGAGTGCCAGCGGCGGCGTATCATGCAGAGCAGACCATCTGGATGCCCCGTCGTCGTGGGACCGGTGCTGGCATCGACGACGCCCAAAGCCGACCGAGCTGCCACGGCCCCACTCAAGGCCAAGGATAGCATTGCGCAACCAGCTACGGTCGATGTGCGCTGTCGACTTGGTGGTCGCGCAAACGAGCGGCAGCTTCAAGGGTGCATCAGGGTGCGCGCGGGTGCTGTATGCCGAAGCGGCGTCTCATTCCGACCCGATACGATGTGGCATTCAAGGTAATGACACTGCCGCTCCACTGTCGCAGCGCTTGCTCTCTGCACGTGCCCTTCTTGTGGACCGGCGCGCTCCGCCACCTTGCCGAGGTCGCGGCGTGTAGCCACCTGATTTTTTGCTCACGGTGGAGGCTCATGTCGCCAGGTAGTATACGGCGTCCCGACGCTCACATTATTCCACGCTAGTAGAGGACGTGCCTAACGTACATGCACATAAGTACTGAGGTGCTACCAACTTGGTAGTACATGGATACCTGCCGTGCAAAGCGGGTACACGTAAAAGGACTCTGCAAGCTCACAGTGCGACGCCGCGACTCTTCGTATGATTCGCTTCGATGTTCGGTCGACTCGAAGTTCGAAGACGACGTGATCTTTATGCTCGGCGAGCCGAGTCTGCTGGACGCGTCGACGTCGTGTGCGCGCATGGATAGGCGAGCGCTGGCGCAGCGGCTCGCGGATCTGCAAGGCGACGTGTCCAAGCTGGCCTCGCGGCTGGCCGCGCCGGCGACCGTGCGTCCATCACCACCTCGCTGCCGCTTACAAATGCTGGTGCGAATAGGGTGGGCCGCCAGTGGCCGCTGTACGTGACGTGGCACCTGCAGTGATGGCGCCGCTGGGGCCAAGCGCAGTACGACGCGCCCATGGCCCATCGACGATTCCTGGCGGGCGCATGGGCAATCTCATTCGTCTCCAGCGCGAGCTTCATGACCTCCGGAACGAGAACGACCAGCTGCGCTTCGAAATGGCCCAGGTGCATCGCGTCCTCTCGCGTTGCGTTGGCTCATGGCAAGCAGATGAAGCGGTCAGTGGCTGCAGCGCACGCCAAGCTGCGCAGCTACGATGCACTCCACGGCGCGTACGCCGATCTCCAAGCGCAGTGTGCGACGTTACAGCAGTCGCTCGAGCTCTCCGAGTCGATCCGCGCCCGCCAAAAGACACTGCTACAGAGAAGCTACCACGATACTTCGGACCTACAGAGTACTAGCCACCACGAGGCCTCAGTTCTTAGAGTGCAAGCACCGCCCAGGGCACCGCCGCAGAGCAACCCCACGATTCAGCGCGCGTTCGACCCAACAGAGACTTGGCACGCTAGCCACGTGATGCCTTCCACCCAAGCCTTGGACGCCACGACGTCATCTACCAAGTCGAAGCGCAAGCTACCTGTCACCAAGACCAAGCGATGTACGACCACCAAGAAAACGCTGTTGGTCCCTCCGCAGAGCTCCCCCGAACCGCCGCCTCTGCGCAAGCGCAAACCGAAACCAGTCGCTTCGACAGCACCACCCGTGAAGGCACCCGTCAAGGTTGGTGGCACGACATCGCGCCGAAAAACCGCTCTCGAGTCGAGCTTCCTCGCGCCGACGCGTGCGAGCCAGGCCAGGACCCAAGACACGCTTCAACGCACCAGAAAATCGACGACCCATCACCCGATACATCGATAGGTGGTTGGTTGATAAATCGATAATTGGCAGCTCGTCCCAGCGGTTTACGCGGTTTGCGCCGAGCAAATGCGCAGCACTTCGGCCTCCATCGAGCGTGGCAAGCTTCCGTCATGCAGCATCGCGTGGGCAATTGCTTTCGCTAAAAACTGCGCGTCGGCTTGAGCACGGCCGAGCTGATTGCGCAAATTGGAGATCTCCGCCGCCCGCTGCGCACTGCCACTATCCTCTTTCGGCAGCGTCTCGCTCCGAGCGCGGGCCCGATAGCTCTGCAGTGCGGCCTTGTACTGGCGCAGCTTGGCGCTCTTGGCCTCCACGTCGTGACGAAGGTCGACCACCGCATCCTCCCGCGCAATCAGCGCCGCTTCCAACGCCGAGATCGTCTCCTCAAGTTGAGCCTGCTTGGCTGCGATGCGCTATGCGAGAGGCGTCGCTTCGTCCTCGACGTTTTGAAGATGTCGTACCTCGTGCAGCTGCGACTCGGCGGCGCGGTGGCGGCGCTCGGCGGTCGTGATGCGGTGCTCGAGCGACGCGACGTCGTCATCGCGCAATGCTTTGGCGGCCTGTAGCGCCGTGTGGTCGGCTTGCAGCGTCGAAAACCGGCGGGCCAAGTCTGTGTAGTAGAGTCTCCAGTTGCGGTGCTGCTTGAACACCTTTGTGAGCGTCGCGCGCGTGTCGCCTTTTGCTTTGTTGTGTTTCAGCACGTCGCTCAAGATGCACTCGACTAATTGAATAGTACTCGTCCAGCATGTCCGTCTCGAGTGTGTAGGGTCGTACTGGCAAAGGCCGCGGCGTGGCAAAGCACATACATATCTGTCGCGGGCGCAGACGCATCGCACGCCATTTGCACGACACCCAGAGCCGGTCCTAAGTGCATGACCAAGATATTGTTGACGGCAGCGTACTCGGAAACTGAAAAAGTGCATCGCTCGGTACCTTTCTGGGATCGAATTGGGACGCAGACAAGACAGAGAGGCTCGCGCGGTGCAGTTGCTCGACGCAGCAGTGGAGCAAGCACGTACTACAGTCCTCTCTGGCACCACGGCGCAGCAAAAGCTATGGTGTACTGTACCTCGTCGACCATGGGGTGGAAGGCCCCATCAGTGGCCACGTCGGTCGACCGAAAACAGCGCCGGACGTCCAGACGCGTCCGGCGATACCCATGTGACTTGGCACGGCGACGACCGCGTCGTTGGCCTTGGACCACAGTTCGTCGTTGGCAGGGTTGGCGAGCCACAAGCAGCCTACACCGCGATCTTATGTCGACGACAAAATAGCACGGACGGTACCGGCTGCGTGAGGAAGGACGCCAGCCACTACGCCATCGAGCAGCGCTTCGATCGACTTGGCGCGAAAGAGAGCGTGCCAAAGTGTCCGAAGCGGCCCCACGAGCGCTTCCATGGCTTGGACGTGCGCCGCTTTCGCCGACGCGAGTGCCGCCTGCAGCTCGACCCCAAACGCCGATTCGCGAAGTTGGCTCGCGCGGGTCGTCTGCGCCTGCCACGCGACTTTCGATGTTGTCTGCTGCCACTGCTGGAAGCTGGCCATTTGTCGACGGTGCCAGCTCCAGCGCATTCGCGACACGACGAGCGAGATGGCCCACTTCCGCTTCCACGCGACCACGTCCCGCTACAGAGGAGATGCCATTGGGTTGCGTCGCAGAGACAACGAACGCGTACATTGGCGGCCACCGAGGCGGAAGCACCCGCGTCCATCGAGAGACGGCGTTCGCGGTCCAACGCCGTAGCGTGCGTCTCGGCCAAGCGACGGACGACGACGACGAGCAGCCAATGACGCCACGCAAGGCGCTTCAAACCAAGCCCGCGTCGCCCCAGACATGCCATGACGCGCACAAGGACGAGCTACATGACGACGTCATCGTCGACACGACGGAAACGGACTCAGTGTACCTTTGTTGCGGTCTGTGCGTGCCACTGGGCGACTGCACGCGCGAGATGCCGCGTTTGAAACTTGCGTGCAAGTCGGCTGCATCTCTGACGCCACTTGGTGTAGACGCGCCAATGCTGTAGCACGATCGATCCGATCCGATCGGCTTGTCGGCGCTGGAAGCACGCCACCGTAGCGGCAGTGGCTTGCACGTCGCAGCGGACAACGTGCGACCACGCGCGAAAACAGCGTCGGAGGTGCTGGGCGTGCCTGGTCTTGGCGACATAGGCTGCCAAGCACGCAGAACGCCCGTGCAATGCAGCGTGAAGCGACTTGCAAGTGGCTTCGTGTGTCGCGGCCAGGTCGGCGGTCGCGGCAGTCGAGGATGTCTGCACGCACGCGAGCTCCGCTTGGAGTGTCGCGACCGTCGCGCCCCACGTTGCTTGCAGCTGCGCCACGTCGCGCGCGGCCATCCCGCGGAGCCAAAGCACCCAGGCCGACCGATAGTGCCGATGCTCAACGCGACGCACGAGGTAGCGTACGTAGCCGTGCTTGTATGCGGCGCGGCGCCAGCGCTGAAAGGTACGCCGCAGGTGCAAGCCATCCGCAGCAGCGTACAGGCGCTGTCGCATGCGGCGGTCGAGCATGTGCTGGGCCCATGCCACGAAGCAGCGCCGCTGGTGCTGTTGCGTCTGCCGCATCTGCAGCGCCGCGCGCCGCGTCTCGAACGTCGCGAGGGCAATTCGGGTCTGGTGCCACCGACGAAAGAAGCCGCCAACGTGGGCTGTCTCATAGCGACGCAGCACCGACAAGAGAGCATCTCTGGCCCGCCCATGGAGGGCGCGAGCAGCGATCCATCCGCGCCACGCCTGCTGCAGCCTGCGGGCGGTTAAGAAAGCATCGGCACGAGCGCAGGACTCGATGTCCCGTTGGACTTCGGCGAGGCGCCGCCGCCACCTTCGAAGCGCGGCTTGCTGGCGACAGCGCAGCGTTTCAGCCGTCAGCTGTGTGCGGTCCGCCTGGCGCTGCGCTGCCCAATGACGCCAAGCGCGCCACATTCGTGCGAGATGCCGCTGATGGGCACGGCGACGGCTGAGCTGCACGCGCACGTGTCGTGCTTGCTGCGTGGCATGCTGTGTACGCCACGCCACGAACGCCGTCCGCGTCGCGATGCGCATCGACCGCGCCACCGAGGCGGCAAGCAGCCGTGCTTGCAAATGAAAGCACGGTTTTGAGCCGACTGCGCCAAGGTGTCGAGTGCGTGCTGAAGATGCTGTGCGTGAAGCATCGCCGCGGTCCGGTCGTGCTGCAGGCCGAGAACCCACTGCTGGCGCCAACGACGGTAGGCCGCTCGGCACCAGTGGGCGTGGACGACATGTGTGAGTCGGTTGCAACTCTGTCGACGCGCGCATCGCACGAGGCTGTGGTCACGCCACGCATTGAACGTCCAGCCGACGCTCAAATGACGAAGGCGCGTTGCACAGCGGAGGAGCAAGAGCCGGTCGTGCTTGAGCTTGGTCGCGTGGTCGACCCACGAAGCAAACCAGTGCCGTTGCAAGGCTGCAGTATACGCTTTCTGGAGCGTGGCAGCGCCGAGCGCGAGCTGCGTCGCGTAGCGTTCCGCGCCAAGGCGCTCGGCCGTCGCGCTCCACTCAGCAAGGCCCTTGCGCAGTCTACAGATGCGTCGCGTCATTGCCGAGCTATAGACACACAGACGACGACGCACCGATAGGCGACGACGATCTGCAGCGCGCGATCCAAGACTCGTCGAGTGCACTGCCGCTCGGCCACCCACGTGTGCCAGACCGAGAAGAGATGGCTGAGCGAAGTATGCTGGAAGGCGCTACCAAGCGTGCGCATCAAGTGGCCGAGGTACTTGGCGCTTAGCACCCTCGAGACCCATGCTTTGTACGTTGACCGAAGCAGTGACGCAGCGTGGAGCGACTGCCAGCGGCCGAGGATGGCTGCTTGCTGCACACGGCGGACGCGAAATTCCTTCCAGGAACCAAAGGTGCGCTGGAGGACGTTGGTGTGGCATAGACGCAGTAGGTAGCGCAGTCGATCGGCGCTCGCGCGGCGCTGCTTCACAAAGCTCTTCCAGCGGTTGAACAAAAACACAATCGACTTTTGCAGCCAGATTTGAAGCGCCTTGCGGGCGACGGTCGCGACCAACTGGTCTCGGACGGTCTCGAGCTGCTCGATTGTGCTCGTGTGCGCCCGCGTTGCCAGTGCATGCATCGCTTGCCACTGCGTCGTCTCATCCGTCGCTCGCCACAGCCGCATCGCGTAGTCTTCCTACAAGAACCCATGGGCTTGACAGAGGACACGCGCACAGCGCCGTACCAGACACATGATCATTTGCCCGTGGTCGTGCATCGCGCATGCAAGGTGGTGCTGCGCCGCCTCTTCGCGCGCCATGAGACAGTTCTCGAGCGTCGACATGCGCTGTGCCAACGTAGCAGCCGTACTCGCCGAGGCCGCGCCGTCTGCAGCGATACATGCCATCTCGGTCTCCAGTGTTGCGATGGCGGCGTGGGCAGCCACCACGTCAGCCTCGGTGACCGCGAGGGTCGCGCGAAGCGAAGCCATTGCCTCGTCGCGCTGTGCGACGTCGGCTAGATGCTGCTCGTGGAGTTGGTATTGGGCATGGACATGACGCCAACGCGTCCAGCCCGCATACAACGGTCGTCGGACACGGTACGCAGCGACGAGACGCCGCAGCTCGTCGCGCCGACGCTCTTTTTGGCCAACGTACTGCCGCCACGCACTCCACATGCGCTGCGCGAGGCGCCGGGCCGACCGCTGCGCCTGCTGTTCTGTAAACCCACCGACGCATTGCCGGTGGGCTGTGAGCGCAGCCCAGCGGTGGTACGTGTTGTATTGGCGCACATGGGCCTCTTGCGCCAGCACTTGCAAGAGCAGAGCGCGCACTCGGTCGCCCCGCTTCTCGCACGCTGCTCGATGCATCTTCCAGCGGTGGACGGCCAATTGGACGAGTCGGACGCACTTGCGCTGCACGAGACGCACGAGGTAGGTTCGATGCATGCAGCGCTGCGCCACGTGCGCGCACCAGTGCAACCAGGACGAACGAAGGTACACGGCCGTCGCTCGGCGATGCACAAGTGTTGCGACACGCTGTCGGCGGTGCTTTGCGTGCATCGCTTTCATCTTCCACGCGCCAAAGCAGAGACGCGTATGGCGCAAGTGTCGGCGCATCGCAAAGTGCCAGTAGAGTGGCTCGCAGTAGCGTCGGAGCCGCGCACGCGCGTGCCACATGTGGAGCGCGTAGTGCGCCTGGTGCCGCTGCCATTGCGTCTTGCGGGTGCGAAGGCTTGTGCGCTGCTGTGTGCGACATCTCCATGCAAGCAACACGTCCTGGAGTCGCCGAACGTGCAGTGCCTGCCAGCGCTGGTTGGCGAGCCGCTGTGTCAGCACTTGGTGTCGTGCAGCCTCAACGTGGCGCTCATGGTCCGTGGCCACGGCCTGCGCATCGAGCGCTTCTTCAGATGATGCGATGCGGGTGGTTGCGGCCTCAAGCTCTGCCTGGGCGCGCTCGTGCTGGGCCTTGGCGTCTCTTAGTGCTGCCTCGAGCTCCGCGACACTGGCGTCTTTGGCGGCTAAGGCGTCCTCGTGCTGCGTGCGGCGCCAGCTTTGGAGGGCGCACCATACAGAGCGCCGGGTGCAGCGGTTCAGTACGCGCCGAAGCACACAGAGGCGGTGGTGCGATGCGCGCCAGCACTGGAACGAGCTTTCTAGCGTGCACCGGTTGAGTGTGCGCCACCGGGCGATCATGTCGACGCGCGCCTAATCGAGCGGCATGAGACCGACGGTACGCGAGTTTCAATTGGGTTGCCTGACGAAGCCGCGCCACGTGCTGACGCCACGCGGCCAAGCTGCGTTGTACGCAACGGCGGGCCTGTTGGCGCCGACGACAGGCTACATAATGGGCTTCCCGCGTCGCGCGCTCGGCCTCGGCGAGTGCCTCGGTCGTCGCATCTCGGGCTTGAATATCGTCGCGCAGCTGGGTCTGCCAGTGCCGTCGAAGCCATTGACACCAGGCAGCATGGATCCACGACCGGTGCTGTTTATCGACGAGCGACCGCAGCAGATGCCGGCGGTGGTGCTCGACGAAGGCCACGTGCTCGGCGAGCCGGTCCCGAAGCGCATGGTTGTCCTCGGCCAGCGTCTTTTGCTGCGCGTGCGCCGTGCGGAGGCGCTGGACCATCGCTTCGTTCTCTTCGAGCCGCGCGTCCAAAGTCTTTTGCAGCGACGTCATGCAGAGCGCGATGCGCTTGGGCTCGTTCGGGTCAAACACCGTGCGCTCCTTCCACTTGGCAATCTGCTCGGCATGCTCCTTGCATATCGTCGAGAGCTTGGTCTCGAGACGGCGAGATGTGTCTTCTTGCGCCTGGAAGCGCTCTCGCCACTCGTCGCGCTCGCGCAGCACACGGGAGAGGTCGACGCTAGCCGTCGCATCCGACGTCCGCGCTGCCTTGCTCGTCTCGCGCCATTGGAGCACCTCGGCCTCGAGCTCAGCGTTGCGTAGCTCGAGGTCGCGAAGGCGGTCGTAGAGCGACGTGACGCATTCGGCGTTCCGCCACGCCGGTTCCATCGCGATCTTGGACAACCCTGCGGCCACCGTGTTAACTATACTGCTCGATATGATTTAGAAGTTGCTATTTAAAAAGGCCATGCAGACGCGTGGTGTACACACTACTGCGCGCCTGTCTGGTTGTCGTCATCGAGGCTTCGTGCCACTGACGCCATCGCTGACGGTCCCACGGGCGGCTCCACATGATGGGCGGCCAAAATACCGTGCCAACCGCGCGACGGAATCTCAGATGTGCCCCAATTCTTGTGGTGTGCGGCTCCACGTTGTCGCCGCAAGTATCACCTTCGACCAACTCGTGGGACCCGATTGCGCATCGGCGAGATCGCTGGCAACGTGATGTCGCCGCCTCGTGTTGCCGTGTGGGCAGTGTATTCGGCACTGTTCCGGCTTCCAGTGTTTTTAAAATTGCATCAACAAGTGCCAAACGCTGGATCGGTCGCGCGTTTGTCACATATCGCGCACGCCTTGCAGTTGACGCGCGAGGTGGACACATAGCTTCCCGTGGTATACATATAGCGAGGTACCCGCTCCAGTCTGAGAAGAGAGCAACTGCTCTGCTCGCCCGAGACGCCTGCAACTAGCGATCGGCAGGACCTTGGTCCTCCTACGTTCTAGTCGTATGCGGCGTCGTGAGCTGGCGTCGAGGAGGATCGGATATCAAGTCCCACAGTGGATTTGCCACACGGGGTTTTTAGAGTCGCGACAGCTGATTTTGGCCAATCACGAGGCACATGGTGGCATCTCAGCGAATCAAATGCGCCGCATCCCGAACTGCAACCCACACTTCAAGGTTTCAGCCAATCACATCCAGGGAGATCCAAAACCTCTCTCTTTTAATATTGCACCTGCACCTCGGCCTGTGGTTGTTTCATCATTCTCGAATCTGCCGCCGACAAGTCATGTTCGTCGCCCGCCACCTCCATGCGTCGCTCCGCGCGAGCCACGCCACGAAGGCCTTCTCTGCCCTCGCCGGCCTTGACGTACGTCCATGCGCCATGAGGACTCCAGATGACTCAGCGAACATGCAATCTCTCTAGTCGTCCAAGACGATCATCCACAAGACCATGCACCCCAAGGTACTTGGTCATCGCCAAGGATTATGGCAGAATGCTCACGAGCGCATATTTGCGTAGGCCAAGGTGCCCAAGGAGACGCTGACGTTCGGCACGACCTTCACGGATCACATGCTCGAGATCGATTGGGACCAGACGACGGGCTGGGGCAAGCCGTTGATCCGGTATGTCGTCGCTTCGTGTGGCAATAACAGACGCCTCATGCATTGCTCGTAGCCCGTACGGCCCGCTCAGCGTGGACCCGGCGAGCAGCTCGTTGCACTACGCGCTGCAGGTATAGACTTGCGCTTGACGTTGACGCGGTTTGTCCACTCACAACGATGATGCAATTAGTGCTTTGAGGGCATGAAGGCGTACATCAACGACGATGGCAAGATCCGTCTCTTCCGCCCCGACATGAACATGGCGCGCATGAACAACTCGATGGAGCGTCTCTTCCTGCCCGTACGATATGATCATCGAAACTTCCATGGATGGCTCCTCACGCAGCTTTTATGCAGACGTTCGACTCGGAAGAGCTCATCAAGTGCATTGAGCAGCTCGTTTTGCTCGACAAGGACTGGATTCCCAAGGGCGACGGCTACTCGCTGTACCTGCGCCCGACGGGCATTAGCACCCACGTATGCGCAATGCGCCAACTCATATGGTCCCTCTCACCTATGCTCTTGCTAGCCCCACATCGGCGTCGGCGCGTCGACCAAGGCCAAGGTGTTTGTCATTCTGTCGCCGGTCGGGCCGTACTACCCCGAGGGCTTCAACCCGGTCAAGCTCTTTGCCGACGACACGTACGTCCGCGCGTGGCCCGGCGGTACCGGCAACACCAAGGTTGGCGGGTACGACGATTATTTTTTCTTGATTGCGCAATCTCATTATGTGGGTAGCAACTATGGCGCGACGATCATGCCGCAGATGGAGGCCAACAAGAAGGGCTACTCGCAGATCCTGTGGCTCTTTGGCGAGGAGCACTTTGTGACTGAAGTCGGCACGATGAACCTCTTTGTCTACTGGATCAACGAAGACGGCGAGAAGGAGCTCGTGACGGCGCCGCTGCACCGCGGCGACATCCTCCCGGGTGTCACGCGCGACTCGATTCTCGAGCTCACGCGCGGCTGGGGCGAGTTCAAGGTCTCGGAGCACACGATCACGATGCCGTCGATCGTCAAGGCGCAGAAGGAAGGCCGCCTCCTCGAGATCTTTGGCTCGGGCACGGCCGCGGTCATCTCGCCGGTGAAGCTCATCAACTACAACGGCGTCGACTTGGACGTGCCGCTCGACGCCGAAGATGGCAAGAGCGGCCAGCTCACCAAGCGCATCTGGAAGGAGATGACCGACATCCAGTATGGTCGCAAGCCGCACCCGTGGTCTGTCGTCATCAACTAAGTTGTTTCGTTTCGTACTAAAATATTGCCCCCGCAAATATACTCGACCTTGTTCCTCGTCGAGTACTACGACCTACTATAGCTAGACGGAGGGAGCTCGATCGACATGCACCATCGAGGATCAAGAATCTGTCCCACGTGGTGAAAGGACAGGCGTGGTGCTATAAACATTCCATGAGAAGTTGCACACAACTTGAAACAGTCCGCATGACCAATACCAAGAGCACGGGGTCCAAGAAGCCCAAGTCGACCAAGTCGATCGTGCGCCGGCTGCGGGATGAGCTTTCGGGGAAGCTCCGGCACGAGCAGATATGGAGCGTCAACCAAGCCCATGCCGCGCCGCGCAATGCGCTGTACCAAGTGCAGCTCGCCGAGAGCCTGCATCGCCACTTGCAGCCGAGCCTCCTTCGCCTCGACGACGCCGCCCACGTCGACAAGGCCACCATCTTTGAAAGCGCCAAGGTACATAACGGCAGTGATAGAAGACTTTCTGAGACCGAATGGGCTAGGTAGACGCGGCGCTGCGGCTCTCACGTCAGCTCTACATGCTCGAATTTAGCTTTCGAAAGCTGTCGCTGCGCTGGCGCCGCATCAAGCTCGCGTCGGGGCTGCGGCTGTGGCAGGTACGGCCTCACTGGAGTGCTCTGCGCCTCCACCAACGACGATTGTAATAGCACCACGTGGCGTTGCACAAGGCCCACGACGTGCACGTCAAGGTGCTAACCTTTCACGCGATTCGGATTCAACGCGCGTACCGGCGCCGGTTTGCTTATGTCCGCGACCTGGCCGCGAAAAAGTCGTTGGCGGACCAGCTCCACGCGCTTCTGCAAGAACACGCGGCCGCCCACGCCCAACGCGTGCGAGAGGAGCTCATGGCGACGCAACTCCAGGTAGGACCTTCTCTTGGTCGAGTACAAAACATGACGTTGGCGTAGCGAGTCTGGCGAGGGACACTGACGCGGCTGCGGGTCGCCGACGTCTTGGCCGCGCAGCTGCGACGGACGCTATGTACTCTCTCGGTGCATCAGCTCTTTGGGCATCTCAAGCCCGTGCAGGTGGCCGCGGGTCATCTCTTCTTGACGTTGAATGCCGAAGCCGCGACCATTGAAGCTGCCCACGATGTACTGATGTGCCCTCCCGCCGGTAGCCGCCGCCTCGACTCGTACGTTGCTCTTATGCAAATTGATGTAGCGAGTCAGAGCCTGCTTTTGTGGACCCACACGATTCGAGACATTGCGGCCATCGCAGAAGTCCGTGCGTCGCGCCATCGTTTTCTTCGCGCCAAGGTCCGGACTACCTATTGGCAGCTGCAAGAGGCGCTCGTGGCGGACATGGCCCTCCAGGAGTGGCGCCACATGCAGCGCAACGCGCGACGCGAAGCCCGACGCCACGCGCGAACCGAACACTTGGAGCGGCAGCGAGATGCGACCCGCGCCACCCGTGCACTCCTTCTGCGCCAAGCGCTACAAGCGCAGCTCGAGGCTCGCGAGGCGGCCGACATGACGCGAGAAGACGAGCTTATGCATGCCGTAATGGCTGTGTGGCGGGCGTGGGACCAAAAGCTCGCGTCGGACCGCCTCAAGCACGCCCGTATGTGCTTGAAGCTACAGCTCCAGTCGCGCGCGGCGGCTGTGACGGCTACCCGCCGCGAACTCGATGCCATGTTGATCGAGGACGACCACGGGCGATGCGCGCGTCTCAACCGTCATGGCGCGTCCGTTGCGATGCATTGGCAATCGTGGCAGATCCACATCACAATCCAACCAATGCGCGGCGTCGTCGTGCACCATTTGGCCGCCGTCACCGTCATCTATCGCGCACGTCGACTGCCAGCGTTGACCGAGTACGTCTACAGCACCTCCAATGCCCTGGACCTCAAGCAAGGATTGCTCCGACCTTCGCGGTACCAGCTGCCGACCGTCCTCATGCCTTCGGATGTGAGCTGGCGTGGCGCAGTCAATCGGTGCCTCTACCGAGTTTGCTGGCATCGGCACGAGAAGGCATCCCTCTTGGTCCATGCCACGCGCATGAATGCGAACATAGTCGTTGTCGCCGCCGCCACCATCGCGCTGCCAAGCGTCCTGGCGCTCTTGACGCTGGACCAAATGGTGTGGCTACGCCCACGCCACCACATCAAGCTCTTTCGCCACCTCGCTACGTGCACGGCGATCGATGCGACGTCCCACGAGCTTGTGGTCACGCCGCCGCTGCACGTGACGCAGCAAGGTGGCGTCGTGCACTCGGCCGTACCCGTTCTGAACGCTCTTCTTCACTGCAGCTGGACGACGTTCCAGCACCACCTCGACCGCATCGAGGGACTGTGTCGACGCAACTTGAATGCTATCTAAACTATCCCGCAGTGTACTAGTCGTCGGTTAGTCGTTTCGCGGCCGTCGTATAGTCAATTGCCGTCGACTCGTAGTCGTTGGGCCTAGTCGTTGTTTAGTCGAGCGGGAAGTTTGAAATTCCCTCTAAACGTACGCACCACCGTACTGGCGTTTCCGGTAAAGAATGTACGGCAAAATAGAGTTCATTACCATTAGAAGTTTGTATGCAATAAAATAAAAAGAAGGCGTGGCAACGGGTGGCGTCAGTACGACCGTGTATTGTACGATTTTTCCGTGTACGGAATCATGGAGCACGATAGCCGGTCGGGGCCGCGGTCGGACCCGGTCTGGGAGCACTTCACGCGGGGCGAGCGCCATGGCATCAGCCGCGTGCGCGCGGCCAAGTGCAACTACTGCACGCGCTCTTGGAAGTACGCCGACCTGGCGCAGATGAAGTCGCACATTGCGACCGACTGCCCGGGCGACATGCCGGTCAAGATCCGCAGCCTCGGCCTCGTCGCCGAGCAGATTGGCCCTCCGATCAAGCGCCGCAAGCGTGACAAGGACGGCGACGGCTGCGCAGACGGCGGAATGCTCTCGTCGCCGATGACGGGCTCGATGCTACTGCTGCGCGACGCAGCGTCCAAGAACCTCCTCAAGCACAAGATGCCGCTCGCCGTCTCGGGCCAGTCGGAGAAGGTCCTCATGGTGAAGGCCTTTGTGTGCAACGAGCTGCCGCCGGCCACGATCGAAAACAAGCACTTTCGCGAGTGGCTGCGGGGCATCTCACCTGCATACAAGCCGTCGACGAGCGACGACGTGCGCAACATGATTGTGCAGCAGTACGCGACCGAGGCAAGCAAGCTCAAGGAGCTCGTGCACCATGGCTTCAACCGCATCACGCTCACGCCGTCGTCGTTTTGGACGTCGGCAACCAGCGCGTGCTTCGCGTTGTCTTCTCCAACCAGAGCCGCGTCGAAGTCATCTGGAACATGGTCGCGTACCCGTGCGAGCAGAGCGATGCGTCGCTACCTACGTCGCTGCTCATGTCGGCGATCAACGAGATCTCACCCGAGCGCTTCATTGGCCTGTGCACGGACAACGACCACGACCTCGTGACCGCCGCGCACGACATTGCGAAAAGCTACCCGTGGATCGTGCCACTGCGCTGCATGGCGCAGATCACGAGCAACCTCGTGCACGAGTGGCTCAAGATCCCGGACCTCACCAACGTCTTCCAGGTCGCGGGCCCGCTGCTGGCGTATTTCGAGTCGTCGCACGAAGCCATGCACCTCTTAAACGAAAGCGCGCTGCAGATGAACGTGCCGCGCTGCCGCCTCGTGCCGCTCAGCGCCGAGAGCTGGAGCGACTGCATCTTGTCGCTGGCGTCACTGCACGTCAACGAAACCGGCATCAAAACACGCTCATCAAAGCCTTCCGCGCCGGCACCTCGTACGCGCCGTCGCCGACCTTGGTCGCCTTTGTCAACCACGCCGACTTTTGGAGCAACCTCGCGAGCCTCGTCCAGGTGCTGCGCCCGATCAAGACGCTCATGGACCTCTTTGAGACGCACGACGTGACGCTTGCCGATGTCTATGCAGGCTACGCCAGCATCAACGCAGTGCTCCTCAGCCTCTGCACCAACGCGACGACGATGAACCAGCGCAAGCTCTCGACCAAAGTGTTTGGCCAAATGACGCCGTTCCTCAACAATGCGTGGTCCGAGATCAACCAGATTGGCGACGGCCTTGGACTCCTCGCGTACTTTTGCCACCCGCGGTACCACAAGCGCGGGCTTCAGCGGCACCAGTTTCAGACGATCCTGCGCACGGCCTTGACGCTCTGGGGCCGTCGCCGCAAGTCGGAGCACCAAGCGCGCATGCTCGGCCAAGGCCTCCACGAACTCTGGACGGGCGAAGGCGTCTACAACGTGCGGACGTTCCTGACGTCTGGCGTCGAACCGCGCAGCTGGCTCTCGGTGCTTCCGAACGGCGAGCTCGTCGAACTCGGCGTTCTGCTCCTCGAGATGCAGCCGGTCTCGACCGACCACAGCAAGTACGACGCGTGGGACGCGCTTATCGCGCTCGAAGCGCCGCGCACGAAGCTCGCGACCGACTATGCGACCACGTGCACACGACTCAAGTCGATCTACGAGGCCCGCGAGGCGCTCACCAACCCGATGGCCGGCCACGACGGCAGCAGCGCGGCCTCGGTGCTCGCGCAAGCCGACAACATCCTCGCGCAGTGCGAAGCAGCCGCGGCGGCGTTCGAAGAAGACCCGACGTACCATTTGGACGAAGCCGCGCTCGAGGCGCACCTCAACACGCTCGGGAAGGACTGGGGCATGAACATTCCCACGGACGAGTACGACCCGAATGCTGACTTGAGTCTCCTCGCCGGCATGACGTTTGATCTGAGCAACCACGACTTGGTCAACGTGTGGAAGGTGCCCACGGGCCCGAGCGACCCGGCGCTCATGCCGACCATTGTATCCACCGGCAACGACTGCGGCTTCAACGTCGACGAGATCGTCGGCGCCTATGTCTAGCTCATTTTAAATACGAGTCGTCATTAAGCCTGATATGGACTCGGAATTCAGCATCGTGCACAGTTCTTCGTTGAGGCCCTTGACGGATCTTCCGACGTCGTCTGCACGTGGTTGTAGCGTACGTCGGTCGCACCACGGAACAGCCTACCAACACTCTGCCAAACTCGTTCTTTCAGCGACTTTCACCACCGACCAGTTCCCAATAGACTGCCTCGGACGCCAGCCTCGGTCTCGTGGCCCATGACGACCAAGCGAGCGCGCGGTACGCTGACGCCGGCGTTGGCCCTCGACCACGTCCGTCTCTCGATCGTCCAGAGCTTGCGCTCCTGGCAGGACGTCGTCGCTTTTCTCGGTGCCTTGCCAGCGTCCTCGCTCGATCGGCCCCTGACGGCGCTCCGGGATCTTCCCTTGACGTGGCGCAACTTCATCGAGCAGTGGCCAATGCCCTGCCTCGACTACATGAGCCCAGAGGCAATGCACCTCGCCCTCGCTGCGCTCCCAGCGATCCCGTCCATCGAAATATATTGCGTCACGACGCTTGAAGAGACGCCGTCTGGTCATCACGACGACCTCGGCGCGCTTGCGGCGGCTTGGTCGACCAAGATCGAGTGCGTCGACAAACCAGTCGATACCGACAGCGTTGACTTCTGTCGACGCGTCTTGCCGCACTGCTCGCGCCTCAAGCTGTTGAGTTTCGAAGCGTCAGTGTGTGCCGACGTGCTGCCGCTGCTGCCGTCGAGCGTGTGCAAAATCCACATCTTCAACAACAACAGCAACTTCGGCGATGGTGGCGTCGTCTGGAGAATCGCGGCGCCCTTGCAACAGTGGCTTTCCACTGGACACGACAAGCGAGTCGTCATCCACGGCCCGCTGCCCCCCGACGATGCCGCCGCCGTCGCCGACGTCGTTGTGACCGCAACGTCGTTGGTTGAGCTCAACCTTTACCAGGCGCCTGAGCTCGCGCATGCACTCGAGGGCAAGGCGCTGTCGCGCAAGACACGGTTCACCAGCTATATACCGGTCCAAAATGCAACTCGTGGCGCGCCTTGACCTCGCCAAGCTTACTCGTCTTGAAGGTTCTCATCCGCCGAATTTTCCTCTGCCTACAAACTATGTCACCCGTTAGCTCACAAACATGCCACCCGCAGCTCTACCCGCAAAAGTCCATAAACACGATCGTTCTTTACCCCGTTCCTGTCGCGTCAACAAGCAGCACTTTTAAACGGAAGCGCGCTCCAGAGGACCTTGCCACCTCGTGCCGCTCAGCGCCGAGAGCTGGAGCGTCTTGTCGCTGCCGTCGCTGTCATTGGTCGCCTTTGTCAACCACGCCGACTTTTGGAGCAACCTCGCGAGCCTCGTCCAGGTGCTGCGCCCGATCAAGACGCTCATGGACCTCTTTGAGACGCACGACGTGACGCTTGCCGATGTCTACGCAGGCTAAGCCAGCATCAACGCGGTGCTCCTCAGCCTCTGCACCAACGCGACGACGATGAACCAACGCAAGATCTCGACCGAAGTGTTTGGCCAAATGACGCCGTTTCTCAATCATGCGTGGCCCGAAATCCATCCGATTGGCGACGGCCAGCGCGGCTATTACGAGCTTTAGGATTGAAAAAGACGCGCTGGGTGTTGTCGTAGACGGTCGCGGCCAGCTCATGGATGTCCTCGCCGCGGACACCACTGACGACCTCGAGCACTTGCCTGCACAGCGATTGGATGTGAAATTGACATCCGAGGACATGGAACGAGGACGTACAGCATGGTGCACGGTTCGTTGCGGCCCTTGACGCACTCGCCGAGGACGAATTTCTCCATCTTCTTGGTCGGAAACGTTGTCTGCACGTGGCTGTAGCCGGCGTGGGTCGGTCGAATGTCGCACCACGGAGCATCTATATACAAACCTTGGTGTCCTGCATGTGAAGACAGGAAGAAGCACGTACCCGTCTCGAGCATGAGCTGGTCGGACGGGATCATCTTGACAACCTCGAGGTTCTCGGCCGTCTTGAGCGAGCAGCCGTTGATACCAATGTAGAGACCAAGGTCCAGAAGCGCCTGCGCCTCCTCTTTCGAGCCCGTGAACGAGTGCACGACGCCGTCCGTGAAGTCATCGCGATGGCGGCGAATCATGTCTACGCCATGGTAGTTTTGCCGTCGATACTAGGTAAGAGAATCGCAGCAATATCGTACCCGTAAAGTCCGAGCCCGTGTTGCGGTTGTGGAGAAAGAGCGGCAGCTTGGTCGCGCGCGCGAGGTCGAATTGCCGCGTAAAGTACGTCTGCTGGACGTCCTTGGGGCAGAATTCGAGCCGGTCATAGTCGAGGCCAAACTCGCCGACGGCAACGACCTTCTTGTCGCTCATGCCGTCGCGGCAGACCTGCGTGAGCTCGGCCATGTAGGCGTCCGGGTCTGCGAGGAACTCGCTGCAGCGCGTCGGGTGCACCTGAAGAGAACTCATTGTCAGAGGCGAGAGGTAGCCACAGCACGTACGCCAACGGTGCAATGGAGCTTCTCGTGCGTGCGCGCGAGGCGCAGCGCTTCCTTGCTCTCGGAGAGCGACCCGCCCGTGACGATGATCTTCTCGACGTGGTTGGCGAAGGCGCGGTCGAGGACTTGGCGCAGGTCGCTCTAGAAACGAGCACCATGAGCGACGCCTCCTTGAGAGCACATGGAAGGAACCTCATGCTTCTGCTTCCCGCGGTAGTTGCCCACGAACATGGGGTCCGTGAGGTTGGCGCCGATGTCGATCAGGCGCAGCGACGTCATGAGCTTGCGTCCCGCGATGGTGACTGAAAAATGCGAGTTTCAGCCAATCCTATCACAGGATGATGATTGAACCAATCAGCGTGCAGATCGCAACAGGACGCAGCTCAAGACAGGAGCTCAAGATCGGAGCCCAAGACTGGAGCTCAAGACTGGAGGTTTGGTTAGAGCTGAGCATGCACAACAGTACAATTGTACGAAGATGGATGTTGAAGATGAGGAAGGCTACGGTAAAAGCGAGATGGCCAATTGCTTTTACGCAACAGCGAGCCGCTTTTCACGTCATTTCAATTGCTGCACACACGATGACCGCGCGCGCAACCTTGCTCAAGACCATGCTCCGGCGCTCCTTCAAGCGCGCCGTGTCGACGTCATCGGTTCGCTTGATGGTGGATGCAGCGACGCAGACAGAGTCGCAAGAGTCTGCACCAGCGACAGTGGCTACACTGAGCGTCACGGACGGCACGGTGGACCCCTTCTTTGAGCATTTTGATGAGCACTTTCCTCTCGACGATGCGCGTCCCAGCCTCCTTGACGAAGACGACACGTTTGCGAGCTTGTTCGAGGTCTAGCTCGTTCACTATACAATATATCGCACAAATACGGTGACTGCCCAAGTCGGACTTCAATCTCGCCAAGGGTGGCTAGGTACTACCGGTAGTATGGAAGCTCCAGCCCGAGTTCGAACGCAAGTGTGAATACCGCCGATGCCAGCAGCGTTGTCTCGCTGTAGATATACGAATTGCTTGTGAGTAGATCGCCGTCATACCCATAAGAAAGCTGCTATGTTCACCTCGCGCCGCACGAGGACGAACGGTCTGGTAACTCCTTAAAGAGAAGACTGCATGAGCTGTCCAGTTGCCAAAAAGTCTACAAAATCATTCGAGGTGTTAATTTATTAGAGTCGTGCGTGACATATAAATACACGAATTGGCGCTAAAAATAAGAGGGGCGTTGTAAAACCGGCATCACCCTTTTTTCCGCGCCATGGGGGCCGGGGCATCGATTCAAGGACTCAGCGCCGCCGACGTGGCCGCCGAAGTCAAGCGGCTCGGTGAGGCCTACCACGAGTACGCGCCGCTCTTCACGCGCAACGGCATCGACGGTGCGATCCTCCAACGTCTCTCGGACACGGACCTCGACAACCTCCTCGTGGACCTCGGTGTCTCGAGTGCGCTGCACCGCAAGATATTGCTCTTGCATTTGTCCAAAATCAAGACGGTCCCGACTACGTCACCCTCGTCGCTTGATACGAACGACGGACGCATCTTGGTACACCGGAGTACACCGTCGCTTGCTCCAGCTCAAGTACTCTCGCAGCTCTTTGCGTACCAGGGCATCCACCTCATTGATCCTGACGACCTCGTGTCGGTCGTTACCAAGATTGTACCTCTCGTCAAGCCCGTGTCGGCCCATGACGAGTACGACTGTTTCATCAGCTACCGCGTCGCAAGTGAAAAGGAGGTGGCCGAGAAGCTCTACTTGCACCTGAAAACCAAAGGCTACGAGCCGTTCTTGGACCGCATGTCGCTGAAGAACGCCGAGCCGTGGAAGGACGGGTTCTTGCGCGGCCTCGGCCACTCGCACCTCTTTTTAGCGCTCGTCTCAGAGGCGGGCCTCGAGAAAGCACGGGATCGGACGCAAAACCACCACGAAGACAACCTCTTGCTCGAGTACGAAGTAGCTCTCGAGATCGCGACGGCCGGGCGATTGAACGTCCTGCCCATCTACGTCGCGGCGAGCAACAATGGCAACTTTGTCAAGTTTCAGGGCTTCAACCCGGACCTCTATGCGCCAACTTTGGACCCGGAAGACGCCACCAGCCGTCGCACCAGTGTGCCTGTTGCGGCATTGCCTGGTCTCAGTGACGCGATCAAGCGACGCCAGAGTGAGATGCCAGCGTCACGGCCGCTTCAACCGATCCCAGGCGAAGACGCTGGGGGCGTGGATGCGAGCGTGAATCGCAAGGTGAGTCTCTCAGAAACGATGACGACCAACTTGGAAGATCTCGTTGCAACACTGTACACGGACGTCTACGACGACGTCTTTGAGGCCCTCGAGAAGATCTTTGGCATCGTCCAGCGCTCAAAGTATGCCATCAAGTTTGCCCAGGCCAACGGATGGGTTGCCCTTATCCACGTGCTCTGTCATGCGACAATGGACGGGTTACAAAAAGACTATGCGGCGGGCGCGCTCTCGTTCATTGCGCCAGCGCTTGTTCTACAACCTGACGGCGGCTCGGACGAGGTCTGGGCCGCGATCGAGGGGTCCCTCGAGGCCCACCACGCCGAGCTCATCGAAAAAGTGCTCGGCCATGGCTCTGCGATGCAAAAGCAGTACATTGTCGTGACCCTCATGCACCTTTGTGAGCGCGACCACCTCCGCGACGTACTCCGCATGTCGGAGGAGCTGCAACTGGTACTCGAAGAACTCAAGCCCAAAGGCTCCCAAGTCCAGGCGCACGCTTGCTCGATCGTACTTATGCGCTGCTTTCCGCCCACCGAGACATCGTCGAGCGGCGAAGCGGTAGCTGCTGATGCTATCATCGAGGAGGCGCCCGTCGAGACCGAGCCGATCCCGACAGTGTAATTGGTGTAATTGTAATGTGTCAAAAGATCGTTTTTCAACCAATCGCAATGCGTATGTATTTTAGCCAATGAGAGCATTTACACATTTTCGCGCGCAGACGATGGACCGACGGGCGTGGGCGACGGCTCGGACGCGCTTCGCCGCCAAGCATACCCTCCTCGGAGGCGGTCCCGGGCCCTCGGACGAGTCTACGAGCATGCGACTACCTACCCTCGAGGAAGAGGAGACTCCTCCGCAGGCAACGGTCCCAAGCAAGCCGACGGGACATGAGCCTCCGGCAAGGTCAGCCTTCAACGTCCCTCGAAGCCTCGGGTCGACCAAGGACTCGTCGACGACGCGGTGGAAGCGCGCAGGAGGCCTCGTCGGAGCGCGTCAGGACCGCAACGTTCGCGCCAAGACAGACGTCCGGACGCCCCGCGCCTGGGCCGGGTACACGGACGCGGCCCTGCTGCACGTGCTCCAGCATACGTTTGGGAGCGACGCCTTCCGACCAGGCCAAATAGAGACCATCCATGTACAACACTCGATTGGATGAAGATGAAGTGACGGTGCTGGAAGCGTAGGAGGCAGGTCGAGGCCGCGACGTCTTTGTCCTCATGCCAACGGGGGCCGGAAAGAGCCTCTGCTACCAGCTGCCCGCGTGCATGGACGCCGGGGTGACCGTGGTCGTCTCGCCCCTCCTCTCGCTCATTGAAGACCAGATCCACCATCTTGAGAAGCTTGGTATCCACGCCAAGATGCTCACAAGCGCCGTGTCGGCCTCGATCAAAGGCGCAACACTCGACGAGATTGCGTCGACCTCGTGCACGCTCAAGCTTCTCTACGTCACGCCCGAGGCGATTGCGAGCTCGACCAACCTCAAGCGCGCGCTTCGGCGCAGCGCGGACGCGGGCATGCTCGCACGATTCGTGATTGACGAGGCCCACTGCATCAACCAGTGGGGCCACGACTTTCGAAAAGATTACCTCGCACTCGGGCAGCTGCGTGCCACCTACCCAAGCGTATGAGCTCTTTTTGCACTGCATTCTGGAGCAAATCGGTGTCTAGATTCCTATTATGGCGTTAACGGCGACTGCGAGCGCCAAGACGGAAACACAAATCATGGACTCGCTCCACTTGAAGGCACCATGGATCCAGCGAAGTAGCTACAACCGGTACATTGCGGCTCTTGTGTTTGGTTTTTGAAATCTCAACACAAATCGGTGTAGCACCAACTTGTCGTATGCCTTTGTCGTCAAGTCGGAGGAGTTTCTTCAAGAGCTGCGAACGTTTGTGGCGACACATGCGGATGAAAGTGGCATCATTTACTGGTACATCGTCACAATCGGAAGGTGTAGCCATTGACGGATGCTGTAGCTTGACGCAAAAGGATTGCGAGGAGTTGGCCACCGAGCTGGGCGCGATAGGGTCCATTTCGTTCTACCACGCGGCGCTCTCGACGAGCGAGAAGACGTACCGCCACCGTGCATGGAGTCGCGGCGACATCAAGCTCATGATTGCAACCGTGGCTTTCGGCATGGGCATCAACAAACCAGACGTGCGCTACGTGATTCACCATAGTCTTCCCCAGTCCATCACACACTACTACCAAGTGAGTAATCATCCGCTGCTCCACGCACTCAAGTATGGTATGTGAGCAGGAGTCGGGGCGCGCTGGCCGGACGGGCTACCGGCAGAGTGCATTGTCTACTACGCTTACGAAGACTTTGTACCATATCGTATTGCTCGTATTCCGCCATGCTGACTCAATTCTAGACACGACGAAAGCAGCTGCTTCGCGACGGTACTGGCCAGAGCCGTCAAATCCACACCATCAACGTGCGCGAGATGATGGAGCTATGCGAAAACAAGGTACCCCTCTATGCCACACCCTCTGTCTTGAGATACACGCATGGACTAGACAACATGCCGTCGGACGATGCTGCTAAAGCACTTTGGGGAGACGTTCGACGAAGACAATTGCCTCGGCACGTGCGACAACTGCCTCGAGAAGATCGATCCATCCCCAAATGCGGCAGTGGTCGTCGATGTTTCGGATGTGTCGAGAGCGCTCTGGGCCATGTGTACACTATCTCGTCCTTGGTGTGTGCGCTCATTCGCCGTTCGTTCGATAGTACAATACTGCACGCAAAAGAATATTGCCTTGACGCTTGCAGACATGGTCAACCTGGCCATGGGACGGCAACTGCCCAAGAAGAAGCGGGGTGGAGCGAACAACATCCCTGGCGGTGGCTGCGCCAAAGAGCATGGACACTCGCGTGGGCAGGTCCAGGAAATTCTGCACTACCACATTTACCGCCAACTGCTCGTGCAGACGGTACCATACATGCTTCGATAGCAAAATGGTCGAAGCGAGCTGATTTGAGTAGGGAAAAGCCAACCACCAAGGCTTTACGTCGTTTTACATGCGTCTCGGCTCCAAGTGGACCGAAGTTCGCGATGGCGACCGTATCACGATGGTCATGACGGCAGGTACATCCCTTGCCACCACCATCATCTCGGAGCTCGAGTCTCTCTCCGATGCATCATGAAACTCACCACTCCATCTGCAAGTGTGACGATCAACACTATTCACGGGCTTGCATTATTTGATTACCCCCACCAGGATCGCACTCTGGCTTAATGGTGATAGAGAAAATCCATTTCGGCGTCCGTCTTGGCGTGCAAATGGTGTGCCTTCATCTTCTTCTCGTGGTGCTGCGCAAAGGTCGGCTTGCCATCCTTGATAAACTCGTCGAGCATCGCCAGCGAGTTGGCCGGCTGGTTCATCGGCACCATGTGGCCGGCGTTGAACACTTGAAGGAACGTGAGGCCTTGGACGCTGCGGACCTTCCCGGCTTTCTGGCCGTCGACGACCCAGTCGACGTCTTCTTGGCCAGCAAACTGCGTCTTGTACTTCCAGTCAAGCGCGACCGTCCATGCCTTGCAGCCCATCCAGTTTACGATAAAGTCCGCGTCGCCGGCGTAGACGAGCACGTCAATGTGGTCTTCGACCATCGGCGTCACGAGCTGGTCAAAGTTGCGCATCCAGTCGTACGAAAAGCCAGCGTGGACCTCCATGTTGCACGACGCCCACTTGGCGCTCTTCTCGCTCACGTGCAGTGCTTGACGCGTCGACGGAAGGTTCAGAAATTTCTCGATCGCGCCAAAGTCGTAGCACATGGGGAAGTGCGCGCACTTTTCGCGAATGTCGTAGACGTTCAAGCCCGAGAGTTGGTACGGCGAGACGAGCGCGGCGTTGCAAAAGACCTGCGCGACCAAGCACGCGACCTTGGTCTTCTGGCAGAGCTCGATGAGCTGCGTGCACTTGGGCACAGCCGCCTTCATCGTCTTGTACACGGCCTCGGGCACGGCCTTGACGCCGTACGTGTTGTGGTAGGCCATTTCCGGGTAGTACTGGTACTGGACTTCGGGCGACGTGAGGCCGTTCCCGATGCCAATGCCCTTGAGGTTGATCTTGGGCGACGAGCCTTCCTTGTTGCCGCTGTAGATGCGATGGGCGACCGCGGGGACGTAGTGGCCTGCGTAGCTTTCGCCAAAGACGTAGAACGCGTTCGAAGCGTACTCAGGGTGCGCGGCAAAGAAGGCTTGGAGAAAGTGATACATGTCGTTGCCGACCATAGTCTCGTCCGTGTCGTACTCGCTCTTGTCGCCGTAGCTAAAGCCAACGCCCGCGGGCTGGTCGATCCACATGATGTTGGCCTTGGCGTTCCACGAGTACGGGTTGCGCTTGAGCGAGAGGTCGTCGTTGACCGAGCAAGGTCCGTTCTCGCCGAGGAGCGCGAGCATCGAGCTGCAGCCAGGGCCGCCCGTGAGCCAGATGATGACCGGGTCGTCCTTGGGCGCATCGCGCGACTCGAAGAACCAGTAAAAGTAGTTCTTGCTCTTGGAGCCGTCAATCTTGAAGTAGCCGCTGAGCTGCTTGGTCGAGTCGCAAAAGCTGTCGGCGACCGGAGCGTCTTGGAGGCTGCCGTGGAACGTGAGGTTCGCCTCGCCCATCTGCAAGCTCCACGAGCTGTCGCCGCGCACGGCCGACGCCGCGAGGGCCGCCATGCTCCAGAGCCACTTCATTCTTCTGCTGCCAATTGGGTTCTGGCGAAGCCCAAGGATTATTTGCCCGTCGCGATCTTCCAGCACGTGCTCGGATTGGCTAAAATGAGGACATTCTTATGCATGTGATTGGTTTGCCTGTGGTGAAGGGGCTCGGATTGGACGTAGGGCGTGCACCCACAATCACTCTGGCGAGAACACGGACCAGCTCTCGTTCCCGCCACATACAAACACCAAGTGAAAGCAAGCGCACCTGCGTTGCAAGGAACAGACGGCGGTGCATCGTCGAAGTGAAATAGACCGTCATAATCAGCATTTGACGGAAATTTACGGGAATTTAAAGACCTCTTAGAGTGGATGGCAGAGTTTTTGGAATGCACAGGATTATGCGGAGGTATGCCGGATACGGTGCCAGGTAGCAGCATGGAGCCGCTGCGCAAAGACCTCGAGTTCCCTGACGGCCGCGCAGCCCTGCAGTACGTACAGGACTATGCGCTCGCGCAGAAGAAGAGCGTCAAGGTCGCACGCAGTGGTGGCGGCCACAAGCTCGTGCTTTGCACCAGCGACGGCTGCTCGTTTCGAGTCCAGCTCTACCAGCGCAAGCCGTCGCCCAATGTTTGGTACGTCTCGACGTTCACGAGCACGCATCTCGACAGCTGCACGTCTGTGCCAATGCCCACGCAACGCCAGCTGGAGGCGCTGCCCACGCTACAGGAGGCCATCGATGCCGACCCAACGATCGCCGTCCGGTCCCTGCAGACCCTCCTCCACGCCACGGATGTGGTCGCCCACGTCAGCGAGAAGAAGCTGTCGCGGGCCGTCGCCAAAATGCAGGAAGTGCAGATTCAAGCGGCGAGAGACATGTATGTGCGGTCGGTCGAATGCCTCACCAAGCTCGACCCTGGTTTTCTTGGCCTTCCAGCCGGCCCGAAGAAGCGCGGTCGAAAGCGAAAGCTACCGGCAGCAGCCACGTCCGAGACGGCGACCAGCACCAATTGTCCTGAAATAACGGCCGTCGATCTTTGAGTTTTGCACCGCCATGGTCAACGATCGTCCCCAACACACCTCTGCCCAGGACATGGATCTCGCGCTTGGCGGCAAGAAGGCTGCATTCATAGGCCTCAGGTCCAAACGTCATTGAATGAGGCAAATTTGTGGAGCCAAGATGCGTCCTGCATAATCAAAGCGCAGTGTACTACAGTACCAATGTCAGTTCACTATCCAACCGTTCATGGACGGGCGACAGAGCTCTGCCAGCATGCTATCGTTAAAGCCACTCGCAGATGAAGAGCATAATGACGCCTCCGCAGCTCCTGGACCCCGAACTCTGCGTCCCCACGCTCCGTTGTACAATTGTATCAGATCTTGGTGGGCGCCAAAATCTCATCTGGAAGCCTACCCGTATCCGGTCAAACCGGATAAAGCTAAGGCCGCGGCAGGACCGAGGAGAAGCAGCATGACGGGCATGACACGGTCAGCAACGGATGCATGGCGTGGCGCTCATGGCATGTAGGGTCTACCTCGTCTCGGACAGCAACATCCCGGTCCGGTACCAGAACCTGCTCAAGAAGATGGACGAGATGGGCGCGCGCAAGGTCGACCGCCACGTCGTGCACTCGCAGATGCTGTCGCGCAAGCTGCTCGTCGACGGATATGCCAACCAGCGCATGTACCTCCTCCGCACGTCCCAGAACGACGACCTCATCTACGCCGTCCTTGGCAATGAGAAAACGGAGCTCTCGATGAAGGTCGACTCGAGCGAGAACGGCCTCGACGGCCCGCTCGACGAGTGCTGCCTCCTCGAGTGCGGCCTTGAAGGCTCCAACATCCTCCAGCAAGTCGAGATCTACGTGCCCAAGTCGTACGGCAAGTTTGAGGTAGACAGAGTCGCTGGCATATTGGCAGCTCATGCGCCTTTTGTAGGGGATGCAATTTGCCTTTGGCGACTTTACCATTGGCATTTGCACGTTTGTCTGCCGCGGCAGCACGCCGACGGGGCTCGTCGTCGAGATCCAGTACACGCCGTGCTCGGTACTCGCTGAGGCAAGCCAGGACAAGCTCCTCGACGAGCTCCTCCTCACGATCGCGACCGGCACCGAGACGACGCCGACGGCCAACCCGGCCGACTCGATCAAGAAGCCGATCGTCAACTTGCTCGGCTTGTTCGACAAGGTCGGCCTGCCGCCCCAATACTCTCTCAAGCACACGGCGATCCAGTACGTGGCCGCCTTCAACATTTTACGGAAATAGTGTACGATCAATGCCATCGCGCTACAAGGCCACGTGGAGCTCCCGTCGGAGATGCAGCACGCTAATTCGGTGCTGGGCCTCAAACAGAGTTGCGTGGCGCTGCACCTGCGCAAACCACGCAGTCGTCGCCGAGCCGCGGACGCGGAGGAGCACCGTCGCACATTTCTTGAGGTTGCCGACGCCAAAGTAGCTCTGTGCGAGCGCATGCAGGTGGTCGTGCGATGGTCGGTCGACGCCCCGTAAGCTGCATTCGAGGAGGTCGACGGCCCAAGGAAAGTCGCGTCGCGCCGCGCACGTGAGCGCGAGATCCGTAAAGAGTCCTGGCGTTGCCACGAGCATCTCGGGCGTGAGCTCGTGTCGCGTAATGTCGTCGGCCGAGTAGAGCGCGTGGAGCAGCTCGTCGTAGTACGGGTTGTGGCACAGGGGTTTGGCCACGTCATGGCAGCGCGTCAGCAGCAATAAGAGCTCCATAGAGCTGTACTGCGGGTGGGACTCTTGGCGCTGGTCCTCTAGAAGGCCAAGCGCCGCGTCCACGTCACCAACGTGGTAGTAGGACTGCACTTGGAAGCGCCAAATGGCGATGGGGCGCGCGTGGCGGCGTCGCCGGGGAGCACCGGCCGTCGTGTGCTCGAGTGTTCGGGCGTACTGATCACAGGCTTTGAGCGTTTGGCAGTAGAGTCCGAGTTCAAAGAGGACTTCAATGTACGCGAGCCACATCTACAGACGCTTGGGTCGTGGCTTGCCTACGTACATCAATCGTACCTCCGAGGCTGACGGCGTGAGCGCGAGCGCAGTCTCGTAGGCGTGGGCTGCTTGTTGCAAAAGCGGAATCTCGACGTGTCCACCGCGTCGCCAGAGATCCACGAACCGAGCAGCGAGCGCCGGCCAAAAGTCACGTGGGTTTTCGGGCACGTGACCAAAGCTACATCGCCAGGTTGCATGGGTCAAATGCCTTTGCAGCGATCGTATGATAGTACGCAATGGCTTTCGAGACGAAGAGAAGACTGCAGCGGGCTAGCAGTAGCTGCTCGTCGGCGTACACGGGCTGCGACGCCAACTCGGCGTAGGCTCTCGAGAGTTGTAACAGTGCGATAGCAGACGGCCGTCCATTGTACTCGGCCTCGAGCACCATGATACGGCAGTAGTTAGCCTTGCTCCGACTCACCTTCCATGCACTCTACACATTACTGCTGCATCTTGAAGCAAGGCGGCGAGAACTCACGTGTTGCTGCCGCGCCTGACGGTTGCGGTACATGGCTTGAATGTAGCGCACTGCGCGGTCGCGTTTCATAGAGTCCAGCTGACGCTGCTTGCGCGACGCCTCGGCGACGAGGACGTGGCTCTTCTTCCCGAGGCGCAAGAGTGCCTTGGAGAAGAAGCGCTGCAGGACGCGCGCGGCGCGTGTCTGGATCTGGAACGTGGCTTTGGCCGCAATTTCTGCCTGGATGCGCCGCAGCACTTCGCGCGGAGACTGCCTCTGGAGCTTGTGCTGGGCCAGCTGGCTCGGCAGTGTCTCAATGGTGCCAAAGGCCTGGGCCTGGACCTTGGCACGCACGCGTTGGCGCCAGCACCACGTGGCAATACGCGCCGCTGCAATGCGCTGCCGCGTCTGCTCCTTGCCATCCGAGCGAACGCACGCAATATCCACGCGAACCGGCGCCGCCCAATCGCCGCGCTCGAGCTGGTACGACGACTGCCAGTCACAGGCGCGGGCCCGACCGCGTCGACTGACGATCGAGGTCGTCGAGGCCACGCGAATCACCGACCGCGTCGTCGGCGACTGCTTGCACGAAGTGAGTCGTCTCTTGCTGGCGCCCAAGTAGACATTGCACTCGTTCTGGCGCTGGCGCTCGTCCTCGATCGCCCGTCGGAGCCGCTGGACGCGCTGCGACGACGCCATACTATCGGCCACTCAGATCCTATTTTTAGCCGTGTGATTTTCACATTGCACGTCAGGAAGACATGTGATTGGCCCAAAAAGACCAATCACAACACGCAATCGAGGATCGGAGATCGTTTTGACTGCGGCGCCCAATTGCGCTGTCACCCTGAGCAACCAAGTGCTCTTGGAGCGAGGAACATCGGTGGATATTAAATGACACCTTTGTGTACCCGAGTCGTTGTATAAAGAGCCGTGGCAGAATTGAAAGACGGCAAGGCAGGCTGCCTCAGCTGCGTCCTGTTGGATCTCGATCCAGTGATCCGGATCGACGATGACATCTTGTGGCAACTTGCCTAGCGTGATACGACAGGCTGTGGAGCTACGAGAATGGCCCTCTCTGTGGGGGACACCTTTCGTCTCGACTGTCGGTACCTCTGCGATTGGCGTATTTATCACCGATCGGCGTTTTTCACGTGTGGGTTTCGTTTTTCACGCATGGGGCCATATTTTCAAACGCATGGCCGAAGCTGGCGACCGTCGCGCGGTCCTGCGGCAGCAGCTACTCGACGCCGACGTGCGCATGCGCTACGACTACGCGTGGCGCTCAAGCGAGTTTGGCAACAAAGTCGACCGCCTCACGGGCGCCTGCCTGCGCTTTCTCTACCTCGCAGGCACGTCGTGCGCGGCGCCGGTGGCCGTGCGCTGGCTCGACGCGGCTTCGACGCCGTACCCGACGCTGCAAACCGCCCTCGAAGACGCTTGCAAGCACGTCGAGATGCCGATATCCTCCGAGGCGACGGATGCGCCGACGGCCGCCTTTGCCTACCTCGGGCCGCATGCCATGGGCCATGTGGCCGCGACGCTGCCGCTGCCCGACGCCAGCAACGTGCTCTACTTTATCTTGATGGGCGACGCAGCGTGCTTGGCTCCGTGCACTGGCGAAGAAGAGCGTTTGCGCGGCTTGAGCGCATTCGGGCTCGGCCAAGAGCTCTGCGAGCACATGGAGGCCCACGGGTACCACGCGGTGCGCCACCACGTTGTCGAGTACAAGGACACGGCGTTTACAGAGACGCTCGGCGCCGTCATGGACTCGTTCTCGGTGCCGCAGTCCAATCTCATGGTGCATACCGAGAAGTGGGTCGTCTACGCGCCGACGGCGACCAGCGTGTTTCACATGACGGACGACGCGGACGCGGAAGATGATGCGTTTTGGCGCGCCGCCGCCAAAGGCAAGGTCTGTGACAACTGCCACGAGTCGCCGCCCAAGCTCTTGCGCTGTGTGCGCTGCTTGAACGCATTCTACTGCTCCAAAACGTGCCAGAAAGAGGCGTGGAAGGCCATGCACAAGGCCGAGTGCGTCCCGTCGTCGGCGTAGCGATTTTACGGTGGTTGGTATTATAAACCAACGCTACTAATGTACACAACACCCACGGCGCCTCTACCGCTGGCGCTCCAACACGCGTAGCTTGTGCTCTTGCGTGTTTAGCACAGCGTGCAAGTGGAAATGTTCGCGCCGTAGCCGGTGGATCTCGTCGACTTGCGCCTCCAGTGCGCGCACTTGCTGCTTGGCGCGACTTTCATGTTCGTTTGAGACCGCGAGCGCCTGCACGAGGTGCTCTTCCCGGCGTCGGAGGTGCGCGAGCTCGTCCGCGCGCGCCTCTGCCTCGACATGGCTCTGTGCGAGGGCGGCTTGGAACGCCGCGGCTTTGTACTGGTGTTGAAGTGTCTGCGCCTGACGTGCATCGCCGTCGTCGGCCACTTGACGCTCGAGCCGCTGGCACATGCTCGTGAGTTTCTCGATCGTGTCGATGCATTCTTGCTGCGTCTGACGCTCCAAATCTCTTGTTGCGTTCAGCGCTGCAATCTGCGTCGCCAAGGCCTTGTTGGAAGTCGTTAACGCGTCGATCTGGGCGACGAGGTCCTTTTGCGCACTCTCAAACTGGCGTTCTTTGGCCGACCACTCGCGCTCCTTGGTGCTCAGCGTCTGCGTGGCCGCTTCGAGCTTGGACTGGGCGGTCTGCAGCCGAGTGCGCATCGCCTGCATCTTGGCGATCGGCACAGAGTGGGCGCTTGCGTCGTGGAGCTGCTTGCGAAGGTCGCTCGCGTCGGCTTCCAAGCGGCTGCGTTCGGCCGCCCACGCGCGTTCCATCTCTAGCTTTTCGTTGGCCACCGCTGCCTCGTTTGAGAGGTCGTTGGGAGGTAGAGCGTCTGTCTTGCTGCAGGCCTCTCGCAACGAGGCTTCGAGCTGAGCAATTTGTGCATCCTTCATTGCCACGACTTGCTTTGTATCGTCAATCACCTTGGTCAAGCGCGCCGAAAACTGCGCCGCGATTGCGTCTTCCCCCGTGGACGGCCGCATCTTTCGCTTCATGGTAGCTACGTCGTCTTGGAGCTGCTGGACGACACTCGACACGGCGAGCAGCTTGTCTTGGCTTTGGCTGAGCTCCTCTTGGAGGCTGCGCTTCTCGGCGAGGATGACGTTGATCTGCGCGCGCTGCGTCTGGATGCATGCCTGCAGCTTCTGGAGCCGGCTCGAGCACTTGAGCGTCACGGCTTCTTCGTCGACGAGACCGTCGTGCGTCTCTTTCCACCACGAGTGGATCATGCGCAGCTTGGAGATGGGCGTTGCGGACGCGGCGGATCGGCCGTGGTCCTGGCCCACCGAGCCGAAGAGCGCGTCGATCGCTTCGAGCACGCTTCGGGACGAGTCCAGAATCGGCTGCTTCTCATCGTCTTCGCTCGACGTCTCGCCTGCGTTTGTGGATGCGCGCGAGAGACTACAGAAATCGTCGCTGAGCACTCCGAGGCAGACGCATGCCGTCATACATGGGGGATGGCAGCGCCGACTTGATAAATAGATACGGAAGGACAGTCTGGGCTTTAAGCTGCCATGCGCTCTCGGTGTGGCACAAGACCTAGTCTCGATTGAGTGGCAAGAAACACAAGGATGGAGACGAGAGGGACATACTTTGGGCAGTAGCTTCTTCATCGCGTCGCGCTCTGTAGGGAGCCAAATGTCCGTCTCCATCCACGCTGCCAACTACAAGAGTATTAGTTGTGTGACGCGGCGCGCAGCGTGGAACCGCACCTTGAGCAAAGTAGTGGAGGCAGACGCCGGCGTTGCGCTCACAGCAGGGAGGTCCTTGATGCGACATGCGTACAGCAGTGACTGGATCGCCTACACCAAGGCGTCGCACCGTGTTGCACAGTCCACATGAACAAACCTGCTGCTGTTGGACCCGTGGTATGCGCAGACCCAAGAGGAGGCACGTAGTGTACGGTGCGAGCAAATGTGAGCTAAAGTGCTTGGAGAGCGTGCGGCTGACGCCAAAGTACTCGACGTTGCCTGGCTTGACGCTCTGCGGGACGGCAATCATGGACGATCCTGCGACGTCGATAAACCGAATGGAGCCCACGAGCGCGGTGCGCACTGCGTTGTTGTCGTTGCTATAGTCTTCCAGCACTTCCACGCGAACGGCCACCGAGGCGTGCCGCTTCCCGTCACCGTTGGATGCCACGATCGAGCGTTGATAGAGTTTGATCGCGTCGTCGATGGACCGCACGCCAAGGTAGCTTTCCCGCAGCTCATCGTCGTCGCCGTTGGTGCTTTCGTCGAGTAGTAAGCAGCTCATTTCAATCAAATATACGGCGTCCGGGTTGTCCTGCACGCGGCGCTGGACAGCGTCATAGAGGTCGCTCAGTGCGAGCTCGATGACACCACGCCCGAGCGTAAGACCATGCAGTAGCGTCGACTTGCCAGACGAAGCACAGCCAGCAGCGACAATCGTAGCACGCCGGCCGGCCAGCGCAGAGAGCACGAGCGGCTGGACCACGGTTTGGTACAGGTGTGGGCGCGCGGTCGAAGCTTCGCCCAAGTCGACAACAGCGTCAAAGTTGATACTGGCGACGCCGGGCGAGAGCGGACTCGGCTCCAAGCGCACGCAGGTATCGCTGGCTTTGCTAATGCCAACGTCCTTGTTGCCCTCGTCGTTGGTTGCGAGAAAGATGGCCACCGCCATCGCCTTGCTTGGACTCTTGCGCTCTCGAAATTCGAATTTCAGCGCTCATGCCGGATACGAGGACCGGATACGGTAGATAAAAGACGCTGGATCGTGGCGCAATCATTTTTATCCGGACCACGCAATTTCTTCCAACATCGCATTGCTCAACCTGGTAGAATCGTCTTCGATCAACACTATTGCGTTCTACAGTGTTGTATCAACGACTGCTCTCGCTCGACTCGATTCGACACCACATCTGGCCTCAGAGTACGCCGCTAACAAAGTACCTGGTACTGGTCAGGGTACTGGTGGTGGTCGCCATTGATGAGCTACGCACTCCACACTATCATTCATCGCGCCATCCTGCCCTGATCATCGATGATGATAGCTTCATTTGGTATCGACATAGACTGCTCAAAGGTCGGAATGGATCCCGAAGCTTTGCGTTCATTGCCAACACCTATTCTAGAGCTTTTCCAGGCAAGTGCGTGCGCCGTCGACTGGAAGGCTCCTTGCACACCTCAAACGAGCAGACAGACTCGCGGAAGGATGGATCTGAGTCGGTTGTCCGGGGCGTGTGACCGGCACAGCGTCGAACGCGAAGGTGACTGGTTCCGAAATACGTTCGGCTTCGATTTGTGCCAAAATGACCGGCTGTAACGTGGCAAGCTGCGCGCGTCGATATGCTGCGAACGCCACGTGCGTGCAAGGCGTCGGTGGACGACGCTTCTTAAAGAGATGAATAATGCTAGTACTAGACCTATTGCTAGTGATACAGCCCATGCAAGCAGTGGTGTGGACGAGAACGTTGAGATGGTAGCTAAAGGACTGAATCGGTCGACTCGTGGTTCTCCAAAAGCGTCAGCTCGCGCTCACGGTTGCGCTGAAGAATCGGGAGCTCGTCCCAAAGCTCCAGCGGCGTGCCATTGACGAGGTCGACCTCGGCTTGCGGCGACACGACCGCGTTGATCTCGAGCCAGTCCGAGTATCGCTTCTCGTGGCTTTCGCCGTCCACTGCTGGCGCCGCACGGTGCGTAATCAGCACGTCGCGCCGGGGTGTTTGGACGTTGGTGGTCTCTTGCCGATGCTTCGATCGCTTTACAAAGAGGACTGACGCCACGGCGGCGACGGTGCCGGCCACCGCCACCACGATGATACCCATCGTCGTCACATCGGCACGCTCATCCTTGCGTCGCTCCATCTCGGCACGCGTGTTGGCGTCCGAGTCGGGCTGCGTCGTCGGCGCAGCTGTTGTCGGCGCAGTTGTTGTGGGGGCCGATGTCGTCGTCGGCTTCATTGTCGATGGCGCTTCGGTTGTTCCTGCCGGCGTGGTCGTTGGCGGCAGCGTGATCGTGTCGGAGGTTGGTGCTGGCACCGGCACGAGCGTCACGTTCGGAACCGACCAGACGTAAAAGCCGTCGGGGCACACGCCGCTCGTGTTGAAGCCGACGCAGACAGGGCTCGAGATGTTGGCGCTCGAGACGCACGGCGGGCAGACGTCCGTCGCCGTATCACAGAGGTCGTCGCCGCGCGTTTGGCACACGAGCGGCCACGTGTCATTTGTCGCAGCGCATGCTGTTGCCGCGCACCCTACTCGTCGAGATGCATGAGTGCTGGCCGCTTCGTCCTTGATACGCACCGAGCACTAGCGAGAGCAGGCGCATGGTGGTCCTATGGCAGAAGCGAAGTGGCCTACGCGATGTGGTCGTGGCAGAGATCCAGCCCACAAATTAATATTTCCCAGACGCTGGCGTGTGACACAATCAGATGGCGCTCGACGCCGATTTGCCTGGTCCCCCTACTTGAATCATGGAGTGTTGCTCTTCTATTCAGTGAGGAGCCATAGGGACGGACGAGTGCGTTGGGTAAGGTCCTGGTCAGGGGCATGCAAATCGACGGCAACGAGCGGCATCCGGATGGGTGACGTACCCCGCTGGCGCCGTGGTTCGCAGCACTGCATGCGTCGTCAACAGCAGATCGCAGGTCAGTGGAGCGATAGCCTTGCCGCTTGCTGCTCCAGTACGTCATCTGCAACAAAACAGTGCTTGAATAGGCAACATTACAGCGGCTTGGTCGCGGAGTATGGTCGGCGGTTCGCTTTTACTTGGTGTGCAGTAATCCAATAATCTATGTGGCACGACTGCGATACCCAGTCCGATTGATTACACTAGATTTTGCAACTACTATCATCAAAACAGTGTTTGGTGCCATGTTTTGGTTTGGCACATTCCTACGCCATGGCGGGTCGCTGATGGCAGGTGGCGACTTCTTCGCTTTCAATATTCCTCAACAACGCGTGCACCGGTAGCAGCAGTCTCTTGCGCAATGTCTTTTGCTTCAATTGGGTGGCGCCGTCACAACATCGCGCCACGTTCGATCGCTCCACGTCAAATGCTGGATCCCAGCAAATGGCTGGATCCGGATAAAGGGTGTAAAAACACGCGTGTGAAAATACGTGGGTTTCGATCGCCATAGAATTATCCGGCGGAATCCGATGGTAAAGCGCAAGGCCGACCGCGATGGCAGCGCCAAGCGCAAGAAGGAGCGCGTGCGCCCGCCCCGGTACGCACCGGTCGAAGAGGAGTCGGAAGCTGAGTTCATCGCTGCTCAGAAGCATGCGCTGCACCTGATCCAAGCCGGCCAAACGTCCGAGGCCAACAAGTTCCTCGCACGGCGCGGCTTCACGCACCGCCTCGCGACGTGCGTCTTGCGCTACACGTACGAAGAAGACTTGCCGCCGCCATCGGCCGACAGCTTTTCGTTCGCGGCCGCCGACTACCGGCCATATGTGCGCGGCGCAGACAACGCGCTGCCGCCGACGATGCTCAACTTTATGCAAGAGGCGTTTGCGTCGTCCGACTCGCCGTTCTGGGCCGCGCACCAGTACTCGGTGGACCCGCCGTCGCCGTACTTTAGCTACGTACACGACCTCTCCAAGCCGCCGTCGTCGGGCCTCGAAGACGTGATCCACTACCTCAAGAACCTCGCGATGGAGCGCTTTCCGAACGTCAAGAACGCCAAGTTTGCCGAATGGTGGACGCATTGCCGCCCGCACAACTCGGGGCACCAATTCCACTTTGACAGCGCCGACGAAGGCCGCGACGGCGTCCGCAACCCGATTGTCTCGACCGTCATGTTTCTCGAGGCGCCGGTCGGCGGCCCGACGTGCGTCTCGGACCAAGCGTTTGGCGGCACGTCGCTCGCCAAACACGGCTGGCTCGTGCACCCGAAAGAGAACCGGTTCGTCGTCTTCAACGGCAAGGTCCTCCATGGCGTCGTACCTGGCCGCGGCCCGGGGCGCTTCTCGCTGCTGCTCAAGCCACGCCGGGTTACGTTCATGGTAGCGTTTTGGGAAATTGACGTCCGAAAGCCCGCCCCGGCCCCGGGTGCCCGGCCTAGCAGCGCGATGCCGCTCCACTGGAAGGACGACGCGAAGTGGAAGGCCAAGCTCCGGCCCCGCTGCATCCTGCCCGACGCCGAGCGCCAGAACGTCGCCGATGACGTGACGCCGCTGCCCGTCGAGCGCGTGTGGGAACGCGTCGCGCCCATGGGTGCGTTCGAGTCCAAGATGCCTGGTTACGACCAGTGCTTTCAGGGCTTCTAATACACTGACAACATCTCTTTTTGCATTTCGACAAAAATGAAAAGGGAAAAGGTAGACGCAGCAAACGGCAATCCTGTCTAAAAACGGCGGGAGAATTCGTCGCTTCATCACGCAGAGACTTGTCATTCTCCTGAACCTTGGTCGCAGTGTCATTTTATGGATGCCGGTAGGTTGTACTCGGTTCGTTGCCACGCAATGCGACGACTCGTTGGTGCCGACAAGACACAAATGCATGTATTGTTGTTACGTTGGGAGATAGATACGAAACTCAGAACGTGCTGTCTGATTCGCCGTTCGAGTCGGACTCGCGCCGAGACGTCTCGGACCGACTTCGGAAGCTCGAGAACGCGCGCTGGGGCGACTCGGCGGCTTGGAGCGTCTTGTCTGGAACGACAATTTTGTGCACAATGATCGAAAATTGTAGCAAGATGGTCTACAAGATAGCGATCACTATATATTGCCTCGCCGACGAGACAAATATACCTGACAGAGCGACGTGGATGTGACCATGTTCTTGCACATACCCTCGATGTGCAGCAGCTTGACGTCCTGCGGCGCGCCGGTCGAGACGCGTGGCGCTGCGTCGTGGCTTGTCAAGCTTCGCCGCGCAATACGACCGGCTTTTCGCGCCGTCTTGACGCTCTTGAGCATCGACACGAGCAGCGGTGGCACTGGGAGCTCATTCGTACCGAGCGACGCGGGCTGTTTCTGGGCCGCATTGAGGCGGCAGGCCATTTGGAGAATTTCGTTGAGGAGCCGGCTCATGGTCATAAACTGGCTCAACACGGGAACGTCGTCCTGGCTAATCATGCTTGGCGGTCGTCGCTTGTGGCGTCTAAAGTTAAGCGACGGCCCGGGGGACGGGCGCACGACCGAGAGCGACCCAGAGTGGTGCTAGAGAAACTCATCAATATCGACATTTCAAATGCGATACAAAATCGGAAAAAATGTGAACAGCGATCGCACCTGGTTCTTCTGGCTCTCGAGAAAGTCGCGGTACGCAAGGTAAAACTGCGTCCCGACAAGCGAGAGTGGCATCGCCGTGTAGAAACTCCCAAAGACCATCGCGACAATGTCAAAGAGGCGGCCGAGCGGCGTCCGCGGCTTCATGTCGCCGTATCCGACGCTCGTAAGCCTACCCACATCGTTTATGACATGTTGTTCAAGTTGTCCAATGAGGTACGTAGCAATCGACAGCCAGCTCGAGCGCAGCATATCGGTAATGATCGAGTATTTGCTGACTTGAATCTGAACCATTTTCTTGGGCGGAAGGTTCGCGTCGAGCTCTTTCGTCCATAGGTCGCGGTTCCACCAAAAACACGGAATGTCCACGTAGCACGTGGTGCCGCGCTCAATTTCGTAAAAAATCGCGCCCGCCGAGACGCACCCAAGGAAGAGAAAAAAGAGCTACAGACAAAATGCCGCTAAATCCCTGCTGCCCGCGTGCATCCTACCGGGATGAGCAAACGCTTCCATGTCTCTTGGGTCGTTCGGGAGAGAACTGATGTCGATTTGAAGTGCTACATGCGACGAGGCGCGATAAGTATCCAATAAGAAAGCTCGACTTGTCGTCCTGTACCCGCGCAAGCTTGAAGATGCGAATGGGCTTGACGATAGGAAGGACCGTGAGAAACTGTGGAAAGGTCGGCACGATCGCGTACGTCGGCACGCGCGCTTGCACGACCCCTTGCAGCGCCTAGTTCCATGTGGTCTAGAAAACCACGAAAAATGTGAGAAAATACAAATCAACCTGCACGTAGAACGGCAGCACAGCGACTACGTCAATGTACGTGCCGATTGAGCGGAGGTGCTTGACGCGGTTCCGCGCCGCGTAGAAGCGCAGCGCCATCTCAATCGTAAACACAAGGCCAAAGTAGTACTCGAGGTAGACCCACTTGCGCGTCATATCGTACATGGGCTCGTGCCCTGGCTTGCACTGGCGAATTTCGCAAATCCGCCGAGGGTCCGAAAAGAGGTCGTAGCACTGGGAGAGCGTTGCGTTCGCGCCATAGTTGAGGCCGCTTCCAAAGCAGTCGGGTGCACTCGAGCCAGCGTCGCAGTGAAAATTCAGTTTTTGCGTCGTCGGTTCGTTTGTGGCCGACCGCATATAGCAGCCGACGTCCTTGCTGTTTTCGCAGTAGGACGCAAACGCTTCGTGACAAAGGTCGCTCTCAATGCCGTGGGCTTGGAGCTCGGGCGTCGTCTCGGCGTAGAACATGAGCACGCTGCAGATGACCATGGCGAGGAAGAACTTGTTGACGTAGTTGGCCTGCGTCGACGAGTGCGGCCGCTCCATGAGCTGAAAGACGCGCTCCCGCAGCGTCCGCTTCACATTGGCGTCTTCGTCCGCCTTGGACTTGGTTTGGATATTGCTGATCGCGCGCTTGGCCCGCGACACGATCGATTTCGAGAAGGACGAGGTGCGCGCACTCTGTGCCACGGGCTTCTTTCCGGCTTGCGCCGTCACGAGGTCCTTGGGCACAAAAGGCTTGATCTCTTTCGCGAGCGTTCGCTGGAGCTTGATGGCGTGCGTCGCTTCGTTGATGAGCTGCACAAATTTGCCGTTGCGCTCGCGGTTGACGGACCCCGAGACGAGTCTCGCCGGCTCCTACATCATCATCTGAGTCCGTGTCGAATTCGATAAATTGGCATACGATCGAGGTCGTGATGGCCACGGCGTGCTCGGAGACGCGCGTCACGAGGTCGCACAGCTCAAGGAACTTTGCATTGAGGCTGTGAAGATTCGTCGACAGCTCCGTCGACTCCATGCGTTCGAAGTTCGCGGCTTCGTCCTCGACGCTCGGTTGGACCGGCTTGGTCATCGCGCCATCTGCGATCTTCTGCGCCTGGAAGTCAATCCACGTTGTCTCGTAGTGGATGCCAATGATCGCCAATGGCATCGCGAGGTACAGCGTGCCAAAGATCATGATGACGCACGTGATGACGAGGGCCGGGATGTTTTCAATGTCGGGAAGCTGGTCCCCGTACCCGACGGTCGCGACTCTAACGAGGAATGAGAATATTGTCTTCTGTACAATGGATGACGTACGTGACCATGACAAAGTAGCCTGCGTTAAAGATGTCGGTAAACGTGCACGTCGACGCGTTATAGCACGGCTGCGCGTAAAAGAGCATGGTCGCAAACATCATGACAAATGTAATGAGAAAGAAGAGCTAGACCATACCGTCCATGAGATCCAAGTGTCCATGAAGAGAATAATGCATCTACCGTGACTTGAAGGGGCGGAATACTCGCGCGCGCCGTACGAATGAGCACGATCATTCCGTCCAAGCCCTAGTAGACATATGCTGTAGGCACGGCCCGTTCAAAGCAGATATGTCAGCTACCTTCATCATGTGCATGATGCGCAAGAGGCGAAAGTACCGCAGCGTTTTGATCGCGTCGATGGTCCCGTTTTGCTTTGCCGAGATCTCCAGCGGGTTCTCCGCCGTGTAGAGCACGAGCAAATACAACGAGACGAGCGAGAGCACGTCGAGCAGTAGCCGACCCGAGTAGAAGAACTAGATGCCATCGATCGTCATGGAAATGCTCCTGGAAATCGCATGCACCTTGGGCGACGGCGCCAACATGCACTTGAACAGAAGGTCCACCGTCAAGATAAACGTGATGAGCACCTCGACGGCCGCGAAGAAGTTCGCCTTTGGGACACCGGGGTACTCGGGCGCGGCGCCAACCTTGTTGGGTCCGTCCATGGTTTCGATCGTGAGCGCCATGACGTCGAGAATGATGCACGCCATGATCGCGTAGTGGTAGACCATACCGTACTTGTGCCCCGGGTCGTCGCCCAACACGACGCGCCGCCATCGTGCGCGCAGCGACAGCGCGTTGCTACGCACACTGCTCCGGGGTACGCACTGTTCGGGGACTCGGCCGTTCGAACTGGATACTTCGATGTCGCCACTTTCGTCATGGGCCTCGACGATCTGCGCAATGTTCTTGTCGAGCACGACGACGTCGGCGGGCGACACGACCGTCGGCGTCTCGTCCGGCGCCGCCAGCATCTTCCTTGCTGAGGAGTCCTTCGCGCCTTTCTGGTGCGAAACAACCAAGTGCAGAGGTTGTTTTGAACGCCGTTAACGCCTTTTTGTGGTTGTATTTTTAGTTTCAGGGGTTTTGTGAACGCCGTTATTGCCGTACAACTGGACGACTCGGCCGTCGCGTCCCGACACTTAGAGCATCTTGTGCTTGACGGCGCCGATTGCACTGAGCCGCTCGAGCAGCGGCGGATGGCTATAGTGGTACGCGGAGTACATTGGATCCGGGTTCATGTTGGCGAGGTTCTCGAGCGAGATCTTGGTCAAGCCCGATTGAAGCGCGTCAGCGTGGCCCAGTTGCACGGCAAACGCGTCGGCGGCAAATTCGTTCCGGCGCGTGTTGTACGTGAGGAGGAACGAGAGGATCTTGTCGACCGGAGCCCAGAGCGTCTGCGCAAAGAGCGTGAGGCCAATCATGACGGGCAGTGCCGGCGTCGTCGCGGCAAAGCCAAAGCTGCGAAACAGTGCCACGTCATGCATGCACCTAGTCGACCGTCGTCGCATCACACACACAAGACACTACTAGCGTTACCGGCCAAAGACGTAAAAGAGCGCAACGACGTAGACTTGTTGGAACGCAAATCCCTGGAGCGTGTGCCAGAGCTTCCAGTGCCCGAGCTCGTGCCCGAGGATCGCGACGATCTCGTCGTCGCTGGCTTGCGTCAGGAGCGTGTCAAAGAGCACGATGCGCTTGCTGTGGAAGAAGCCGTACATGTATGCGTTCGAGTGGCTCGATCGCTTCGAGCCGTCGCACACAAAGAGCTTGGTCAGCGGGAAGCGCAACTGTGCAGCGAGCGCCTCGATGCGGCGACGCAGCGGACCGTCGGGCAGCGGCGTGAACGTATTGAAAAGCGGCATGATGAGCACGGGGTAGATGGTGAGCATGAGAAGCGTGAAGCCAAACGTGAGTAGCCAGACGTACAACACAAACGCGTCGCCGCCCCATTGGATGAGCGCCAGTAGCGCCGCCAGCAGTGGGAGCCCAAAGACCGCGCTCAACGCGAGGCCTTGGAGCTTGTCGGTGCAGAAGAGACGCAGCGTCTGCTTGTTGAAGCCATGGCGCTCCTCGAGGACGAACACAGAGTAGAGCTCGAACGGGATGTTGAAGACCACGTCTTTGAGCGACGTGAGCACGGCGAAGAGAAGCGACTGCGGAATTTCGCCATAGGCCCCGGCGAGGCGGCCGCTGAGAGCCCACATGAACGGCAAGTAGCCACCGAGAAGCAAGAGCACGCCCTCGAGCTCGTGGATCGCGCCAGAGACAAACCCAAAGCGGCTCTTGTCGAGGCTGTAGACACGGCTTTTCTCAAACTTGGCCTGTGTTTGCGCCAAGAGCGATGGCGCCTTTGCATCTGACGCGTCGTCGATGTGCGCAATGGCCGACGCGAGCGCGTGTGGCAACGACGTTTCGTGCAGCTTGGCGTGCTGGCTACGGGCCAAGACGCCGCTGTAGCAGTGGTTGAAACAATACCAGGACGTACCGGTAGTCCAAGTACGTCTCAAAGGCGTAGACGGCGACGACGAAGACGAGCGTACCCTCGAGGTACGGGACCGGCGACGGCGCCCAGCCCTCTTCGTAGAACCACGGTGCGACCATTCCGAAATGGCAGCGACCGTCGAGCATCCGGATAACAAACCGATGTCACCACTATATCCGGATAAATCCCAACTGCGATCACCGCTCGCGGGGTCTGTCGACACGCCTGTAGACTGCACGTCCAGTCGTCACGCTTCCAGTCGGCGGCTAATCGTGATGGCTCTTTGCTTAACGTCATTAACCGAAGCTGCACTCTGCCGGGCGAACACGAGGTGTGCCACGGACGCTCAACCGGTCGAGGTGCGGAAGCTGCCGCCGGAGAAAAGCCTCGAGCACCCAGAGCGGCTGGGTCGCTTGGAGACGAAGTGTGAGCTCTTGCAGCTGCTGCAGACGAGCAAGCACTTCCATCGCTTCGGCCATCTCGATGCGCGCCGCGTCGTCGCGGGCCCTCAGATATAGGCGCGTCAGCGTGTGGGGCACAAACAAAAGCGACAAGTCGGTGTTGTCCAAGTGAAGCTCACGCAGCGAAGAGCACGCACGCAGAGCTTCGTGCACGGCGACGCGATCGGCTGCGTGCTGGAAACGAATGTTGTGCAAATGCAGCACCTGGCACTGCGGCGAGTGTAGCAGCGCGACCAGCGCTTCCGATATCGACGCTGCTACAATTGGGGCGTGCGGGGGCAGCAGTAGCGTAAGCGACGCGAGGCGGGGCATGCGGCAGGCGAGAACGACCAAGCGCGTCCACACGCTTTGCGGGTCGTGCCGGACGTCAAGCACGATCTCCTCGAGAGCACTGCAGGCTGTGAGTGCGTCTTCAAGATAGCGCATATCATCGCATACGCTGCCGTGGGGACACAGCGTGAGGCGGCGCATGTACGGTGCAAAGTGGCGCAGCAGCATGTCGAGGCTGTACCGATGGCACAGGCCGCAGCGCCAGACCACCTCGGGTCGCAAGCAGAACGTGCGCTCGAGGAGCTGTGTCGCTTCAAGCGGGAGGCGACTTTGCTTGAGAACGAGGCGGGGCCATGCAATGCTAACGTACGGCGTCCGTGAGAGCGCGAGCAGACTCTGGAACGGCGTCGTGAGGTGGCGCGGAGGAAGCGCGTGGAGTAGCACCAAAAAGGCCTTTGGGCACGGTACAAAGAGAGCAATGAGTTCGAGAAGCTCGTGTGGAAGCATGGATGAATCTGTCACGTAGTAGTCCAACTTGGTTATGCTACCACAAGCTATTACCACGGAGGCCGCGCCGTCGGGTGTATCCGACGGCGGCTCCCGCCATCAAGAAACACAGCCGCCACCGCAAACTCAATCTCAAAACCGAACATCTCGGAGCATGCAACGCGATAGCCACATCGAGTTGTTGTCTGCTGTGTGCTGCTAGAATTTACAGATTGCGTGCGATGATACCCCAACGCCGCCCCCGAAAGATCACCGTCGTCGTGTAGCATCGCTTGTGATTGGTTGGTCGATTCGACTCGTAGGCTCTTTGCGCTCGGATTGGCTGCACGAGTTGGCCTTTTTCAAAACGAGATGGCGCAGCGCCGGCGCCACAATGCCTCCGATGGCCTCACCGCCGACATCTTTGAGATCATTGCAACGTTCATTCCCGAGCCGAGAACGTTCCTAGTCTTTCTTGAGACGCTGCCTGCGCAGAGCCGGACGCAGCCGCTGCAAAGCGTCGTCACGATCGCAACGACCCCGAGTCTCCGCCGGGTCGTCCAAGTGGTGTGGCCGACGCTCGTGCTCACGACGCGTGCGCTGCCGCCACCGACCCTCGATCTGCTTGCAAGCAGCCTGTCGCTGGGCCCACGCATCGACTGGGACTGCGGCATCATCGGCCGGGCCCAAATGGACCTCATCGCGACGCACTTTGTGCCGTATCTGCGCAGCGTCTACTTGCACATCAACGCGCCCGTGCTCGCCGGCGACAACGGTCCGTTCTTCTGCGCTCTATTGCTGTCGTGCCCGCGACTCGAGAAGCTAGATTTGCGCTACGACTGCGAAGACACGGACCCGCGCATGACGGCCGCGACCTCACTCTTCCAAGTACTTGAGCATCCTCGGCTACGCAGCTTTAGCCTCGTCCTGCCCCCCAGCGACTTTCCGTTCGAAGTCGACGCGCGCCTCGGGCACGGCCTCGCGGCGTTTTTGCGCAATGGCCGAGCATGCGACCTTGTGCTCAAGAACCTCTTTCTTGACACGGCCGACGACCCGGATTTGGATCTTTCGCGGGCTCTCGAAGCCTGCACATCGCTGCAGCACCTCACACTCTACAACGTGGTGGTCGTACCTGATGACAACCTCTGGGCGCATCTCCCGCCGTCGCTTTGCACGCTCAAGGTGTACGACAATACGGGCGAAGACGACGTTATCGACGGCCTCGTTGTGTCGCTGCCCCGAATGCGCAACCTTGCCGAGCTCAAGCTGGAAGTTGACTTTGCGACGCAGTGCCCGAGCGTGCTCGCCCCCATTGTCCGAACTTTGACGCAGCTCAAGACCGTCAATCTCTCGGGTTGCACGCTGCCAAACACGACGTGCCTCGTCGACGTGGTCTCGGCTCTCGGCAGCCTCCCCATTTTGGAGCGACTGGGCATGACTGGCCTTGATGCTGTACCGTCTGCAATGCCAGCACTCTTGACGATGCTGCCTCACTCTCGACGCATTCAGTCGCTTCGCCTGGCCTCCACAAGTCTGCGAACAAACGACGTGCATGCCGTTCTTGCGACAGTCCCCGAGTGCTCTCACCTCACATATTTGGATCTATCGGATAACGAGCCAAGTACCGACTGGGCATCACTGCTACCAGCGCTGCAGGCAGCGGCGCGCACACTCCGTGGCTTGAACATGCGATCCACACTCGAAGCCTCGCTGGCGTGTGTTACAGCCCTGGGCGCAATGCGCTGCTTTAAACTCCGACTCGTTTCGGCGGACCAAGCCAGCGTCGGCCAAGCTTGTCTCGATAGCCCAAGTGCGACGTGCGCACTGTCGTTGTGATTGTCGACGGCATTTCTCTTCACCTTTAAAGCTCGTAATCAAGCGCTGTTCGTTCGAGTATTGATCATGTTGCGTTTGAGCTGTCGCCGAATTCTGGTACGTTGCCAACGTCATTGCCGAGCTAGAGCGTTCGTGGCTTTAGGGGTGCAGCCACCAACCGGTTCGGATGGCATGCCGCTGAGTGGCTCGCGATCACGAATGACGACTTGATTTTGGCGGCTAAAACTCCGTGTACGACTCGCTATGCGTCGCTTCGGCGATTTTCTCGACGAGACTTGTAAATTGAAAGAAGATCGTCTACACCAGAGAGCAAAAAAACCTCGCAAGGCCTCCCATGCAATACATACCGTCAAGAGGTGCGAGGCGTCTCGAAGGTGCCCGCGGACTCGGACGTACTCGTGGGTGCGCTCGAGCTCGGTCGGCGCGTACACATCCGTGACGGACCGCCGACCTGGCAAGACCCGCGCAATCTGCTGACTCACGGACGCGCGTCGGCGCACGAGCTCGATCGACTCGTTCATGCTCTTGCGCGTGCCTTGGGTGCTGCTTCGATGGCCCGTGCGCTCGATAGGAACGACCTCGAGGAAGCTCGCGTGCGGCGTGAGGTCGTTGAGCCGGTGGATGTTGTGGATCATTTCATCGAGGAGGATCACGAGCACGTTGCAGTTGCGGAGCGTCTCGACTTCGGTTGGCGACAAAACGAGGTGCTTGGGGATGTGGTCTTCGCGCGGCCCGGCCTCGCCATTGGTCGTGTCCTCGCCCTAGTCGGTCGTTGGCGTGGAACTAAATAATTTCATATTGTATACCGTCTGCTCGAGCAAGTAGAGCTCGTAGCACGCGTAGAATTGACCGCCGACAAGGGAGAGCGGCATCGCCGTGTAACACGAGCCAAAGAGCATGACCAAAATGTCGAGAAACTTGCCAAACGGAGTGCGGACCTTCAGGTCGCCGTACCCGACCGCTGTAAAGCTACGCACAGAGTCCTGTGGGACGGAGGAATATATGTCTCGCACGCACGTGACAATCGAGTAGTATGTGGACCGGAGCATGTCCGTAATGATCGTGTACTTGCTGACTTGGATCTGCGCGCGCTTGAGATGCGGCAGCCCGTTTTCGAGCTCTTTTGTCCAGAGCTGTTGGCCCCACCACATGCACGGAAGGCCGACAAAGCACTGTGTGCCGCGCTCGATCTCGTAAAATAGCGCTGCCGTCGCAACGCACGAGAGGAAGAGGAAGAAGAGCTACGCATGCCGCGTCACACGTCATATCGGCCATGACAACGTACGGGAATCAAAAGGCGGCGCCAGCAGAGAATCGCGGTTTGTGCGAGGACCGTCGTGGCCCGAAAATGCTACGTCGTGCGCTCCATTCGGCGCGATATCAACAGCTCCATCGCATACCCGCGTGAGTTTGAGCACGCGCAGCGTCTTGCAAATGGGCAAAATGGACGCAGCGGTCGGAAAGGTCGGCACAACGGCGTAGATTGGATCATGACCCGCAACGAATCCTTGGAGTGCCTACGCGATGCCACGTCATGTGTATCCGGATCCCGAGAAGAAAGAGTACTTCGGCGTAGAATGGCACCACGGAGAGCACGTCGATGGCCGTGTCGCCAGCGATGAGATACGCGCGCTTGTCCTCGGCGACGACATACCGCAAGGCGAGCTCGATCGAGAAGACGATGCCAAAAAGCCACTCCAAGTAGATCCAGTGCGGCGTCATGTCGAGCACGGGCGTGTGCCCCGACTGGCACTGCCGGAGATTACAGAGCCGCTTGACATCTCGAAACAAGGTGCTGCACCCCGAGCTGTTGCGGCCATAGTTGGCTCCGTACCCAAAGCACGAGTCGGCGGCGGATGGCGTGTCGCAGTAAAAGTTGAGCATTGTCAACGGCGACCGTAAGCCGCCGCTGGCATCGTGCACGTAGCAGCCCGGGTCGGTCCATGGGTTCTCGGACTGCGCGCAGTACGTCGCAAACGCTCGTTGGCAGAGCGGCGACAGTGGCCCGTAGCTCTGCAGCTCGGGCGTTGTCTCGGCGTAAAACAAGAGAACACTGGCGAGAGCAAAGAGGAAGAAACACTGGTGCAAGTACCGGCCCGCGCGGGAATCGTCGGGGTGCTTGAGCCACTGCGCGAGCGTGTAGCGCCACGTCCCAAGTACGAGTTCGTGCTTCTTTTGCGTCACAATGTTGAGCTGCAAAACGCTCTGCAGGAGCGCCGTTGGAGCTCTGGAGAGAGTAAATGTTTCGAGTCAACAGGTACTAGTGTGATGCAACATACATGGACTTGCGGCCGAGGGGCTTGGTATTCACTGCTATCGGTGGTTTCGGCTCAAACGCTTTGATGTCTTGAAGGTTGTGATGGAAGAGCACCATGACAGCTTTGGCGTGGGCCACCATCTGGACGAGCAGCTCGTGGTGTTCTTTCCGGTCCACACCATGAATGACATCGTGAGGTACCTAGTGTTGTGTTCAACCCACGGGTTCTAAACAAGGTAATAGATACACGTACAAAGCGAAGGAGTGAGTCGATTTGGTGGCTAAAGAAGGCGACCTCGGTGCACAGGTCCAGATAATGACGCGTCGCCTTGTGCGCGTACGTGTTCAGCGTCACGCTTGGGATCGGCCGGATGCTCACAGTAAGATTCGAGTCTTGGTGCTTGAGCCGTCGCCGCGCGCGGACCTCGTGGCGGTGCCACGCGACTTGGTAGCGCACGCCAATGATCGCAAAGGGCATCGCAAGGTACAGCGCGCCAAAGATCATGGCGTTGCAGTCGATGAGGAGCGCGACGACGTTGTCGACATCAACCGTTTGGTCGCCGTACCCGACCGTCGCGACACTAGTCCTCGACATGAGCTATATTGGACATACCTTGTCCAATAGATGACGTACGTGACCATCATAAAGTACGCGGCGTTGAAAACGTCGGTGAATTCACACGTCTCGACATCGTAGCACGGCTGCGCATAGTACAAGGCAGTGGCAAACAACATGATGACCGTCACAAGGAAATAGCCCTACTCCAACACATCAAATCAGTCAGCGAAAAAGATCGAAACTCGCACACCGTGACTTGCAACGGCGCCTTGCACTGCTTGATCGTAATGGCCAAAATGCGGATCCCAGGCACGTCCTACAAAGAAGAGCTGTCGACGCCGTCGACCATCTAGAGGCGTCAACGAACGCGAAGCATGTGGGCAATGCGCGCGTTGCGGCCCATGCGCAGCATATTAAAGTACGGCTGGTACGCGGACTCGGGCGTATCCGTGTACTTGTTGTAGATGAGGAGGTAGCTCGGCACAAGTGCGAGGACGTCGAGAATCGTTCGCGCGCGCCGCCAGTACTATCGCGTACTATATGAGCGCCATCCATATCAACAAGGCGGTGGGCGTACGTGGCGTTGGCTTTTGCACGCGGCCCAGCGCGCGAGAAACTCGACGCTGAAGACGACGGTGTAGACCAAGTTCCAGTAAAAGTACGTTCGCGCCGTAAAGAGCCACGGGTAGCCGCAGTCGATGCACGTGCCAGGGTCGCCCGGTGTGTGGTTGGGTCCGTCGAGCGTCTCGATCATCCACGGCATGAAGTTGCCCATGATGTTAAGGATCATAACGTAGCTGTAGATCTGCGCACGAACGCTGCTCGTTGGCTCGTCCATGAAGCGCCGAATCCGCGCCTTCCACCGCGCGCACCCTCGGTACGTCCGCAACGTCGGGTTCTTTTTTATCTCGTCGCGTCCAGGTTCGGTGACGCGCTCGACCACGTCGTCGTCGTCGTCGTCGTCATGGGCTTCGCGCATCGTGTAGCGTTCCGTGAGATGCGTGAGCGACATCGACTGGCGTTGCCGCATCGACCGCGTTGGCGTCCGCCGTGAGCTCGAGCTTGTCCGGATCGAGCTGCCAGCCATCGTCTTGGCTACCTGAAAAGACCACTATGTGTCACGCCGGTTTCACTGAAACCTCTTTTTGTTTATGCAGCAGTTACCAATTGCGATGAACTACCTCCTAATACTATGCATGCGCGTGGATCAGTGCGCCAGTACAGATGAATGCACTGGAACGTTCCTCTTGCTACCATCGAGCAAGCAAGTGAATGCACCACGACTCGACCGGTCGTTCACAATGTCGCGGTCCAGCGCGCCGAGCGCCGCGACTCGCTCGCGTCAATCCAAAGCACGTCCTCGAACGGGTACTAGTACTCGCAGAGCCTCTTTGGGCGCACGTAGGAGGTTGTCATTGGAAGCTCCGTCTCGAGTGTATCGAGTATCCTCGATATTGGCGACTCCAGCGGGAAGCGGAGGCGTAGTGAACGCAGCTGTAGATTTTACTGATGCACTTTTGCCGCGCGGTAGCCATCGCCAAGCTCATCAAGCAAGGTTCATGGAGCTTGTGGAAGGCGAGAGAAGGATCATTAGAGATGAGAGGTAATATATGTAGCACTACGTAGTAGGTCATATTACGACCACCAGACGCCCGACGGGTAGCTCACAGACGTCGTGGGCTCCATGACCCGAGGCGGTGTGCAGTTGGCCAAGATATTTTCAATCACGCTAGGGTCGGCGCCAAACTTGACGGCGAGCAAAGCCTTGGTCTCAGGCGTCGGCTTCTCGCGGTACTGCCGAAGGAGGTCGCGGAACTGGTTGTCGGTGAATCGACCAGGCTCGTCGCTCACGAGCGTCATGCTGTTGGAAGCCCACGACTTGTCTGTTGGCAGCGGCGTCGGTCCGTCGCTCGGCTTGCGGCGCGCGCTCGCCGTGCGTTGGAAGCCCTCGACGTCCGTCTACGGCGCCGGTATGAGTCATTGTGACAGGCATAGCGCACGCACCTCGAGGAAGTCGACCTTCTCAATCTCGTCAAAGCGCTCGGCGTCGTGCAGGATGCGCTGGTCCATCTCCATGAGCTTGCCCGACTTGGCCGGCGCGGCGCCTTGGAAGACGACTAGACGAAGCATGAGACGTCGACCTCAGCTAGACCATGGACGCACAGAGGTCTTGGCGCCGGAGCTTGGTCCGGATGACCTTGCGACCCGTCTTGGCGATCGGCGCGGCGACGGCCGCGCTCGTGTTGCTTGCTGCCGCACCCATTCAACCTCACAGTAGGTAACCGCATTGGGGACGAGCCGCATAATTTAACCGGTTAAACTTAAGGCGGGTCGACTTCGGCGCGCGTCATTTGTAACCGGCGAGGTCGAATGAGGCCATACGATGAGGCGAGCGAGACGGTGCGTGTGGACACAGAGAAGTCTTCAACACGTTTATCGATAAGTTATTCTTTCATCCAAAGGTCAGCTCCATAAGGCTCTTTTAGTAGCCGTCAGACATTGTACCACCGAGCAGCCTCCACCGAGCAAAATGTACACAGCCCAGAACGCTGGTTTATGAAACAGTGTATTCAAGACACTGTCTTGTTTTAGTCATTGTTGATACAATGCACACATATGTCTATGGATCGCGGTTCCCATAGAGACGGAGGCATATAGATCAAGACATTAGTGAAGCGGGTACTGAGTGAAAGGCGAGCCCGAGTTTGAGATGCGCAGTCTCTTGCATGGATGGTCTCGGCTGGACAGAAACTTGCCGAGCCTGTGAGCTCCGAACCCTATGCACGACAAATGAAGAAAGTTCGTACGATTGCGAGACCTTCGCGACCGCTGTGTACGTACTGCCTCGTCACTGTCTTTGAGCTGCCTCACAACTGTTCCGCGACTGCCTCGCGACCGTCTCGCAGCCGTCCATACATTGCTACACCACTTGCAGATCGTGGGCAAATCCAGAGCTATTGTTTTTTAACTAGTACCTTCTAATGAGTCATAACCTTGAGAGGGTTAATATTGTTTTGGCATCGTTTGACGCCGCGATCTCGGTCTTCGTTCGTCCATTTGCTGTGTCATCTCTGTCATGAACTTCTCCACGACGCATTCTTTTGGTTTCTGACAGCTGTAGTGTCTTGATTCTTGGTGAAGCAGCGCCAGCTTGGGGTTTGAATTCGCTAGGGACCAAAGACTTGCTCGGCGTGAGATAACTCGGCTTGCCTGGGCCTCTTCCTCTGCAGCACGGTGGTCTTGACGTCCATCATGGTGTTCGGTGGTGGGATCATGGTCACGCGAGCCGGTGTCGAAGATCGCTTGGCTTATCGCGGCCGATTGTATCCTTCGTCCCTTGCTCGTTCACCTTAAAATGACACAACGCCCTTGTTGATCGCACCACTGTCCTCGAGCGGCGTCGCTCCATCCATTCCGCTTTGCTACTCCGTACTTGGCGTGCCACATCCATGCAAGTGCCTTCAGCGCATACAAGGATGATAGACCGCGGCGCATTGCGGGGATAACAATCCCAAGTGGGGCACTGAAATCGTGCTATATCACAATTCACAAGTCGATGTTATCTCTCGACAGTGCTGGGACGTATCATGAGCGCGCCAACACACTTTTCTAGGCTAAACTTGGGGCTCAGGCTCGGTATCGAGCTGCCCGACGAAGGCCGCGACAGCGCAGGCTTCTTGAAGTGCGAGTAGACGCTCGTGGGTGTATCAATGGCCGCAAGGTCCAGCATATAAGTTTCGTCCATGGCCGACGGATCGCGGTATGTCATAGCACCCGGCAGCGGCACGGGAATCGTAGGGACTAGGCACCTTGGTGGTATCCATACATCTAAATTCACGCCTACCGAGGATGCCGCCGTTGGTGCCTTGCAGCAGCACTTTCTTGCGCTTCTTGAGCTTCTTCTTGTGCTTGCCTTTTTCTTTTCTTGGTTTTCGTGTCTTGGTCTTCTTGGGGCGGTACAGTTCCGGTTCGTTGTTGGGTGGGATCGGGTTGTTCGCTGCGTCCGACACGTCCGAGTCGACGTCCTGTGCATTGGCGTCGTCGTCGTCATGCTGCTTCATCGCATCCAGCTACATATTTTTGTCAATACAATCACACAGTATATATGGTCGCACCAAGCACTCGCAGTCGTTGAGGAGACCAGGGTCCCATGTGATGGTCGGTTCCTCCGGATCGTCGTTGTCATGTCTTCGACGCGGGGATGGCCGACATCTCGCGGTGGGTCCGGTGTTGGCATGACCGGCACGCTGCCGACCGATGGACCGGAACTCTCAATTGCGTGTAGCTCGTAGTAGACAAGGAGACTTTGACACCACGTCGCGCCCATGGCCTCGAGGTCCGCAATCGACATTTGGGTGTCCTTTTTGGCGCCAAAATCGGGGCCGCAGAACGACGCTTCGAGCGTGTAGCTGTTGATGACACCGAGCTCTTGGTGCACGACGACGCGCGCTGTATTGAGCTTGGACGCCTGCACTTTAAAATTACAGTGGGAAAACGAAAACAAGTCGCTTTGCTTGGCCTAGGGCAACGCATTTGATACCGTAAATCAAGATAAAAATCGAACGCACGACGATCATGGGAAACACGCGCGGGTCGTCTTTCGCGTGCATTTTAAGCACCGCCTTGCCCCGTCGACTCGACTTGTAGCAGCCGTACGTAAAGATGTTGCGCTGGATGCTATGGCCGTGGAGGTCGCAGTAGATCGCTACACGCGGCGGCCCGCTCGGCTGTGGCCGCTGGAAGCTCGAAATGAGCCGCTTGAGGTGAAAGATAGTGGGAAAGAGCTTCTCGACCGGGTACGCCCACTTGCGGTTGAGATCCCAGCCTAGTATAGTAGTATATTTATTAGAACAGACAATATGATCACATTTCGGCGAGGAACCTGCAAGGCTCACGCGCGTGTTGCCGTTGATGACGCCGTCCGGGTTGAGCATCGGAGCGATTTTGAAGATAAAATGCCGTCGCAATACGACCGCACCGTACACCGCGCTCGTCAGGTAGTCGAGAATGCCTTTCATCATAAAGCTGCTGTTCGACTCGCCCGGGTGCACGCGGGCCGATATGACAATCACTAGCTCAAACTATCGCATGTGGTGCCATGACAACGGCACGGCTACCTCGACGCGCATCAAGCGGGAGGCCGCCCTCTTTGGCCGGCGACGTGATGGTCAGCAGGTCGCAGGAATTACCGGCAAGCGTTTGACAGAGTTCGGTGCGACGACAGACGGCCGATCGCACCGGGTCGCTCTCGAGCGCGTCCAAATAGTCCAGTAAATCTACAAAAATCGAAAAAATACGCCATGGGCATGCAATAAGCGATAGCTACCGGTGTACGTGTACGGGTGAATGCATGCAAAGTAGACGCAGTCGGAGGCATTAGCAAATACGAAGCTAAAGCGGAGCGTGTTGGAGCCTTCTTGGCGCTCGGACGCGTCGTAGCGCACGTGGAAGCCGCCATGGACCCACCCGGTCCCATGTGCCGCTGCCGCAACCTCCGAGTAGACGACCGGCTGCAGTCCCGATTGGTACAACGCGCCGCTTTTCGCGAGGTTGACGATCGCGAACCGGTACTCGACGCCGACGACCATATTGGTCACTTGAAAGTAAAACCACTGGCGGTACGCGCTGTTGTTGATGTCAGGGTGCACATAGAGGTCGTACTCGTGGTCTACAAGCGCGCGAGCATGAGGTGCACGTTATGCTCTCGAGACGTACAAGACTCGTCGCGCGTGCGGTGGTTTTGATACCGAACGCGGTCGGCGCGCAGGAGGTTCCCGCTCTCAAAAACAGAATCAAAGCGGAGCGTCGACGGCGCCTCGCTGTGCTTGAGCGCCGGCTCGTAGTAGTTGTACACGGTCGTGATCGACGTCGTCTCGTCGTCGTCGCCGTCATCGTCGTCATTCTCGTCGTCGTCATTGGCCGCTTCCTTGAGAATGGGCTCGGGCTCGGACGGGCTCGAGTGCACATGCCGGACAACGCGCAGCCGCGACGGCCGCGATGGGCATCCCGTCTTGGGCACCTTGGCCTCCGCGGGCAGCTTGTAGAGCGGCAGTGGCGACGGGATCACCTTCTCGGGCGAGAGCTGCCGGAGCTTGCTCATGGCGCCCGAAACCGATGCGCCGTTGCAACACTAATTCCAGAACAAGACGGCGTGGACGGTATATTAGTGGTAATAAGGTTACTCGACAACGCAGGCAAGAACGTCGTCTACTGCAGTCGGCGCTTGAGGTACTCGTTCTCTTCTTCGAGCTGTACGAGCTTGGGCGCGATCTTCGAGTCAAACTCCTCGATCGACTGCTTGAGCTGCGAATTCTCGGTCCGGAGACGGTTGATTTCTTCGTGGAGCATCGCATTGTTATCCATTTGCCGCTCGAGCGCATTTTTGGCTTCCAAGAGACCTTCTTCTAGCTCGAGCTGCTTGCAGTGGGCCACGTCTGCGGCTTCCTGCATCACGCGCTGGCAGTCGTCCATAGCCGCTCGACCTCCATCTCCTTGACCGCAATCTCTTGGCGCTTCTGCTCGAGGGACCGCTCGTACGTCTCAATCTGCGACTGGCCGTGAATCGCTTGGTTCTGGTGGTTGTGCAGCTGGGCTTCGTTCGCGCTCAAAAGCGACTGCAGACGCGCAATCTCTGCTTGGTCCGACGCCGACGATTGCGCCGTCTCCTGCAGCGTGCGCAGCTTCTCTTGCTCGTTCAAAAGCTCCGTAATGACCTCTTCGTCAAGCTTGCGCTGCTTCTCGAGCGACTTCATCGTCGCTGCTTGCTCCCTAGAACAGCATGAGATGTCCGCCCAAAAAGGACACGTGTTCATCATCGTACAAGAGCTCGTTCCGCAGCTTGGCAATGTTGACGTCCATGTCCATACGGCTCGCCATGAGGTTCTCTTGGGCCGAGGGCTGGCGCTTCTTGTTGCCACGGGGGCTCGATGGGTCGCTGAGCCTACGCCCGTCGTCAGCACCCGGGGTGCGTGGCTGGCGGTACATCTTTTGCAGTCGCTGAATCTGCTGCTGCATCTCAGTGCGATGCTGCCGTTCCATCTTGAGCGCCTAATGAGCCATGTTTCGCATGCAGTATCGAGATGGCAGTGCGCGTACGTGTTCGTAGTAGGTGCCCGACCGCTTTGTCTCTTCCTCCTCGGTGAACGTGCGCATGTACTGGCTGATGGGCCCGTACTCGAGCCATTGGTTCGTCTCGTCGCTGAAGAGGCGCGCCTTGCACACGTAGCACGTGTTGGGCTGGAGGCCCTTGATCGTCATGGGCGACCCCGTCGCCTCCACCTCGGTCCACGAGTAGTACACGTAGCCATACTCGCTGTACGCCTATGGCCTCCATGATGAGCCTGCCATGCCCATGGCATGTCTACCAGCTGGAACTTGGCGGCCGCAGGCAGCACGGCCACGGTCAAGGACACGTTCGTCTTGCTCACGACTTCGACGCGGGGCTGCATGCGGAAATCTCGGAACTGGCAGCGAGAAGGACCCTCGTCGCACACATTCTATTTCCTTCGCTGATTTTCAGCCAATCAAGGGCAGTATCTTAAAAATATCGAGCCAATCGGCGGCGATGTCGAGACGCTGCGTATCAAGCAGCACGTGGCGCTCTATCAACTCCAACGGTATTTCGGCACGAAACATCACGCGCGACCAAGTGCGTCCAGCATCGCCGAGGCGCCCAAGCTGCGAGTTGCGACGAGCCTGGTCGACGACTTGAACGACACGGAGGAAGCGGATGAATGCGAAATGGGCCGTCACTTCAACACGTGGAAACCTCGTGTAGTAGGAAGTGCGAGCCTGTTGGCATCACGGGAGCCACGAGGGCGCTCACGTGATCAATAATGCTATGCTGGCTACTTGTTGCCGATGTGGCTTCAACGCAGGGGATCGGGGCTGGCGCCTGGCTGACGCAACTCGGCAGAAGTCGACGAGAAATTGAACCGCCTTGCGCAGCCGAGAACCTGATCCGATGCGCGCGGTGGTTGTACGGTACGGCGACGTAACGCAGGACGAGGCTGGGGCAAGACTGAGAGGGCAAGCTCGGCGCTTGACCATCCTGGAATGGAAACTTCGATTTCGAGGGCCCAGACCTAGCTTCGAACTTCGACGCTCCACTAGCCGTTTGATATCTTGGTGGTCATGATGGCGTCGACGCCGTTGCAGGACGCACCGATCGCAACCCACCGTGTGTACGTGGGCGAGATGCCGGCATGGCTGCTCAACGAGAGCGCGATGATGCGCCACTTTGGCACCTACGGCCTCGTTGTCTCCGTCTCGTTCGAGCACGACCCGATGAGCTTTGATGCCAAAGGCTTCGGCTTCCTCGAATTCGCTACTCGCCAAATCGCCGAAGACGCCGTCGCCGCCATCAACAAGGCCAGTGGCATCCAAGGCGAAGACGATACCACTGCCATGTTTGCTCGCATGGCCTTTGCGCGCGGTCAACTGCTGCTGCCCGAGAGCGCACTCGCCGCGCCGCAGTTCCACCACACCGTCACGTCCCAGCGCTTCAGCCAAATGCCCGACGAGGAGGACGAGGACGAAATGTTTCTGCGCGGCTTCTCGCAGCGGTCGACGGGGCGACAGCACTCGTTCTTGTCGCGCTGAGCGACACGCTTTCATGTACATTAGCACCACCACCTGCGACAACGCGACGCCACGACGAACAACGATATCTATATTTTCAATCGTACAAGGCTCTTGCTGTGTGTCCCAATAAGATGTCCTATACAGATGCAGTACCATTGCCCGATCGTTTACCAGCGCGCAATGCGCGACCGGTTGGGCATGTCCCACGGGAACGGGCGACCGGGCACCGGCGGCGTGCCATTGGCCTCATACTCGGCAATGATCTCGGCCTGGAACGGCTCCCACTCCATGCGCACCAAGTGGGTGTCTTCACCGAGCGCTTCAATGAGGCTATCGCGAGCAGCAAACGTCGTCGACATGGCCGAGCGCGTGCCCGTCGGGTCGTACGCCAAGACAGCGGGGTTCTTGTTGCCCGGGCTGCCCATGAAGGTGTCAGCAGGCAGCTCCGCCGGCGGCGCGATCGCAAGCGACGGGTGGATGCCAACTTCGGCCTTGTTCCACTTCTTGAAGCGGCGCACATCACGCGTGTAGTACTGCGTGCTGTAGACGTTCTTCTTGGAGCCCGTGGACGGCACGTGGGCCTCTTCCTTGTGGCTCGTCGGCGCCGGGTAGCGGAAACTCTGCTCCGCCGTGGGCGACTGGTACGCCTGCTGCGTGCCCGAGGCCACGACGAAGACGAGCTTCTCGCGGAGCTTCTGGCGCAGCTCGGGCGAAAGATACGACTCGATCTTCCACGGCTTGTACGGGACCCACTTGCTCATTTTCACGGCCACCGCTTCGAAAATGACGGCCCACAGCCAGCCACAAACAGTCAGTTGGAATTTAATTTTCGGCCCCATTTGTCATGGCACCATGTATTTTATATTATGCATCAATATATTGTATTTGATAGATCATAATGTAATTTTAAAAAGAGGTGCGTGAAAATGGGATGTAATGTACATTAAAATAGAGAAGCAATATACCGCATTTTAATGCAAATGCGCGCCGCTTGGAGTTGACCGCAAGGGAAAGCAACACCATTTAGATTTGTACTTGTAATGAAATAGTGTTGTATCAGAACGCGGCTGAAGTCCATAGCGATCCAGGATCTGCCACCAGCCTCGATGCGTCACAGGAAGGGTCGCACAGCACATAGAGATAGGCCTCTTGTGTACTATTTGCGTGGTTTGCAGTGAATGCATGAAAAATGCTACCATCCGAATGCGACCAACGTGCACTTGCCTAGACTATTCAAATTTTGGTCCCACCCCCCACGATCGATACCTTCTGTATGGACCAGCACCCCACTGTGGGTGGGCCCCGGGGTGGTACCCAGTCGCCAAGATCGCCATGTGATGTGCAATCCGATTCGATGATGCATCCGGCCGACGTCAGCTGGGCTGATCCAGCTGAGGCAAGGGTCGACGTCAAGCGTGGGCGACGCCGCTCTTGGTTCTGCAATGTCACGCTGCGCATATTCGAGCCATGGAAGTTCCTTGCATTGCGCAGCATAGATACGCCAAGACGACCGTCTGCGACTTGCGCGCCAACTCTAGTCAAGCAGCGAAATGATGTGCCGGGCCTCAAATGTACAGCGAAATAGAATGCATTCTTTTGATAACTTAATAATGGACAGAACGCGTGCTCACGACGCGTGGAGCGGCTCCGAGGACCAGAAGGCTTGCTCGAGGCGGCTCAATTGCGCGTACATGGCGAGCACGATGTGGGGCGCGACGCCGTCCGTCGACTCGGCGAGGTGCGTTGTGTACCAGTGGTACTTTCGCACGTAGCCGACAAACTTCTTGCTCACGCGCATCGGGTGGCACCGGAGGAGCTCCGAGACGAACTTGCGCATGCTCATGGTGCCCGGGAGCGGCAAGACGCCGGTCTTGAACGCTTCGATCATCGCGTTCGCGTACTCTTCCTCTTCCTTGGACCAGCGGCCGGTGCGGACGCCGTCGAGGCTCGAGTAGTCGGACGAGCACGCCTTCTTGATACTATGGTGGTCGTCCGACTCGTCGTCGGTCGGCGACGCGTCGTCTTGGCGGCTAAAGAGCTCGGGCGGGAACGCGCCATGCTGCAGCACATACTCCCAGACCGACGTCGTGTGCGGCGAGACGTCTTGGAGGAGGTACGCCATCGAGTACTTCTCGCTGCACATGGGCTGTTCGACCATCATGCTTGTCGTCTTGCTTGTGCGAGGCTTCAGAAATCCCAAAATGCTGCCTCTCGCCGCGCCGCCCGCAGCTGCAGCTGAAGGCGAACACACGGCGCTCAAGGCTACCAGCATGCGTTTCATTGGAGTAGAAGCCACGGTCGGGCGCTTTGATTGGCTACAATTTTGAACACCTCTGGACTTACTTGAAAGATGTGGGGAATTGACCTGCCTCCACACTGGCACCAGCAAGCAACTCGTTGAATGTGCCCAGCCCCGCAAATAACTAATGCTGTCCCGAACTTCGTCGTCTGGCGCGACCGAGAAGGCGGCCTACTGATATGCGTCCAGCGACCGCTTCACAAGCGTGTCGTGCACGAGCCAGGAGCGAACCCGCGAGTAATTCGTGGCCATCAATCAGCCCACGGAAGCTCTTTCATGGCGCCGCCTCAACAACATAATAGTACGGACTTGGTACATTCGTTTTGCAGACTTGGTGTACTGTGCGCGTTGGACAAGACGGATGCGGCAGGCTGGACGCGTCGTGTATGTGGCCAGGTCCGAGCTACTTGCTACTCCACATGTACCGTGACATCGAGTTGCCGACCGAGGGGCGCACGGCGGCGGCGGCTACTGTGGCAATGGTGGCGTGCACATGCAGTCGCTGTCAGCGATGTCCCTGTACTTCAAGACGCGGGTTTCGGACCAGTGGGATTGGTCACGGCCATTTATGGGCCACGGCAACTTCAATAAGTTCCGTCAGCAAGGCAGGTGTCATGTGCACTGTACAGCATACGAGGTCAGTCGCGCCTGGAGCACGATCTGAAGTCTAGCTTCCGGATCAAAATGCACCGACCACACTTCGCATTACTGCGCAAACCCATCGCGCGCTTTTCAAAACATCCGCGGATCGTGTAGCTACTTATTCAACGACGCACGTGCAGAAGCGCAAGGCTCAACGGCAACGTGCTCACGTCTACAAGCGACTCCAAGCTCGACGCGACGACACCGCGGGCGCCTGCGACCGAGAACCGGATGCCTTGGGCGCATAAGCGCTCGGCCACCGTCGCGAGCACTTGCAGCGACGTGGCGTCGACGTCGTAGAGGTAGCTCGCGTCCAGCACGACGAAATGACGGCCCGGGTGCAGTACGACTTGCGAAAGCAGAAACTGCGACACAAACTCGGCGTTGCCAAAGTAGAGCGATCCCTCGACGCGGACCAAGATGGCGTCGTCGGGCACGCGCGCGCTCAGCTCGTTGTGAAGGCTCAAGTCGACGATATGGCCGTCCTCGGTCTCACCGAGGAGACACACGTTCGGGCGCTTGGTCTTGATCATGACGGCGAGGAGCGAGCACCCAATGGAGCTGAAAAGGCCCGGTAGGATCCCAAGGCCGATCGTGAGCACGAACGAGAGGATCCAGACGACGAATTCGTCGCGCTTGGCGGTATACAGCCACGTCGCCTCGTGCGTCTCGATAAGCCAGTAGCCAGCGACAATGATGATGGCCGCGAGGCTCGCTTTGGGTAGAAAATGGAGCGCGTTGGTGAGGAAGAGCAGCACAAACAGCACGAGCGCGACGGTCACAAAGGACGCGAGCTGCGTGCGTGCGCTCTGCACGTTGACCGCCGTCCGGGACATACCCCCCGTCGGTGGCATGACTTGGAAGAAGGCCCCGATGGCGGAGGCGAAGCCGAGGCCGAGGAGCTCTTGGTTGGCATCAATGTCATAGTTGCCGCGCACCGCGAGCCGCTTGGCCATCGCGATACTCGTCGAGTAGACAATGACCGCGATCGTCGCGGCTTGCAAAAACACGTCGGAAAAGTTGACCGACGTGATGATGTGCTCGCTGTACCCGTACCACGGCAGCACTGGCGACGGAAGACCTTGGGGTACATGGCCCGTGACCTTGACGCGCGTCTCGCCAATGAGGTACCCCGCGAGGATGCCAAACACACAGATGAAGAGCGGGCCGAGGTCGAGGCATGTCTTGAGTACAAAAATCACAACCTTGTACGCCTTGGACGACGACGCAGTGCGCAGCGGCAACGCCTCGCGGCTATCGCTGGGCATAGACGGGACGTGCTCCATGGAAGCAAAGTCCGAGTCGGTAAGCGAAAAGCCCCACGTCCGGTGCGACGCGAGCGGCGCCGAGGTCTCATGCAGCGGTTGGAACGCGCGCGGGGACTCGAGTAGCTCGTTGAGCTTTGGCGCGTCGACCCAGTGCGCCTTGGCGTACTTGAAGAGCGAGAGCACGATGATCGAGACAAGACCAATGCCAAACGAGATGGCGTTGGCGTCGCCGAGATGCGTGCACACGCGGTAGAGCGTCTCGAGCGGGTACGACGACGTTGGCAACGTCAGCTGGAACCACGTCGGCAGCTGCGAGATCATGATGAGGACGCCGCCGCCAGAGAGGAAGCCGCCCATGACAGGTCGAGAGAAGAAGTCGGCGATCACGCCGAGCTGGAGGCACCCGAGCACCATGTTGATGGCGCCAATCAGAAACGAGAGGAAAATGCCCACCGCGATGCGCTCAGCGGCGGTCGGGATCGTCTGGAGGTACGTGCCGACCATGAGACTCACTTCGGCGCCGTTCGCGACCGAGAGGACGCGGGACGTCCCAAAGATCGTGTAGAGCGCCGGCGTCATCGCCGCCGTGTAGAGGCCATACTGCGGCGGCACGTTCATGACGTTGGCGAGCGAGATCTCTTGCGGCACGATCATCATGGCCACGGTCACGCCAGCGATCAAGTCGAACTTGAGGTCGCGCTTAACATCATACGCGGGCACCCACTCTAGCAGCGGGAAGCGCCGCGACCACCGAGACGGCGCCATGCGACCTGTCGAATGGCACTGCTTGGCGCTGCGCCCGCCATCTGGCCAAATCCGTTGTCGGTATCCGGATGATTGGGATTTCCCAGCACTGCCGACCAGCTTGACTGCCGACGGTTGGATGTTGGACGGGCATGCACGCGCCGCGGTGTGCAACGCGCTTCAAGGCCCGCCTGTTTACTCAGGTGTCTCGTGCGCCAGCCTTGCATACGCATCGCGGCGAGACAAACATTCAAGGTGAAGTGCGTCTGCGTTGGAATGCAGTCGAAGATAGCTCGGCTTTACGTTAATTGATGAGCCATCAGGCTTTGGCGCTCGCGACGATCCACGACGGTCTCTGCTTCTCGCTATGACTGAGCTGCGTATTGGCATCGCCTCCGCCTCGTCAGACAAGTTGCCGGCCACAGCTGCCGGCCGCCAGGAGCTCTACGCGAACAAGTGGAGGTCACCGCTGTCAAGCACAACGGAGGACGTGGTGCGCGAGGCTGTATCGGGAACTCGTCCGAGCATTGGCACGTTCTTGGAGTGTCCTTGTGGAACGACGATCCAAGATCTTGACGCGCTGATGACCATCTGTCAGCTCAGGAGAGGCTACTGATTGGTTGATTGAGAATTCATGGAGCCAATCATGCGTCGGTATATCTCAGAGTCACAACTGGCAATCCTTCTTTTTGGACTCGATTGGAGGCTCCAGGGCCGAGCTCCGCGGAGAACACTTTACGTGCCTGGTTGTAGCAAGCATACAAGGAATGGGTGAATTGCCTTGCACAGTACCGTATAGTGGTCGTAGCTTTTCTTATGATAGGCGATGATAGTGGTTGCCGCCGGCAAGTAGTAGTGATATTGGCGAGAAACCAAGCGATCCCCTTTGCGGAGTCGATACGCCCGCACGTTTCCAATTTGTATGAAACATTTACGAAAAGGTGTCTTTCTGAAGAGCTCCCATCGTTAATATGTACCGGTATGATAACCACTTCATCGATTTGGAAGTTCAACGTAGCAGTTCGCCTTTCCAGGCGTGATAGCCTGGTCGCTGCAAACTCGGGTTGCTCAGCTCTTCGTTCACTTCGCCTTTGTCCTCGCTCAACCCAGTGCAGTATGGTCCAGCTGTCGCACCGCCTCAAAACGCTCTTCCCGCTGCTGCAGTGGGTGCCAACGTACAACATCAAGCGCGACCTCAAGTTCGACTTGATTGCTGGCGTGACCGTGGCCATGATGATCGTGCCGCAAGAGATCTCGCTCGCCAACGTCATGGCCGTGCCCGCGCAGTATGGCCTCTACACAGCGGCGGTCACACCGCTCTTGTACACGATCTTTGGCACGTCCCGCGTCCTTTCGGTCGCGAACGGCTCGGAAGTAAGCCTTATGGTGGGCACGTACCTCCAGACGATCCCCGACATGAAGGAGCGCGTCGCCGTTGGCATTCTCATCTCATTTCTCGTCGGGTGCATCAACTTTGCCCTTGGCTGCCTCCAGCTCGGCGTCGTCGCCGACTTCTTCTCGCGGCCCGTCATGGGCGGCTTCCTCTCGGCCGGTGGCATCCTCATCATGGTCGCGCAGTTCCCAACGTGGCTCCAGCTGTCGCTGCCGACGCACGCGTACCCGCTCCAGACGATCTACGAGATCTTCCACAACTTCAACAAGATCAACTGGATCTCGTGCACAATCGGAGTCCTCTCGATGCTCGTGCTCTCGTTCTTCAAGTACGCCAAGAAGCACCTCGTCGAGGCGCCCAAGCTCGCCGAGCTCCTTGACGGTCCCAGTATCACGCAGCCTGTCACGACGCCGCGTGAGCAGTGGGGCTTCTCGCTCAACGAAGGCGACTACGCGACGATGGAAGAAGATCACGCAAATCCGACCGAGAAGAATCGACTCGGCAAGATGCCAAGCATGCAAGCAGGCAAGACCAAAGCCGTCCTCCTCTTTCTCTTGCGTACGCTGCTCGACCTCGGCCCGCTCGTCATTTGTTTTTTCGGTATCCTTGCCGGGTACCTCATCGGCGAGAAACGCGTCAAGGTCACGGGCCATGTGCCCCAGGGCATGCCCGACATCGTGCTGCCGTGGTATGGCTACAGCGACAATTTGATCAAGACCGACAGCTTTGGCCACATCTTCCTCCAAGCTGCAACCATGGCGCTCGTCGTCTACTCGACCAGCGTCGCGATCGCCAAGCGGCTCGCGGTGCGCGGCAACTATGACATTCATTCGAACCAAGAGTTGCTTGGCCTCGGCTTCGCCTCCGCTGTCGGTGCCTTCTTCCAGGTCATGCCACCGACGGGGGGTATGTCCCGCACGGCGGTCAACGTCCAGAGCGCCAAGACGCAGCTCGCGTCGTTCATCACCGTCTCATTAGTGATCCTCGTGCTTCTCTTCTTGACCGATGCCCTGTACTACCTCCCGAAGGCGAGCCTCGCGTCGATCATCATTGTCGCTGGCTTTTGGCTGATTGAGATCGACGAGGCCAAGTGGCTCTTCAAGGCCAAGCGCGACGAGTTCTACGTCTGGATGCTGTCGTTCGTGCTCACGGTGGGTCTTGGCATCCTCCCGGGTCTCTTTGGCTCGATCGCGTGCTCGCTCCTTGCCGTCATGATCAAGACGAAGCGCCCCGTGGTCTGCCTCCTCGGCCTCAACGCCGATGGCCACTACGTCGACACAAGCGTGCACCCTGAGGCCGTCATGCCCAACGATGCACTGGTCGTGCGCGTCGAGGGCTCGCTGTACTTTGGCAACGCCGAGTTCCTCTCGCAGTACATTATGACGCAGCTCGTCTTGCATGCTGGCCGGCGCCTCGTCGTCCTCGACACGACGTTCCTCCATGATATCGACGCCACTTCGATCCAGACGTTTGAGATCCTTGAGGAGCGCCTCACGCACTTGGATGCGACTGTCTCGTTTGCCAACGCGCGCGGCCAAGCAGCGAGCATCCTCTCAACAAGCGGCCTCTGCAAGATCGAGCCGTCGCAATCGCTCGACCAAGTGCTCCTCGCGCTGCGTCGAGACAATAGCTAAGTTTCTCGGTTGACACGAATGTATTGATTTTCATATATTTCCGATCGACTGCTTGGATTAATGGTTTCGCAGGACAGGAGAATTCTCATGTTTCCTGGATAAAAACTGGTTAGCGCTCGCACGTTAGTATGACACTAGCAAGGCTAGACCCATGAGTATATCAAAGCAGTTCACATGTATTTCTAAAGCAGTTTACTTCTGCGGACTCTGGATGCTAGGTAGCCATTGATAGTGCGGCCAGTGCATTGGTTTGTGCCAATCCCTACCCCTAAACACGGGAACCTGGCTGTCGTGGGTGAACTGGTCATGAGCTGCGCGGCTTTCGACGCTACCACCAGATGTAATACCACAATAATGGTTTACCGGTGCTAGTCGATGCCGAGTCGTTCTCGCTGCTCTCACGCAGGACTACGTTGGTGCACACAGTCTACCTGGCACAGTCTTTTCCTGTACACACTGAGTTGAAGCGGAGCCCGTCGGTCTGTTGTCTCGTCTATTGTGTAGCGGCAACCATTGGCGGGCGTGGCCGACGAACGCTCGCGTCGCCAAGCGGGAGCTCGTTGGAAGCCGAGTGAATGCGCCATGTGGTTGCATCCAAAGGGCACATTGAACCAAAAGAACGTTCTGCTCGCAAAAATAATATTCTTACGATCGAAAAACACTTGCGATTTGTAAGCAAATTAAAACACGACACGCGAGCGTATCTTTTCAAAGTGCATTTTGCCGAAAGAAGACGAAGATCACACGATGAGTGGACTGCGCGTGATTGCCCCGAGCGACGTCCGCGCGTTCGCGTACGACCCGGTCGAGCCCCAGGCCCTCGAACAGGCCCGCGCCATCGTCAACGACGTGCGCGCGCGCGGCCTCGACGCGGTCCGCGACCACGCGCTCCGCCTCGGCGACATCCCGTCGCAGAACGCGCCCATCTTGTACTCGCGCAAGGAGATGCAGGCGGCGTTCGACGCGCTGCCCGTGGCCGAGCAGCAGCTTCTGCAGCGCACGAAGCAGCGCATCGAAGTCTTCGCCCAAGCCCAACGCGCGTCGATCCAGAGCTTTGCCCGTGACATTCCTGGCGGCCAAGCTGGCCAAGACGTGTCGCCCATGCAAGTCGCAGGCTGCTACGCCCCTGGGGGCCGCGTACGATGAAAGCTACAGCATGCGTCCTTTGTCTCATCTTGACTCGATAGTACCCGCTGCCGTCGTCGGTGCTCATGACGGCCGTCACGGCACGCGTGGCTGGTGTGGCCACGGTCATCGTCGCCTCGCCGCGCCCAGCCCCCGCGACGCTAGCAGCCGCCTACATCTCGAACGCCGACGCGCTCCTCGCGGTGGGCGGCGCGCAAGCGATCGCGACGCTCGCGTACGGCATTGACGGCGTCCCGCCTTGCGACATCATCGTCGGCCCCGGCAACAAGTACACACGACTGCTCGCCACCGCGTCCGCTCATCTCGTGGTGACGTAGGTGGGTCACAGCAGCCAAGTCGCTCGTGTACGGCAAGTGCGCCATTGACATGCTCGCGGGTCCGTCCGAGTGCCTCGTTGTGGCCGACGAAGCGGGCCTCGCGCACGCCGCGACGATCGCCGCCGACCTCCTCGCGCAGGCCGAGCACGACACGGCGGCAGTCCCGATCCTCGTTACAACGTCGCAAGCTGTCGTGGATGCTGTCAACGCAGAGATTGCATCGCAGCTCGCCGTGCTCCCGACCGGTGCGACGGCGGCTGTGAGTGTCGGAAAGGGCTTTGCCGTGCTGTGCCCGACCCTCGAGGCCGCTGTCGAGGCCGCCAACATCCTCGCGGCCGAGCACGTCGAGATCATTTGCACCGACAGCACCGCTGTCGCCAAGCGCATTGTGCACTACGGGTACGAGAGTGAGTGGTATCCGACGACGGTGGCTCATGATATGTACTAGCGGTTTGTTTATTGGCGCGCGTGCGGCCGAGGTCCTCGGCGACTACGGCGTCGGGCCCAACCACGTGCTCCCGACGGGCGGCACGGCGCGCTACACGGGCGGTCTCTCGGTGCACACGTTCCTCCGCATTCGCACGTGGATGCGAATTGACGACGCGGCGCAGTCGCAGGAGCTCGTCCGCGACGCCGTCGCCCTTGCGCGCATCGAAGGCCTCGAAGGCCACGCCCGCGCCGCCGAGAAGCGACTGGTGTAATCGTTTAACAACAAGTAATGATCTGTAGTCTTATTTCATGTCGACAGTAAGCGCTACGGCGCGGCGTGGACCGGCGTCGTCCACGGCCACAGCTGGTGCACGGTCGCGGCCTCGCGCGGAAAGACATAGCTCAGCACTGCTGCGACGTTGATGCCGTACTCGCGCTCGGCGACGAGCAGCAAGAGACCCAAGAAGACCGCGTACACGCACTTGTCGGCGATCGCCATGTAGTTGGTGCGGGTGGCGGTTGGGCGAGGAGGCGTTGCGCGCTGCGCCGCCGCCAGCGCCGACTGGATCTCGGCCTCTTGCAGGCCGAGGAGGGCCTGAATCTTCTCGACGCGGGCTGCAGCCGCGCTGCGTTCGTCCGCGTCTGCAGCTTGCAGCGGCGGCGCTGGCAAGCAGCGCTTGTCGTCGTCGTCGGGTGTGGGAACGGAGGGCGACGCGTCGCGCTGCAAAGCGTCCGGCGTGTACTCGAAGGGCTCGCCAGGATACAGCGTGAGGAGACTAATGAGCACGAGGCCAATCGCGACGCCGACGCCCAAGCTCGTCCACGTCTCGCTGCCATAGTGCTCCATGGCGCCGGTTCGCAAGATACCAACCTGGCCATGCTGCTGCTTTATCCGGATAGATCCGGGTCATTTGCACTGTCTTCCTCGATGAACGACTGCGCCCGGTGGTACGAGCGGCTCGCCAACTCGCAGCCGCTGGACGTGACCAGCCTCCTTCGGCTGCTGGCGATGGCCAAGGAGCACCTCGCCAACCAGCCGACCTTGCTGGACCTCCCGGCGCCCATCACGATCTGCGGCGACATCCACGGCCAGTTTGCCGACCTCCTCACGCTCATGTCGCTCGACATTGGCCAGCGCATGCTCTTCCTCGGCGACTTTGTTGACCGCGGGTCCCATAGCGTCGAGACCATCAGCTTCCTCCTCGTGCGCATGGTACACGCATCGATCCCTGCGCTCGCCATGGCTAAACATGCATCCTCTGCAGGTGCGCTTTCCCGACTCGACGTTCCTCATCCGCGGCAACCACGAGTCGCGCCAAACGACATCCGTGTACGGCTTCCAGACCGAGTGCAGTAAGAAATACGACGGCGACCAGCGCGTCTACAAGGCCTTTATGGACGTCTTCGACTACCTTCCCTTGGGTACGTCCACTCGCCCTTCCCAGGAGCGAAACCTCTCACATCACCATTACCTCTAGGCGCGATTGTCAACAAGCAGCTCATGGCCATCCATGGCGGTCTAAGCCCCGCGATCCATTACGTCGACCAGATCCGCATGATCAACCGCGTGATGGAAATCCCGTCCGACGGCCCCTTTGCGGGTGCGCATCCGCATCTCACGCGGTGAATCTCATGGAACGTGGTAGATCTGGTCTGGTCCGACCCGGAACCCAAGAGCAACGGCTTCCACCTCTCGCCGCGCGGCGCGGGCTACATGTTTGGCGCCGACATTGTCGAAAAGTTCCTGCACATCAACGACCTCCAGCACATTAGCCGCGCCCACCAGCTCTGCATGGAAGGCTACCAAGTGCTTTTCCGGGACACGTTTTCCACGATCTGGTCGGCGCCCAACTACTGCTACCGGTACTATTGCACATAGTCCTCTCTGCACTCTTCACCGTGCTGCCATGTAGCTTTGGCAACCTCGCATCCGTCATGTGCGTCGACGACAACCTCGAGGTACAGACTGCAGTCATCACCAACGTCCGATGCAACCTCTCAGTTCGTAGCGTACGTTCAAGATCTTCCAAGCCGCCGGCGCCACGACGCACCCCAACCTCAACGAGATGCAGCCGTCGTCCACGGACGTGGTCGATGCGGGGTACTTTACCTAGCTAGCTGTTTCAAAGACAACGCGAGCGAAACCAACGACATGAACGCATTCGACTACCGCCGGGCCTTCTTGGCTTTCTTGCTGCTACTGCTGCTCAGTCCCTTGAGGCTCCGGAGCTTGGTCTTCATGACCTTGGCCATCTCGACCGCGTCGTGGTGCACGAGCGAGTCCTTGTGGTTGTAGCGCTGCGCGTTCTCAAACATGAGCCGAAAGTCGGCTTCGATCGCATCGAACGACGTGTACGCGCCGCTGGAAATGCGCGCGTCAATCGTCATGAGGTCCATGGGCGTCGACACAATCGTGTAGTAGTCCCTATCGCATCCATCGTTGCGGCAAAGACTTGCAGCCACAAGAACGACGTACGGGTAGTCTTCGGCCGACGGCTTTTCCAGAAACAAAAAGTGACGCAGCCGACCGGACCCGTCCTTGGCCCGCAACACGGCATCGTACAACTGACGCAGTTTGTCGGTCGAGACAAGCGGGGCATCTGCCACGTCGGTCTTGGGCTTCTTTGCGGCCGGCTGCATGATGTTGTCCGCGTCCACCGCGTCGCCGCCGTCTTCGAGAATGCGATGGAACTGGGCCTCCGACATGTCTCGGTACGAGATTTCCTTGCGCTTGCGCTTGACGTCGTCAAAGAGGAGGCCGACGCCGTCGTCGTCGGCGGCGTCCTGCGACTTTTGCACCTCGGCGGCTTCGGCGGCCTTGAGCCACTGCGGCACGTCGGCCATGCCCATGAGCCGATTGAACGGACTCCCAAATGTCTTGGCCTCGCGGAGGATGCGCTCGTTGTCCATGCGGTGGTACTGCGCGAGCTCTTCGTCCGTGAGCGCCATGATCGAGTTGAGCTCGTCGTTGTCCATGACCATGGCCTCGTCATCCCCAGCGTCCTCGCTCTCCATCTTGATGAGCGACTCGAGCATCGCGCGACGGTCCGCCTCCTTGGACTTGGCGTGGAACTTGCCGGCCTCGACGACGAGGTTGTTCATGTTCATCTTCTCGGTCGCGCGGCTCAGGATCTTTTCTTCGATCGGCGAGTTGGTCACGAGCCGAAACACGCGCACTTCGTTCTTTTGCCTACGAGATTGATGGCTCGTATCAAGTTGATACAAAACAGAGACCAGGACGCACCCGATGCGGTGCGCGCGGTCCTGCGCTTGCGCGTCCATCGCGGGGTTCCAATCGCTGTCGAAGATGATGACCGTGTCGGCCGTCGCGAGGTTGAGCCCGAGGCCGCCCGCGCGCGTACTCAGCAAAAAGATAAAGTACGGCGAGTCGGGCGCGTTGAACATAAACATGCGCTGCTCGCGCTCGTCCGCACTCGTCGAGCCGTCAAGGCGCAGGTACCGAAACCTACAAAGAGCAAATGTGGCAATCTCTCGAAAAGAGGAGCCAACCCGCGGTAGTTGAAGTAGTCTTCGAGCACGTGCATGAGCTGCGTCATTTGCGAAAACATGAGCACGCGGTGCCCGGCGGCGTGAAGCTTGGGCAACATGCGGTCGAGGAGCTCGAATTTGCCCGCCGACCGCACAATGTCAAAGTCGATTGGGTAGCCCTGGGTCTGGAAGAGGTACGGGTGGTTGCACACTTTTCGCAGCTGCATGAGGATGTTGCTCAGGCCCTTTGCAGTAAACGACGACTTGGCCTTCTCGGTCGACGACGACGCTTCCATGAGGAGGGACCCGCCTTCCTGGATGCGCCGGTACATGATCTTCTGCCAGCCGGAGAGCTCGCAGCGAATGACGCGCTCGACCTTATCGGGCAGCTGGTCGAGCACCGAGCTCTTGACGCGCCGGAGGAGGAACGGACGCAGCACTTGGTGCAATCGGTTGATGATGAGCATGCGTTCTTCGTCCGAGAGCTCGTTGTTCTCGCCCGTGCCCGTAAAGTGCGAGAAGGGCTTGCTGAACCACTGCTCAAAGTTGTCCACCGACTCGAAGATCGTCGGCAGCAAAAATTGAGCAGCGCCCAGAGCTCGGGCAGCGAGTTCTGAAGCGGCGTCCCCGTAAGCAGCAGGCGGTTCCGGGACGTGTAAAGCGACCCGAGTGTCATTGCAAACTTACTCTGCGCGTTCTTCATGCGGTGGCCTTCGTCGACAATGATGTACTGCCAGTCGTACTTGCGCAGCACGTGCTTGTCCTTCATGATGTACTCGTACGTCGTCAGAAGCACATTGAACTGGACGCTCGCCATCTCGAGCCGGTAAATGTCCTTGCGCGCCTGCGGATGCCCTACCATCCCGTTGGCCACAACGATTCTTTCAAGGTATCAACAACCTTTGTAGACGACGAGCGTAATGTCGGGCGCCCACTTGCGAAACTCGTTGACCCAGTTGGAGAGCGTCGAGAGCGGCACGACGACGAGGAACGGGCCGTGGTTGTGCTTGAACTCCATGATGTACGTCACGAGCGAGATGGACTGGATCGTTTTCCCGAGCCCTAGACCACATATTATGTCCTCCTGTCGTACGATCGAAAGACAATTTTACCCATTTCATCGGCCAAAATGCCGTTGAGGCGGTTGTCGTAGAGCGACACCATCCACTGCAAACCGCGCAGCTGGTACTCTTTGAGGTCGCCGCCCACAAGCATTTGTGGCTGCCGCGGCATCTCGCTGTTGACAGCAATGCCGAGGTAGTCGAGTTCGTCGTCGACGTCGGCCGCGTCATCGCCCGTCGGCGTCGGTGCAACCAGCCCATGCTTCTCGCGATGGCCGCGCACGAGCTCGCGGATGCTGTCGAGGTACGTGTTGGTTTGCGACAATAAATACGTCAAGCGCTCGTTCTTGGCTTCGGCGACGAGCTTGGAGTAGGCCGCCATGTCGTTGGCCTTGAGCGCCTTGAGACGCAGCTTCTCCTGACGGTCTTCCTCCCGCTCGGCGCGGTTGGCCTTGGCGTCGACGTGGGCCTTGGCGCCGCGCGAGACTTTCGCGAGCGACGAGACGCGCGCCTTGTGGAAGGCCGAGAACTCGCGCGCGTGGTTCAAGACCGTGCGCAGGTACACGTTCCGCGCCGCGCGCCGCTTCTTCTCGTTCGAGAGGCTCTTCATGCGGCGCTCCCGCTCCGACGGGTCGTACAAAGCAAGCATCGGGCGCTTGCGCTTGAAGAAGGTCCGGTCGACGTGGACGGGGTCGCCGAGCTGCGCCAGTTGCACATGGTACGCCAAGACCATTTGTTCGCGGAGCTGTGCCTGGAGGCCTCGCAAGCCTGTGGGAAGAGTCGGCGCGTCGTCCTTGTCGTCGAGCTCGTGGACGATGCATGACGAGAGCGCTTCTTGGGGCACGTACACGATTTCGCGGTCGCCACGGGCCCATGCAAGTGTGACATCGACGGTCGGCCGCGTAACATCAATAATCTCTGGAAGCGTGATCGCAGACGCAATTGTGGGCGTCGGTGGCGGCGTAACGAGCACAGGCGCAGGTACCTCGGGGATGACGGCGGTCGCGGCCGCCGCCGCCGAAACGTCTTTTGCGAGGAGCTCGTCCATGGTTCGGCTGAGTGCTTTGAACGTGCGGATTTGCTGGTGGAGGTGTGTGAGCTGCTTCTCGGTGAAGATGAGCGGCTTGGGCTCCGTGCGCGGCGCGGCCACTACCGCCTTGGCCTTGCCCTTGGCTTCGCTGGCCGGCGCTTGGCGGGCGTCCGTGAGGCGCTGCTGCTGCGCGCGTAGGATCGTCACGATCTGGTGGTAGCGCGGGTCGCTCGTCCGGCCTTCGTCACGCATGCGCACGGCCATCGCCATGAGCTGGCGCAGGTCCGTCGTCGACTCCATCGCGGTTCAAAATCCCAACGCGCGATATCCAACTCGACCCAAGTGTCCGACTTGCACGCAAACTTTTAAGGCCGTGGAGAAACGGCGCATCTGATTGGACAAAAATCGGTCTTTTTCCGATTTTCACAGGTGTCCAGGCAACCATCGGAGCAGTGCAACGCATGACGACGCCCCGCGGGGCGAGGATGACAACGTTACCGGCCAGCGCCTGTACGCACTACGCTAGGCCTAAGAAAGCGCAGGTGCCATGGACAGCGAGGCGGCTGTAGCTGGCGGTCATGAACTGGACGCACACCGACGGCTCATGGAGCTACAAGCATGATGGCCACTTGCCCAATGCTGGTGCACGTATGAGCATGGCAGCCAACGATAATAGCTGCCAGCAATTCCAGTGCCGACACCGCGTGCGAGATGGATGCTATCGCCAGCGATCCTTGTTTCGATCGTGAATGGTAGTCCAAGCGCAACGTTAGTCGTGTTGAGGCTGCGCGCTGGGCCTTGAATCGTCACTGCGAGGGTCAAGTGCAGGCGTGTCACGGGCAGTACGACTCGCGGCTTGCAGGCAATGGCGCATGCTTGGCATGGCTCGTCGGTGAGCACGTTTACGTCCTCGACATCTAGGTACCACCAAGTTGCACGCAGCACTCCAAGGCTCGCGCGCGATCATCGTTGCCAGCCATGGCGACATGACGCGAAGGAGGCCGAAGCTCGGCGATTCTGCGGTCACATTGCACTTCGAACTTCGTTGGGACTTTCTCGAAAAGGGCGATCTTCGAAGCTTTCCATACAAACGCGAAGATGGGTCTCGAAGTTCGAAGGCGCGGAGCGCGCAGGAGCCACCCTTTCATTTTGCATCCGCCACTGACCAGCATGCTTTCCCGCCTCTCGTCGCTCCGCGCCCTCCGCACGGCCATGCCCGTCCGCGCCTTCTCGTCGGACCTCTCGTCGCTCCTCGCGCGCGAGCTCGCGGAGGAGAAGGCCAACTGCTTTGTCGGCGAAGAGCTCGAGACGCTGCGCGAGAAGGTGCTCAAGCACTTCAAGATCACCGACACGCCGGGCAACGTGGGCATTACGCTCAAGAGCAAGACCGCCAACGAGATCATTGACATCAACTTCAACGTGCAGGACGTTGCCGAGCCCGAGGCCGGCGAGTACGAGGACGAAGAAGAGGAGGCCGAGGGCGACTACGAGGGCGACGAGGAGGACGACGTCTTGCCGAGCATCCGCTTCACGGCGCGCATTGTCAAGAACAACGAAGCGCTCATCTTTGACTGCGTCGCGAGCTCCATCTTGACGATCGACAGCGTCATGCACCTCGAAGAGAACGCCGATGAAGTCGACAACTCGGCGTACCATGGCCCGCGCTTCATCGACCTCGAGAACGACGTGCAGGAAGCCTTTGCCGACTACCTCAACGAACGCCACATCAATGACGACTTGGCCAACTTTATCATGGAGTACGCCGACCTCAAGGAGCAGAAGGAGTACGTCACGTTCTTGGAGAACGTCCAAAAGTTCACGGCCGAATAAACCATCTTATCAATTCAGTCTATACTACTACTACGTCATTATTGTGCTTTGACCACCAAGCTGCTGCGTTGCACTACCAAGTCTGCTGTCCGTGGCCAGTTTCGCCTGGCTGGATTTCAATCCAGAGACTACGCAAATCACGTCGACGACCTCGAGTTGCGCGGGGAGCGGCGGTGATGCGCTGCGTGTCGTCCATACGCAGGTAAACTGAATGACATGTTGATACGTGTTGATCCAGGTGTGGCTACGAACAAAGTTGCGGCTGGTTCATGGCTTCAAGGCTAGTGTAGCATCAACCACCAGCGATGGCATTGCAGATCACCAACTCAAAAGGCAAATGATCGATCGAAGTGTGGCAACAGATTGGCTGAAACGGCCAGCCATCGCACGCCGGTGCTGCCACGTCATGACGTTCGGGCCACACAAGCACGCAAATATCATGTCTCGACCCATCAAGACGACAGCTCTCTCATTACGTCGTCTTACATCATGCCACCGAGCAAGGTCTGGAGCTTGGCCGCCACGGCGGGGTTCGACATGTGCCGCATCGCCGCCTGCGGGCCGCCCGCGTCCATGTCACGGAAAAAATCAGCCATGACGGGGTCGCCACGCATAGCGTTCACCTAGTTGGTTGAATATCCTCCGTCGCTGTCCACTGAGACGGCAAGGACCATACCTGCGGGTTCGTCCGGAACGACTCCATCATCTCGGGCGTGAGCATCGAGCTGAGGTCCGGCATGCCACCAGCACCAGCACCAGCGCCGCCGCCGCCGCCCATGGCACCCATCATCTGGCTCATCATCGCCGGGTTCTGCATCATGTTCTGGGCCATCGACATCATCTGCGGGTTCTGCATCATCTGCGCCGCCATCTGCTGCATCGCGGGGTTGCTCATGAGGCCTGCGAGGCCGCCGGCACCGCCGGCACCGCCCATCAAGCCCGCCAGCGCACTCAGGTCGGGCATACCGCCGGGCATACCACCGGCCGCAGGAGCCTCGCGCGTCGTCGGCTAGCACGAGAGGTTGGCGTCTTGGCGTCTAAGTGTAAGTGTAATGGATGTACCTGAAGACGCTGCTTCTTGCTCTTGGCCTCGGTGAGACCGGCCTTGCACGCAGCATTGGTCGGGTCCACTTCAAGGCCGCGCTGGTAGGCGTCGACTGCAGCATCAAAGTCCTCGAGCTGGATGTACGCCGAACCGAGACGCGAGTAGGCCTTGCCATAGTTGGGCTGTGCCACGAAGTGATGAGCCTAAAGATTCTAGCATCCTAGAACGTACGTTGATGGCAATGGCCTTTTCGCACGACGCCACAACTTCCTCGTACTCCTCCAAGTACATTTGGGCCGCGCCAAGGTTCGAGTAGTAGATGTGCGAGTTGGGACCGTCGGCCGAGAACGAGATCGCTTGCTTGTAGAGGTCCGCGGCCTTGGCGTAGTCCTTGGCCGTCAGCGCCGCGTTGCCGCTCGCCTTGAGCTCCTCGGCCTTGGCCTCCTTCTGCTCCTTGGAGAGCGTCGGCTTGGCATCGAACTTTTCCTTGAACTTGCCGAGCGCCTTTTGGTAGAGCTGGTTGTACTCTACGTGCGTGCGCTTGAGCCGACATGTGCATGCAAGGCGCGTGGGACATACCTGGCGTGCCCTTTTGGACGCCCGCGAAGAAGCCCTTGGCCTCGAGCTTCGAGACCCACTTTTGCCACAGTGCCGGGTCTACAGAACAGCGTCGCCTTTTAGCGCATGCATGTCGTCGAATGCAACGTACTCGCGGCGATGACCGGGTCTTCCGGCGCGATAGGCGTCGCAGCTTCCAACGTAATGTGGAGCGCCTTACAGCCAGCGGCAAAGATGTCGGCAAACTGATGCTGGCCAAGGCCAAGCGCCTGCTTCGTCGACGCGCTCGCAGGGTCGACATTGAACGCCTCCCTACAACCCACCAAGGTCAACGCCACGTCGCTTCGCCGGATCGTGCTTACTTGAGGCACTGCACGCCCACCTCGACGTTTTCCGAGTCGTAGTTGGACTTGGCGGCCAGCGACGCCAAGTACTCGAGCGCGCTGAAGATACCTGCTTGCTCGATTGACGCCATCCTCTTGGTAAAAAGTGCTTTGACCTTCCAGTCGTCACGCCCCAGACGAGAAGTCTGAAATAGAGTTATTTTTCTATTTAGTGTACACAACGTTGCAGTCATGACCCTACTTGTAGAGTCTTGCATTGAAGCACGCGGCGTAGCCCGCATCAAAAGACACATACAAAAGGAGCAATTGCATGTAGCCCTATCGAGCACCATAACAACCGTGCACCAGCAACAGCGACAAGGCCGGCCCTGCCATGTAACACTATATTCCCATACTATTTCCGGATACAAACGTGAAAATGCCACGTGGGTAGGAATTCCGGATATCGAGCGCGATCCTGCCACGCCAGGTGCAACTCCTCGTACGAGCATGCGCATCCTGCTCTACGTGCACGTGGCGGCCGACCACTACGTCATCTCTTGCGACGAGAGCGCCACGCTAGCGTCACTCATGGGTATGGCCGAGGCGGCGTACGCGTCGGTCTTTCGCGCCAAGCCACCCGTGTCGATCCGTGCCATCACCAACGCGTCCGGGTGCTTCCTCCCGCCCGCCCTCGTGGTCGCCCAAGTGCTCAGTACGGCATTTATATGCTTTCGCTAGCCCAATTTAAATGCATGATTACATCATATGTAGCGCCCGAGGAGCACATTTACGCCGTTGTCGACAATGAGCCCGCTTACAACGACACCGAGCCGCCTCTGGACGCTTTCAAGCGGGCCGTCGCGTCCTGGTCGCAATGGCAGGTATCGCTTCCAGCTCGGTTCGCAACGCATGTCATGTCGTTGATGTAGCTCTACATGGTGCAGCTGCTCTGCACCATGACGCAAGACCCGGTTGTAGCGATTCCCGACCTCTTGGCGTGTGGCGCGTTCAAGGTGCTCGGCTCGCTTCTCTTTTCTTCCGATATGCAGAGTACGCGATACGTCCAAATGGAGAAGACGAATGTGCTTCGTCTCGTAGTCTTGCGGCTCGCGCTCCAAGTGCTGGAGCGTTGCATGTCGGTCGACTGTCTCAGCGCCGCCCGCCTCTTCACGCAGCTCCTCGCGACGAAGCGCTTGCCAGACGACCCGTTTGTGCCCACGACACTGCTGCGCCTCCTGCACACATTTTGCGCCGAGAGCCGCGAAGCTCAGACGCTCTTGCTCGAAGAAGGCATCTCGAGCCGGCTCCTCGCCCTCGTCGACTCGGTCAAGACGCCCGAGGCCGCCCACGCGATTGACGCAACACTATGTCTTCTCCAAGACTCTGCGCTACTCGGTCGCCGACCGCGCAGCAGTCGGTCCAACCAGTCATCGCCGCCGATGGCGCTGCAAGAAATCATGTACCTCTTGCACAGCAAACAACCCAAGAGCCTCGATGTCGCGTCCAAGCAGCTTCTTCTCTTGGCCGCCACGGAAGACGACTGGGCCGCCGCGATGGCAGGCTCGAGTTCCGAGCGAGCGATCTTTACCGAGCTCTTGCACGTGGCAGGCAGCAGCTTTCGCACGACGCATACCGTCCACATGGTCGTACTCGGTCGCTTTCTCTGCGTGATGCAGTCGGTCGCTGGCTTCTCGCCAAGCGCTGTGCTGTCGGACCCCGGCGCCATCGACTACTTGCTATCGTTGGCCAGCGCATCCTCTACGTACCCAAGTGAGATCCAAGCGCAAGCCGCGCAGCTCCTTCGACTCTCTCTAATGCAGTTTGGCGAGTCCCGACACTGCAACGGTCTTGTCGCGATGCTTTGCAACACGACGCCAACAGTCCGCGACGTCGCTACGGACGTGATTGCATTGCTGCTGGAGCGCGACGAGAGCCCGGGCATGAAGGAGTTGCTTGTGCACCGACTGATGCAAGAAGACATCCTGGCGATTTGCATCGATATGCTGTATGCCCCGAGCCAACGACGCCACATGCTCAGCGTCCTCAACGTGGTGCTTCAGGAAGGAGACGCACGGGACAGAGTCGTGGATCGGTTTCAGTGCGTCTCGCTCTTCGTCTCGCTGCTCGTCGACGCGTCGTTGGATGTCGACGGACAGCGACTTGCCGCCAAAGCGCTCGCCAAGCTCGCGCTCTCCACGTACCAGCATATCAATATTGCGAAAGTCTCATGATGACATAGACCCGATCGACGGCAGGTTGTGCGGGATGCGATGGAGTACGTCGTGACGCCGACGAGCTCTCTCTACGACGACGCAGTCATACGATTGTACTTGGACATGATTCTAGTGCCCGAGACGACGAGTCACAGCACATTCCAACGCTATCAACACGAAGCATAGCATTGGATTGGCTTAAAGCTCAGTGCGATGCACCTTGTGCTGCAAGTGCTGTGGTCCGAGGTCGTCCTACGTGAAGATAGTGTAGCAAAGTGTCGTTCGCAGTCTATCTCTGACGCATCCACCACCAGTATCTCTCGTTCAGATCTTATATGCTGGGGCAATGGTGACTTGGCAAAGGCACCTGTGAGTGTCAGGGCTGCTTCTCAATAGGCCACGAAACGTCAAACTTGAGAAACGGATTCTATAAATTTGCCGTGATAAGCAGGGGTTTCCACTTTGAGATTTGAGCCATGGGCAGCAAGACGAGCAAGCCCATCACCGAGCCAACGGTAGGCGCATGGACGCCACCGATCACACGCCTATGGTTATATGAACTAGGCGCCAGCCAAAGGCGGCCAAGACGGGACGGAGGGCAGTCCGTTCAAGAAGTCGAGCCGCAAGTGCACGGACGTGCTCTGCCTCCTCTTCTTTGCGCTCTTCTGGATTGGCATGGCCGTCATCTCGATCATTAGCTACACCAAGGGCCAGCCGCAGCGGTACACGCCGTCCGGCAAACCTATGTTTGCTCACGCGCTGGGTAGGCTCGCGTACGGCATGGATTTCAAAGGCCGTATCTGCGGCACGCAGTCGACGTCGGCGGCCAACGGCGTGCCGGCGTACGACCTGACCAACTACTCGTACCTCGCGTACCCGCGTCTCGCGCAGGACCTCTACGACATGCAGCTCGATGGCAAGTTTGATCCGACGGACCCCGCCAACCTGAAAAACTGTACGGCGTCTGCGTCTCGGCGTGCCCGAGCAGCTTGGACGCGGATGGCCACCCGCTCTACGTGCACGCGCTCACGTCGTACGGCAACCACGATGTCGTGAGCACGAGCAATGCTTCGTACGGCGCGTCGTTGGAAGACACGGCCGCGGGCTCGCCCTTCAAGATCTACGTCAACACGACCAGCGGTACGACCGATGCATAGGATGGATCTCACGTCCTTTGAGTTTAGTCATGTACCGGTGCTTGGAGCTCCCCGAGCAAGAGCAGATCCACTACGTGCGCTGTGTCGACGACTGTCCGTCGTCCAACCCCAACACGAGCATTTGCGGATCGAACGCGACGTATTACGACTGCGGCAGCATGGGCTGCTCCAACTACCAGCGCAAGCATCTTGCGTCGTGCAAGAATGTTCAGCTCGTACGTTTACTATCAATGTATCAAGTGGGCACCCATGGATGGATAACAAATCTCGTAGAAAACCGAGACGACGACGACGCAGCCAGCGAATAACTCGCCCATCTTTGATGCGATGAACTCGGGCTGGTTTATGATCATGGGCTGGTTCTCGGACCTCCAGAAGGCCGCGGTCCCGGTCTTGATTTGCGGCGCCCTGGTACATCCTTCTCTCGAGCAGCAGGCGACTCATATCACTGATTTAGTTTGCGCTCATCCTGGGCTTTCTTTGGCTCGTCTTGATGCGCTTCTGTGCCGGGTTTTTTGTCTGGCTAACGATTCTTTTGGTCATTGCGATGCTGCTCATCACGACGTTCTTCCTTGCGTACCGCGGCGAGCTCCTCAGTACATCCGACTCTAACACTGAACTCGCCTCTCCAATGCTATGCTAGACAACTCGAATATCTCGAGCACGCTCCTCAAGTCGGGTCTCTCGGCGGCCCAAGTCGCTTCGATCACGGCCGACGTCTCGGCGGCGTCGGCGCAAATCACCTTTGTCAACACACAGACACGCTACTGGACGTACGCCGCGTACATCTTTATCGCAGTCGACGTCGTCGTCGTCCTCCTCATCATCTTCATGTGCGGACGCATCCACATTGCAGTCGGCATCATCCGCGAAGCGTCCAAAGCCATCGGACGCCTCCCTTTTCTCGTGCTCTTTCCGATCGTTCCCGCCATTTTGATTACCGTCTTTGTCATTTACTGGATCATTACCGCAGCGTACCTTGCGACGTCCGGGTCTGTCTCGCTCGGCTCTGTCGTCGACACGGTCGGGAACGCGACGGGTCAGACGCGGCCGCAGTTTTCCATGGACCAAGACAACGTGCTCAACTACCTTCTCATCTACCACCTCTTCGGTGCGACTTGACATATTGATACATTCGAGTGATATTTTTTCTACATAGGGCTCCTCTGGTCGGTCCAATTCCTCTCGGACCTCGGGTACATGGCGATGGCGGGCGCCGTCTGCGAGTATTACTGGACGCTCGACAAATCGGTAGGAGCACGGGACAGCCCGCGTCATCATCCTCTTCTTTCTTGCAATAGACGATCGGCCGCATTCCGATCCTCGCGTCGTTCTACCGTGCGCTGCGCTACCACCTCGGATCGCTCGCGTTCGGGTCGCTCATCATCGCGATCATCCAATTCGCCCGCCTCGTGCTCGAGTACATTGACCAAAAGCTCAAGTCGGCCCAGCAAAACACGCTTGTCAAAGTCGCCATGCTCTGCTTCAAGTGCTGCCTCTGGTGCTTTGAAAAGTGCATCAAATTCCTCAACAAGTCCGCCTCGCACGTGTTGAGATTCCATGCTCATGATCCGCAATCTAGGAACGCGTACATCATCGTGGCCATGAAGGGCGACGGCTTTTGCTCGTCGATGAAGGAGTCGTTCTCGCTGCTTCTCGCCAACGCGGCGCGCGTCGCGACTGTGAGCGTCATCACGACCTTCCTCCTCTTCCTCGGCAAGATCTTTATCACGGCCTTCTCGTGCATGATGCTCTTCCTCTTCATTACGAACCCACCCAAGCAGCTCCCAGCCTTCTTCCTCGGCGATGTGGAAAACATCAACAGCCCCGTCTTCCCGCTGCTGGTGTGCGGCCTACTCGCATACGGTGTCGCGACCATGTTCCTCAACGTCTACGAGACTGCAATCGACACGATCCTCCTCTGCTTTTGCGAGGTGCGCAACACCAATAAGATCCTAGCGTCATGCGTGGTGTAGGACTGCAAGGTCAACAAGGCCACGGGTACCTACTACATGAGCGACGAGCTCCTTGCATACGTCGACGGCGCGGCCAAGAAGCATGCGTTCGCGCACTCCAAAAGGCGTCGCCCGAGGCCGACGCGTAGCTTGTATACCGATGTCATGCGTGTGCTTTTTGTATATCTACATTGAAATTGTATCAAGCAACGACTACTCGGTGGACTTGAAGAGGAGCAGGTAGTGCTGGTCCATCTTGAAGAAGAGGAGGAACTGCGTGTCGTACGCAATCGAGCAGCCGAAGCCTTTCCCGACGATGCAGTGCCACGTAGGTCCGTACTTTTGGTCAAAGTACTTTTTCATGTCTGTCGCAATGTCCTTCTCGATGACGTTGGTCACGAGGCTCTCGGCGAGGTGCGAGATGGCTTCGTCCTTCATCGCGGTCGTCATCTCGACCCGCATCTACGCCAGCGCTTCAGTGCATATCTCGTTGTATCTGTTCCATGTACCAGGGTGATCTTGGGGTCCCGGCGCTCCTTCACTGCCCCTTCAGGTGCAATATCCGTCGGTGGCGCCATGCTTGCTAACGCGTCTCTTGCTCAAATGCAAGGATTCTGCGATCTTTTGAAAATCCGCATAAGACCGTAGTAACCGGAACGGTATTTTAGAACGTTTTCTTTCGTAAATACGGTGCTAGAGACTCGGCGTCAACCAGCGCGGGGTTTCTTGTAGCCACGACGAGCTCCCAAGCATGCGCTCGTTGTCGACCTAAAAGGAATCCGGAATTACAGGTAAACATTTAGATGACGAATACCGGTCGTGAAGTCCGTCGCGAGCCAACCGCCTTGAACGTCGAGACGAGGCTCTCCATTTGATGCGGCTCGGCCGTCATTTTCTACCGTCCCACCAATCAGTTTTAACAGGTGTGAGGGTTTTAAGTACGTACATGGAGCAACAGTTTGCGTTCGCAGTTGCGCTCGTAGACTTCGTCAATGTCGAAGCTGTCGTCGACCTGGTTGCCACCCAACAAGAGGTCGTAGCGACCTTCGCCCGTATCGAGCGGCACAGCAACCACAAATTGGTTGTCTTCGTCGATCGCATGATTTTGAAATCCAAGGTGGTGCTCCGAAGGTGGAAGCAATACAATCGGTTCGGGCGTCGACAAGTGGACGGACATCGTCACCGGCGCGGCCCGAATGACTGGCGTCGTTGTGAGCACAGATGGCGCTTCTGGAATGTTGTTGGCATCCACACTTCCGTCAAGGTAGATCATTTGGCTCTCGCACTCGATGATAGCCGGTAGCTCCGTCTCGACAAATGCCGACTGCGCGTCAAGTTCATTGCATTCGACCGCCGACGACAGCGCGGGGAGCTCGTCGTCTTCGACCTCCTCGGTGTCGTGCGGCTCTTCTTCCAGAGAGGCCCGCGGTGTCGGCACCATCACCTGTGGCGCAGGTGTTCTTCGTGCAGGCACTATGGGTGCTGGTGCATTCTGGCGCGACTTCCTTGGTGAGAGACCGCTGCTTGTGGCGTTTAGGTTGTACTGTGCGGCACCCGGAAACGGCTTGCCCATCGGTGAACGGGGCGGCGAACTTGGCGGTGCATGAATCGGCACCGACCGACGCGGCGACATCTCCCGGGACGCCACTACTGGCGCCCGGCGCAGCGCAGTCGTCGACGGCTGGCGCGTCATCTCGGTGTGTGAATGCATGTGGTAGGCACCTCCGTTGCCTGGAAATGCTTTTTCCTTGGGACTGGGTGCCACCATGGATCGTCCCGGGCTCGGCGGCAGTGACACTCGCGATTCAGCCACGGTAGGCTCATGAGGAAACGATACCGTGAGAGGTTTACGCCGGGGACTGGCTTCGTGCACCGGTGCACGCAGCACGCTGTGCTCTTGTCGAAGCCGGCTGAGTTCTTGCTGGTGCAGCATGTCGCGTCGGTCGAGTTCGGCTTGCATTTCCATGCGGAGGCGCTCCAGGTCATTTACCGTCGGCACTGGCGCGGGCAGCTGCGGCGCTTTCTGGTACACGAGCTGCTCCACGAGTGCGCGTTGCCGGCTGAGCTCCAGCGTCAAGTAGTGTAAGCGCTCGTCCATGAGGCTTGGCATCGACGGCGAGGGCTGTAAAAAGGCGGCGGGGTGGGGGTGCTCGAACACGCCAGGATGCGACGCGTGCGGAGGTCCCCACGACGGTGCATGGTCCGAGTACGGCTGCTGCTGCGAGTGCCACGCCATAGGTTGATGTTGTTGCTGCTGCGGCTGCCACGGAGGGGGTCCTCCATGTTGCCCGAATGACGAGGGTCCGCGCTGGTCCATGGGTTGTGGTGGCTGCCAGTGGTTCTCTTGCGGCGAAAACGGGCGTTCAAACGGTGGTTCTTGATGCGATGGTGGCGGCGGCGCTTCACGTTGCGTTTGTTCGTGTGCGACCGGTGGCTTGATAGCATCCTGGCGCGCCTTGAGGTCTTGCTCGAGGACTTGCTGTTTATGCCGCTGGTCTTTCGCCTTGGCTTGTTTCTCGAGCTCGTACTGCTCAGCCTGGCGCTGGAGCTCTTTTTCGATGCGCTGGAGCTCGGCCCGGTCCTCTTCGTCTTTCTTGCGCTTCTCTTCGGCCTTGCGTCGCTTGTTGTCTTCCATCTGCTGCTGCAACAAGGCTTGTGCCTGCGCTTGCTGCGCCTTCTTCGCGTCCATGTTGGGGTTCGTTTGAAGCATGTGACGCCGGCCGTGTGACGTGCCTGGCGGCGCCGCAACGTGCGACGGTGGCGGCGGGCTCGAGCTCTGCGGCTGCATCGGCGGCGGGTGCGGCAATGGCATGGATCCGTGTTCATAGTCGCCGCCATGTCGAGGCGATATCATATGCTGGTAGTGCGATTCCTGCTCGTACACGTGACGGTCTCCGCGGTAGTCGTGCGGCTCGTGCGGCGGGTCGGGAGGCACGTGGGGGTGGGCCATCGTCGGGGGGTAGTGATGCATGTACTGCGGTGGCTGGCTGTGGGGATGCCCTGGAAAGGCCTGAAAGTGATGTTGTTGTTGTTGTTGTTGGTATGGCTGTCCTTGTGGCGGACCCTGGGGATGCTGGTCTTGGAAAGGGGCGTGAAATGCTGGCTCGTGCGGTGGCGAAGCGTAGAACCCTCCAGGCACATGTCCCTGCGCCGGTGGCATGTCGTTCGGCGCTTCACTTGGCGGCGGTGCCTTGGTTGCCGCCACCATCTTTTCGACGTGGTGGCCGCGTGCGTGGTTTTTGCCGTACGCGTGGTTGTTGCCGAAACCTGCAAAGAGGCCGCCGTTGGTCGCTTCCGGTGGCTCGCGGCCGTACCGCAGCGCGTCTCGCTCCGCCTTCTTTTGGCTTCCTGCGCCCGCACTTGCTCGGCGAGCGCCTGCGAGTACTCGTTCTGGCGCTTTCGCTGGGCGTCGCGCAAGCTCTCTTGTCGGTGGCCGCCCCAAACATGGATGGCAAGTGAACTAAAGATAGCCACGCTGGAATTTAGGTGTCTTGCATATTCAATGGGAATTGAACCAACTCTGCTGCTTGTACCGTATATCATCCACCACCAATGCATCGTGAGTATGGCTCCATTCGTCGTCGTGCCACGAAGAGATGGCGGCTCCTCGATCGTAGTTGTCATTGTACAAAGCCCTCGGTCACCTCGGTTGTCGCGGCAATGCATCGAAGGCTGCTGGATGCTTGAAGCAACAAGCGGATTTCAGCAAGCAAGCAATTCAGCCGCCGACAGGCAGGCGCAAACTTGCATTCGAAGGCATCGGAGCATTGGCAAACTTGGTTCGAAACTCTGTTTCGACAGATTCTGGATTTTGCTGCATGGTATCCGGATATCTTGGGATTTCTTGCGGTGGCGATGACCGACAAGATCGGCGGCGACTTTGCCTTTGACGCGACCGCCCACGGCGACGAGCTCCGGGTGACGCAGGACGAGGCAGGCTCGACCGTCACATGCGTAGCCGCCAGCGACGGCCGCTGCCACATGGCGGTCGCGGCAACGCCGTTCGGATCGGCGTGGACCGTCCATTTCGAGATCGTTGCGAGCCACGAGGTTGGCGTCATGGACTCCTTTGCCGCAAACTCATCTTCACGATCGATCATCCTGTAGGGTATTGCCATTGGAGTTGTCAATGGCCAAATTCGCAATGGCGTTGGGCTCGGCAAGATCCGCGACTGCGATGGCCATGGCTGGGGCTTGGCCTCGAACGGCGATTTGTGGCATGCCGGCGACGCTGTCTTAACACACATGGCCTTCGAGGCCCACGATATCGTAAGTGTTGCACTTGACCTCGATAGCTGCGGGCCGGCCGGGCCAGGCACGCTCGTCTTCTACCGCCATCGGCACTACTCGGATTCGATCGTCCTCCAAGCGTTCTCCGGGGTCCGCGCGTAAGCTCGTTTGTCGAGCCATGGCGCTCACGACTAGCTTTGCATGTAGCTACTACGAGAAAGCGTTTGAAGCGCTCTACCCTGCGGTGCATCTGCAGCATGCTGGCGAAGCGGTGCGCTTAATCGCTGGCGCCGATATCTTTCTGCCACCCGTGCATGAGCTCCACGGTGCACCAGACGCACGCATCACGATGCCCAGTGTCGTGACGCGAGCGTCCTTGCCGCATCTTTGGAATGCATCCCGCGCCGTGGATCAGCACGATGCGCTCGTTGCGCTGCTACCGGCACTGCTCGAGCTGCTGCCGACCGTGGACGACGATGCGTTCGACCATGTGCTCGCCGTGCTCTGCAACCTCCTCCACCGCACGTCCACCCCGCCCATGATCCCGCCCTCCAGCATCGCCGTTCTCTACGACCGCATTCCCCAGCGAACTGCGTCGACGACCTTGCCGTGGGTGCTCTTGGCGCTCGAACCTCAGTCTCCGCCGACGATCGACGTCGTGCCGAGTCTATGTACCACCTTGGCTTCGACGTTGCAACCGTACGCGCAGCAAGCCTACGTCGCGCTGCTCCTTCGCCTTTCGTTACGACTCTCGATCGACGACGCGCTGTTGCCGCTCGAGCTGCACCTACCGGTCTACCCGCATCTGCACGTCGCATGGGTTTGGCTTCTGCACCGCGTCGCGCCTGCGTTTGTCGGACCTCCAGACACGCCCCTCGTACTCGCCTTCCGCCGCTTCGACCCAAACTGGCTGCAAGCGGCGCTGCTCGCTGAGACGGCGCGGCTGCCGCATGTCGCGGTGCCGACCGCCTTGGCGGCCATTCAGCGCCAGGCGTGCGACGATCTGCAGCGCATCGGACTATGCGATAACGCGCCCTCCGTGCCGCCCGCCCGTCCTCGCCAACCCGCCAAAGACACGTGGCAAGAATGCGTCGAGCTCGTCTACTGCCGAGACGCCCGCGGCCTCGTCGCCGCGTATGCACGAGCGACCGCCGAGCTGCGCGGTGCGCTCTTGTTGCAGCGACGACTCCTCGATGAAGTCGCCAGCAGGCGGCGGCAGTGGGTTCTGCCCAACGACGAGACGCCGGTCGTGTATGCCGAAGCTCCGATCGTGGCCAGTCTCTTGCACGCGGCACCGCGACTGCTCGTGCCGATTCTGGAGCACGCTGGGTACCTCGGCACCGCGCCGGATCGCCCGAAAGCGCATGTGCATAGCATGGCGCATCTGCTCGTTTGCTCGCTCCTGCGCCAGAATGCGCTTCCAGAGGCCGTCGCGGACCTTATCACGCGCAGCGGCAGCGACTCGGTCTTGAGCCGCGCGCTCGTCGACGCCTTCCTCGCAACGGTCGACATGACCTTTTGGCGCCACGAGCTTCGACCAATTATCAACTGGTTCCTCACGACAGCACATGCGGGCGACGACGATGACGACGTCTTGCTCGAGTACGTTGCGTGCAGCCTGGCGCTGCGCATGGCGAAGGCACTGGAGCAAGGCACCTGTCCATCGGATGTGCGCACGCTCCTCGTAGCACTCTCGACATCCGACGCGGTCGTGGATGTCGTTCTTCTCTGGGTGCAGCTGTGGATCGACGCTCCCGAATGGTGCTTTCGCCCGACAGAGTACACGCCAGAGCAAACCGCGCGGGCCCAGGTACGTCATGTAGTTAGGAGTGCTTAGTAACCTATCATGCGTAGTCGCTTCTCGCCCACGTCGTGGCGTCGGGGCATCTTCGCTCGGCGTTATTGGACGCCGATCTTCCGTCGCATCTTGCGGCTACCCAGTGCGAAGATGAAAGTGTCGACGACCAAAGTACAGCGGCGCCGCTGACATTTTGTGCCTTGTACGGTGTCGAGATTGTTCAGCTCCTTAATGCGGCCACGAGTGCCCTGGCGGCATGGACGCCAACGACGCCAGACGACGCAGCGCTGCGCTTGGAGCTCCAGCACTGCTTGCAGTCGCCGACCGACGATGGCCCGAGCATCGACGTTGTCGTGAGCGCCAACCCACTCATGATGACCTTGATTGCATCACAGTCGCTGCCGCTCACGATGCCGCGCTTCTCACTGCCGATCGAAGACATGCTTACCAAGGTACTGACGCTGCTCCAATCGCCCGCTTGGACGTCGCTCGTCACTGCCACCATCAGCACGCTACCATCGTCTTCGCCAGCGTCGCTGCTCTGGGAGAAGTTGCTCGCTGTCTGTCCCGACGGAACGCTGCGCGGTCGCCTTTGCGACTTGATCGACACGAGCCGGCTTGCCGACACGAGCATCGACGCGTTGGTGCGTGGGTTGCACGAGGTGGCGACGTTCCAGGCGTCGCAGCAGACCTATATGGCGTCGGCGACCGTGACGGCGTCGGTTCTCACGGCGCAGCTACGACCGGCGAATGAAATGCTTTCGGCGCGGCTCTGGGAAAGCCGATTTTACCGCTTTTTGCGCCTTCCGATGATCGCGGCCATTGCGCGCGAGGCGCGGGCGACGCTCAAAGCCACGGAGCTCGCCGTGTGTCACTGCCGCGTCGGTCTCAACACGCTCTCGCAGTGCCACGTACGTGGTGCACTACTCCATTACTGCCAACGCCTCACATGGCAATCTAGGGCTGCGAGATCAAGTGGAGCTCGTTCGAGACGAGCGTGGCCGGCAGCTGGCTCCACGTCCAGCTCCAGCTGTCGCATGACTTGAACGCAGCGTTTCGAGTGCTGCTGACGTCGCACCAAAACCGCGTCAAGTACTTTGCCTCAGATCGAGCTGCTTCCTGGAAAGCGTCGACAACGAACCGGGCAACGTCGGCATTTTCGCTGGTTCAGATGGCGCCTCGCCACTTGCCACCGTTGGCCGCCGCCGGGTGGCACGACCACGTCCTCCTTGACCGACTGCACGCAGCAGAGTCTCCGACGTGGCGCGACTGGCTCTTCCTATCGGCACTTCTCCCATCGCGACCGCTCTTGTGTCCAAGCGTCGTCCAGGATGCTGCGCTCTACGACCAACTCGTCTTGCTCGAACGACTCTTGCCGAGTGACGTGGGCTTGGCCGACGACGCAGTGGCCGTGCGCTACTGGACGCTGCAGGTGCAGCGCGCGACGGTGCCAACGCTGCTGCCCGATACGGCGCGACGGCGTCTGCGGGCCCTCGTCCGGCACGTGCCGCCGCATCTATTGGCGTTTTGCGTGGCCAAGGCGCGGCCCCGAAGTCTCTTTTCGGTCGTCCGCAACTGCTACGTTTGGGCGACGCTGCACGCGCCGAGTGTGTCGTTTGCAGCCTTCGTCGCCACCGAGGGATGGCACCCCTTGCTGCTCGCGGGGCTGCGAACGTTTAGCGAAAAGGGCGGCGAGTGGGCCGTCCGGATGCACGAGCGGCTTCAGCGCCATGTTGTGGCTCGATCGCTCCTCGACGAGACCTTGCGTGTCTGCCCCCTGCAGCGGCTCTGCGCCGTACTCGACATTAGCGCGGCGTTCGAGGACCGCGTCGTGCTTGCTGGTACGACTCTGTCTCTGGGACTCGTGATATCTTGACGAGTGATGTGTACGTAGACCAAGGACACGTGGCTGTTGCGAGTGTGCTACTGGACGCACCCGTGCCGTGGCTCGAGCTCGTGCTGCACTGCGAAGGCGACCCGATGCTCGTGCAGCACCTCCTGGACGGCGACGTTGCCGCGCTGCGCAGCATGGAGCTCCGCCAGCTCTTGCGCGTGGTGCCGGCGACAGGCGGGCGCTTCCTCTGGTCGTTGGTCAAGCCTCTTGTCACGGAGCTTGTCCAGCGCGAGAGCCGCGTCGAGCCTGGCATGCGATGCGTGCTGCGTCATCTGCAGTGTATCGAGCGCCTTGGGTACGCCTCTGGCTTTGACGTATCGCCGTCCGACGGCGAAAGCCTCTCAACCGCGCTTCAGCGTCTCCAAACCAAGCACGACGACGTCGAATGAGATCCCCGCACGACCGATGAAGGGTTAGGGATGCATACGAAAGTTAATATCCAAGTCGCCAAGCGAGTTTGGATACTACTACCTCCAAGGATATTGATTTGATGCAAGGAGGACCGTGTTGCGCTTTAGCAACGATTCTTCTTAGGCCATCGTGGCCTTGGACGGTCGCACAACGCCTTTTTGCTTGCAGTCGTCGTACAAGTCAAAGTGCCCGGTGGCGAGCGACGGCAACTGGCCAAATTTCAGAATGTTGTGCGCGGTCACGACGCCCGACATGAGCGCGCCCATGATACCGATCGCGACAATGTCTTGGCCCGTCTGGTAAAATCCTACGCCCGATTTTCAACATCCATATCTCCACCGCCAAACCTACCTCGAATCGGCGTCGATGGTCGAAGCACGTCAAAGGCCGCGGGCGTAAAGCGCCACTTGCCCATTTCGAGGCCAAAGACCTCGCCCTTGTCCGCGTTCAAGTACGTGTTGTAGCTCAGCGGCGTGCCCACATCCATGCCCTTGACCTTGCCTTGCAGCTGCGGGTAGTACGTGTACAGCTCCTTCTCGAGCTTGGATTTCCACTGCGCCTTGATCGCTTGGTACGCAGCGTCCTTGTCCCGGTCGGCGCTCTTCATGTGCGCCCACGGCGCAAAGTCTTCAAAGTTGACCATCGCCAGTACGAGCGCATTGCTCTTCCCGGGATACCGCGTGTGCCACGTCGACTCTTTTGCGCACGGAAACGCGATGAACGTCACGGGCCGCGACGTGCTGTCGTGGAGGCCCTTCTGCAGCACCTCCTGGAACCGCTCCGTGTACGTCGTCGTCGCCGTCACGTCGGGCCACGACCAGACGTTGTAGGCTGGCAGCGCCAGCTCGCTCACGGTGCCCTCGAGCGAGACGAAGAGAAAGCACATGGTCACGGACCGCTGCGCGTTGGCGACGACCTCAAACTGCCGCCAGTTTGGTGGCAGCGTCGCAAGTGTCGACGAGTCGAGGAGCTTGTCGCGCGTGTTGAAGAACCCAATGTTTGAGACCACGACGGGCGCGTGGAAGGTGTCGCCGTTGTCGAGCTGGACGCCGACGGCCTTGCCGCCTTTGACAAGGACTTGGGCGACCGAGGCCTTGACGAGGACGCGGCCGCCGCTGTGCTCGATGGAGCGCACGAGGCCTTCGGCAATCTTGGCCGACCCGCCGCGCGGGAAAACGGCACCATTCATGTAGTGCATGACGATCTGGCTGTGCATGTAGAAGGGTGCCGAGTCGGGGAGCACGCCATGGTCGCCCCTAAGAACGTAGTGAGAAGACAGAGAGATTTGTGTAGGGTGTACCACTGCCCGCACAGAACGCGCTGGAGGAGCTTGTTGGAGATGATACTGTCGATGACGTCGGTCGTGTTGCGGCGCATAAAGCCGTGGCGGTCGCCAAAGAAGAGCGCAATCCGAATCAAGAGCGACCCAAGCCACTGCGGCTCGACGACCTTGAGCGTGTAGAACCTAATATGATATCCATCAAACGGCAAGCTCAAAGTGAACTGTTGGCGTACCACTGGGAGAGCTTGGTCGCTCGCTCGCAGAGGTCGACGTACGCCTCGAGTTGCTCCTTGAGGTTGGGCTCGTCCGGGAACTTGCGCAAAAGCTCGGCAATGAACCGGTCGCGGCCCGCGGGAAAGGCGACTTGGAAGCTACCGCCCTCGCCGACGGCCACCTTGTCGTACGCAAACCCGTCTTCATGCGCCCCGATCGGGTCCCATTGCAGCACATCATCACCGATGCCCATGAGCTCCATGTACTCGCGGCACTGCGGGTCGATCGAACCAATGTAGTGCGTGCCCGTGTCGAACTCGACGCCCATGTCCTGCATCATTCCGTTTCTTAGTGCACATCATATTGTCGAAGATATATACCTCGAACGTGTGCGTGGCGCCGCCAGCGCGGTCGTGCTGCTCCAAGACCAGCACGCGCCAGCCCATGCGCGCCAGGATAGCAGCGACGCCGAGACCACCAATGCCGCTGCCCACGACGATCGCATCCAACGTCGACGGCACTTTGGACTTGAGGTATCGATCTTGAATGACAGGCATGCGCGTGGGCCGCGGCGTCGTCGTCGCTTTGGTGTCTTCAAACGCGGCAAAGCCATCGCGGTACCGGTACGCGCGCAGGGCGCGTCGCTTCGTCGAGAGGTACCACATGGCCGTCACGAGGAGCGTGGTGAGGCCCGCCATGAGCAGCGTATGACCATGAACGTTGCCCATGCTACGCGCAGTGCATAAGCCACCATCCTCTACTTGCGTGCGTCGAGCACTAAGATCGTAGACGGACGGACCTTGTGTGTCGAAGGAAATCGCGGAATGAGAGTCAAAATTCGATCCATGGGCGCCCCTTGGCAGAGCCCACTTGGGATTTGTATGCCTCCCTTTTTGTCATATTTCGCCTGCTTCGAAATCTGTAGGTTTTATATTACATACAAATATGTAGTGTGACAAGAAGTTTTAAAGATGGGGGTGTGACAGGGGCGTTTCAGACCCCAAACGCACCTCTGGAGCTACGCCGTGTCACCCAATCAGAGGCAAGCCATCTGCAAGGTAGCATATGATTGGTGGAAATCCAGGCACGATCTTTGAGCTCACGTGGCACCTGATATCACGCCGACGGCGACCGACGATATGCTAACGACTGGACACTACGCGCTACGTCGGCACAGTGCATTGTTCCGTGGGTCACCGCTTTTTGTTTAGTCGGTCTACAGGAAAATAGACAATGTGTCATTTTAATTGCTGCGGGCCGCTTGGCGCCGGTTGGTTTGGTGGACCAGTTTCATGACACTGGCTTCCATTTGCTCTTGCTCCGCCTTGGTTCGACATGCGACCCAGAGCATTTTCTTTGACGTCGTAATCTGGATAGCATACGGCGCCGTGGGCTCCAACGCGGTAGAAACGACATCCTCCACGTCGCTTAGCTGCAGCGCGCTGTGACTTAGATACGCGGACGTCGACGGCCGCGCCGGCGTCGGTCGCCACCACGTCGGTGCGCGCCACGCGAGCGCCGAGCCACTCTTGTTGAGAAAGACCCACTGTGTCTAATCCGACAAGATGAGATCGGATGTACCCACGTCGTATACGTAATCCTAATGTATACCTTCCACGAGAAACCTTGGGCTTCAACGTTCGCACCTCGGTTTGAAGCTTAAAGACGCGCCCATCTTCAATGAGGTCGCGCACGAAAGTGATGTGCGCATCGAGCGCTCGTTCCGTCGGCGACAAGAGCGCCCGTGAAATATCGTTGGCGAGCGCCTCGAAGCGCCGCACCCGATGTGAATGTTGGGGATCCTACGATTGCCATGCAGCGCCAGTGCGCCAGAGGTGGACGCACGCTGCGGTTGACGGCGCGACGTGGCTTGAAAGCGAGGTTGGCGAGCCCTTTTGCTATGTTGGCGAGCCGCTTGTTGCTGGAGAAACTAATCCCTTCCATGGGCTCGATGGGCTCTTCGTCGTGCCACAACTCGGCGCGACGGCAACGGTGCGCCGCCATTCAATGGCCTCGAAATACGTTTCGGAAGATTCAGTCGCAACATGCAATCTTCAAAGGCACAAGCCGAGCGATTCGAGTCATGGGCAAGCTCATAGGGCAAACTCATGGGGTGGTGTATTGGTGATACACAGCAGCTCAGCAGTAGAAGAACGCGCACGTGAGGGGATGCGTGAGGGGTGCGAGGTGACGTCAGAACCACCTGGCGAGGTGGTCGGAGCTGGTTACGTCACAAGGACCAGGTTCAAGCTTTTTACATTATTCGTGGCACATGCCACATTTAGGCATGCGCAAAAGCTCTTCCGTGTGCGTTGGTGTCCATGAAGGACACATTGTTGATTGTTTCAAAGTTGGCGCTGCACCACTTCAGTGCATGAATAATGCGCCTCGACACGCGCGTTGATAAAGGTGAAGCGCACGAGGCTGAGCTTGGAGCTTGACTGAGCGCGTTGAACGACGTGCGCAACGACGTGATGCCCATGAACGTTATCGTCATGGCGCTTTGAGCTCAAATCGTGACGTTCTAAGTTGAGATACGTACAGAGGCAACGCCGTCCCGGTCGTAATGCTTGGCCGACTTGTGGTCTTTGCCTGCGAGTGCGTTGCGTTTGGCGGACGTGCGTCGCCCTTCTTGCAAACAGAGGCCGTGCTTCGCACCACGGACTCGTGCATTACGTTGAAAGAGGCCATTTACAATAACGAAAGTCCATAGACTGCTAAAGGCCTGACCACAAGATCCTGTGCAGTCCCGTCCTAGAACCACTCTATGCAGCGACTGCTGCCACACCCATCGAGTGAGATATGGCCGACTCGTGTTCCACTTGGACTTCATTTATTCTCTCTTGTGCTTGTTGTCTTCGGTATTGTGTCCACCGTCATCGCTCTCTATGTTGTTGTTCTCGGCGCGGTTCTTGGCGTGCTGCACGAGCTTCATCAAGCTAGCGAGCATGCGTGCTTGCTCTTCTTTGGACGTGCAGACAAATGTGAGCTTGACATGCTCGTCATCTTCGAGGAGGAGACACGGAGACGCCTCTCCATTACCGCTCGGAAGCGTCTTTGGCAGCAGCGTGATGACGCGCGTGAGATGCATGTGGCGTGGGTCGTGCTCAAAATCATTTTCCAATGGGCGGGCCGGGGGTGCGCCCCAGAGCCACGTCGCGGGCCGCCACGCCAAGATCGAGTACGTCACGTCCATGAAGACCCAGAGCTTCTACGTACAAATCTGGTTGGAATCCACTCGACTCGTGCGATCACCAGGAGCACCTCCAAGCCAACGCGCGCAGTCCACACCCGGGTCGACTACACACCCGTCACGATGTAGCAGAAAACAATCAAGGACATCAACTACCTCGGTGAGGACCTCGACTGCGACGCCAGAGCCTGTGAGGTCCGAGACAAAGTCAATGTGGTTCTGACGCGTCTTCTCGGCGGCCGTGAGTGTGGCACCCGAGAGGTCAGCTTGAAGCTTTTTCTGCTGCGCGGCCGACACCAAGATGCGATTGTGTCGGCACAAGCGAAGGATCTATCTACGGTCATGACGAGGCACTCATCGATGTAGACAATCAACCTCGGCCTTGGTTAGTTCGCGCGACGGCTCCTCCTCTTGGTTCGTCGCCATGACTCTTCGGCGTGAGCGTTACGTGGCCTCTTCTTTCTTGGAACGATAGCGCGATGCCGCCGCCCCATGTACATCGAGCGCATGTGTGCTCTTCTTGACCTCTCTCTAGTGCCCCATGTGCGTTTACCACAAGCGCCAAGCCGACGAGGCCATGGCGGACTATGTGGCGCTGAAAGCGCACTCGGAATCGCAATTGGCGCAGCTCCATGATTTGCAGAGGACGCTCGAGGCAGAGATGCACGCCATGCACGCAACGATTGAAACGCTGGGCGCGACGAATCTCTCGCTCATTGAGCGGCTCGCGGTGCGCTCGGACGACCTAGTACAACCCAAGACCCGAGTTCATGTGACCATCCCGTGAGAATCGCTTTGATTTTGCAACAGGGCTGTCATCTACGGCTAGAAGAAGTGCTTCTCCACCGCGCCCGCCGAACGCACAGATTGCACTCTTGCGTGCCCAGGCACAACACGCTCTATCTATATTGCACGAACATCATCCAAGTCGCGTAGGTCGCGCAATACAAAGCCGAGGTGCACCGTCTGGGGGTCCTTTGGACCAAGGCGACGATGCAGACGGACAAGCTAGCCAAGCAACTCCTGCTGCTACAACGGTCGAATGACGCTGCGCAGAAGCGACTGCTCTCGGTACGAGCTTTTTTGCTTGCGTTTGGTTTGGTCATGCGGCGAGCAGGACCAGAAAGGACTGATGGTGCGGCTCGACGCGACAACCAACGAGCTCCACTCGACACGCGAAAAGGTTACCTCGCTTCAAGCACATGTCCACGCGCTCGAGCGCACGCTCGTCCAGATATCCCCACAACGCGAGTTGTAATGTCTATTGTACACTGCACACTTCGCTCTTGGTTTGGTTGGATTTGGCCGTCGCATGCAATCGCGCTTCGTGGCCAGTGAACGCAACGTCAAAGACAGCCGAGACGGGGCGGTGGTCGGACGTCTTGATCTCCATGTGGCTCTCATACGACCGTAGTTGGATCGTATGCTAACATTGCATTCTGGAAATGCCTGAGAAAGATGAGGTACCGGCTGCAGCGTCGCGTAGAGAATCCGATCGGTCCACGATGGTATTCGCTGCTTGGCCGAGGTATCGTAGACGTCGGAGCCTAAGTCCGTCCTCTGCGTCGCCCACAAATGAAGGATTTCGTCGCACCCTTGTCAAACTTGTATGTCGGGCGAAAATGCAGCGGACCTTCGTGAAAGCGCTAGTACAGTCCATTTGGTCACCAGCGTGGTTCTCACCCACTACGTACTTGGAAGACGCGCTGAGCGTCGCGCTCTTTTGTGAGCTGGTCATTGGCAAGTAGCACCTACCCCTCGTGTGAGAAAGCGGAAATAGGGATGAAACTCATCACGTTGTGCATGTCACGCGCGAGGAGCGTGTCAATCATGCGCCGCGTCCCGTCGATGCGGTAGTTGAGGTCGCCGCTCCAAAAGACGCGGTCAAAAACGTCCGAGATCGGACCGACGTGGTCGTCGCCCTTTCTATCGACAATATTGTCGTTGGTCTACGACGGACTAGGGTCGTATCGTACGCAACAGGGAGCAGTCGGAGCTCGGCGTTGATTTTTCAAAGTTGGCGTTGCGCCGCTTCAGAGCGTGCTGCGACTGGTGCGCCTCGAAGTGCGCGTTGATAAAGGCAAAGCGCGTGAGGCCGAGTTGGAAGCCAATGCCGACGCCGCCTCCATATGTGTCTCGTTGATCTCGACATTATAGACCAAAGGGATATACCTTTGTTGCCGAGCTGGTTGCCGATCCCAGTCGCGATCGCGTCCGACTCGAGGCCCGTGACCAGCGGGAGGACGCTCGTGTGCACGAATACCATGTTGTGCATCGCCGTGAGCGCGTGGCTGCGCAATTTGATGTAACTTGTTGGCCCGAGCGTTGCGCGAATTTTGTCTTCCCACTCCTTTTTCGATTGGAAGAGCACCGATTTGGCGATGCTACAAAGATGTGAGGCACCGGCACGGCGCCTTCTTGGACGTACGTCTGGACGCACTCTTCCGTGCCGATCGCGTAAATATGACACGTCCCGGGGCGCAAAAGGGGCGCAAGGTCGGCTGGAGGCTTGTGCGCTTGAAGATTCCACGTCAGCACAAGGACGCGGACGCTGCCCGCCGTAAGCACCGACTCGGTCGTGTCATGCGAGACGTCTACCACAAAACTCGCTGGAATCTCCGGCTCATGCGATCGATAAGCTCGCACCGAGAGGCGCCTCGAGGGTCAGCGGGCTCGGCCACGGAGCTGGCGGGTCCTCTTCCGTAGCCTTGGCCTCGCTCAGTCTCTCCGTCTCGGGAGTGGATTCTGCAGGCGGCGTGTCGCTCTCATCGTCGTCGTCGTTGTCGTCGTCGGAAGGCGGAGCGACGCCAACTTGGTTTTTCGCACCGCGTAGCCTCGAAAGTAGGCTTGCACACGTGTGGCCGCCGACTCTACCCGAGAGTTCATCGAGGGTGCGGGCCATGCGGGCGTACCGAGCTTTGGGCTCACAGCATCGCTGCGTACTGTGGCCACGGCAGAGCTCGGGGGTGTCCTACAAAACGAGGTGCCGCACGACGACGATATGTGCGTCGACATATACCTCTCGTCCCCTTCGGCTGTCTCTTGTCGTCTAGCAGCATTTCATCGTGAGGACCGACCACGATTGCATGCATACGGAGGAGGCGTCGTGTCGCGCGCACTCAGGGGACGGCTGCTGCTCGCGGGAGTTGGGGGTCGGCTCGATAGACTCACCGCGCTCGCACTGCGCCTCGGCGTCTTGCCTCGACTGCTCGTCAGCGGTCGATCGAAAGAGAGGTCCTTGGCACTCGCCGACGTTGGAAGCAGCTCCCTCGCACTGCGTGGCTGACTCCGGTGAAGGCCGTCTGCGCTATGGCCAAGTGCACTACGCAGCTCGCGTCACCCACCATGCGTCTCGGTGCGACTACCTCAATGCGAGCCGGGGCACGTCAACGGCGGGCGTTGCTACACAGTCAACTGGGTGCCCTCGCACCCATCGGTAGCAACCTACCGGGCTTTTCTTCGTGTGCGACCGGCAGCTCGGGCGCGATGCTCGACGAGATGTACACGCGGGTCTGGGCGCCTCGCACGAGCGACTGGATCTTGGTCGCTGCCGCCTGCTGCTTCTCGTGCTTGCGGCGGCGCGCTGCGTTTTTGCGCTCGTCCTTCTTCTTGCGCAGCGCGTCGTCCGTGCGCTTCTTTCGCCGGACCTATTGACTGCATGAGGCGAATGCACTCGCGCTGCACCAACCTCGGCCGTCGGCTCGTCCGTCGTGGGCGAGATCTTGCACGGGTTGGCCATCGTCCGCCGACGCTTCGCAAGATCGCACCTCCGGCGGCCGTTTTGCAATGGCACTCATGCTACTCCACCATGATGCAGGTCCTGGCATGCGCCCGCTATGTGCTCTGGAGATAAGAAGCCGCCGAGAACAAGGACGAAGACAGGGCAGTGTGTGTATGCGAACCCAACACGTTATCGAGTCTTATCTAATGCGACGTGCCCATCGTCCAGTGGTTGGGGCGGCGCCCGTCCTTGCGCTTGGAGCGGTCGCTGCGCTGGAGCACCTCGAGCTGCAACTTCCACTCCTGCGCCTCTTCGAGGTCGCCTTGCGCAAGGAACCGGAGGTCCTGGCGGTTCCGGCTGTCGGACGGCAGCACCTTGTCGTCCGGGAGCCACACGACCGGCGCGCACGCGTCCTTGTGCAGTGACCAGTACACCGCGTCGTCAAAACGGAGGTCTTCGAGCCACGACCCGCTCACGTCGCAAATCTCGTCGCCGAAGCGCGTGATCGTGCCCCGGAAGCGGTCCGTCGGGAGCTTATTGGACGCAAACATGCCCTTCTTCGAGTCCGGGTCGAGTTTCAAGTCGCAGCGGAGGCCGTTCACCTTGTCTTCAAAGACGATCGTGCCGACAAAGTCCACGACGCGGTCGCCCCAGAGAAACCCGCCCATTCGCACGCCAGGCAGCGAGCACTCGATGAGCGTGCCGTCGTTGAACGAAATGCGCACGGGCCCTTGCTGCACTTGGACGAGGCAGTTGCCTTGCATCGAGCCGTTCATGATCGACTGGGCGGAAATCGAGTACTTTTGGCCCACGACCTGGAGAAAGCTAATCGGGGGTGGTGGCTCGTGTGCTCGCCATAGACCTGCGCGCCGTCGGCAAGCTCGGCCTCAAACGTCTCGCCGAGAATCGGGTTGAACGGCTTCATACAGCCGACGCCGTGGTGCCAGCCAGCGATCGCAAAGGTCATTGTGAGCTTGAAGCGCTCGAGCATCTCGGTCGCGTCTGCGGCGCGGTTGAGGTAGTTGGGTGCGTACAAGTACAGGTCCACGAGGCGCTCCAGCATCGAGCGCGGCTCAAAGATGCGCACTGGCAAGGACAGACTCACGGCCGACTTGCCTTCGAGGAGCTTGGTGCCCATCGACTTGATGACTTCCATGAGCACACCGTTTTGCTTCTTGGCGACCTCCTTATCCGTCAACTTGACGCCACCCGTCGGGATCTGCAGCATGAGCTTAAAGTAGTCGCGCGGGTGAAAGACCGACGAGCCTGCGTCGGCCACGTGCGTCTCATGGGCCGGCGCCGTCATCGCGTCGCGCGTGTCATCGTCGTCGTCGTCATCGTCGATGTAGCCCAGATTCGGACCGTGGATCTTGGCTTGGTGCACAAACTCGGCGATCGCCGAGAGAATCGTCATGCGATCGTGGAGCACATTGTTCGTCGTGGCCGCGGGCACCCACCCGCCGAGGTTCAAGTCCGTCACGTACGTCAACAATGTCGACTCGCCGTCGAGGGGCTCGACGAGCCAGCCCGAGGTGCCAACGTGGCCACGCACGACGCCGGTCGGGACCGGCTTGAGCTCATTGGTGACCGACATCTCGAGGATCACCATCGCCGACGGCACGCTCGACATGCCCACTGCATCGAGCACGTTGTGGCAAGAGAGCCGGTCGTTGCGCTTGGCATGGGGCGTTGACGCCTCGTACACGTGACGCAGCAGGAGCAGGTCGCGCGGCACGGCAAGCGACCGCCAATCAATGCTTGACGCAAGGCCACCAAGGACCGCGGCGCAGGCCGAGTGCACTACGTCGCCTGCCAGTAGCGTCGAGAGGGCCGCGCAGCCGAGGGCGGGCAGGGCCGTGTTGGCGGTCGCCACGAGCGGATCCGCAAAGAGGTTGTACGGCGCGCCGCCCGAGAGGTGGATGAGGTCGGTGGACCCGCCGTAGGTCGCGACGTGCGTCGACACTGGGAAGTGAAGATCCCACTCGTTGCGCTTTTGGTGGTCGAGAAGGATGCGTAGGGCGACAGAGGGCAAGGTTTTTAGCGCGACGCTACCCCGGACGTACTGCTTGCCGGTGGCGCCGTGCGTCGCCGTCGACACACGGACACCGTTCTTGGCACCGTGAAAGTGAAAGTGAAGCGGGTGCTGCGACGACGGCTTGTTGAAGAGGAGGCACGACAGCAGCTCGGACGCGCTCGAGAGTTCGTTCTCGAGACGAATGTTGGTCGGCTGCGTCGGCACCTTGGAGCCATGGCTCATTTGCGACGACGGCTGCATGCGGCTGCGCGATGCTTCGGACGTCATGGGCTTGCGCGCCGGCGACGGCGGTGCGTGCTGCTGGCTCACGGGCTTTTGTCGCCCCTCTTCTTCGTCGAACGGCGTGATGGTCGTGCCGCCGACGCTCGTGTTGCGCTCCAGGCGGTGCTTGTGCTTGACTTCTTGGATGCGCGCGACGGCCTTTGTGAGGACGCTGAGCCAGTCGGAGGCGACGCCCTTCTCTTCGGCCGAGAGGCAGTACATGGTGCCACTGGTGCCGTCCGTGAGGTAAATGCGCGGCGAGTGCCACGTTTCGCTGAGGCCGCCGTCTTGGACGGACGCCGACTCGAGCGGAATGACAGCATTCGGCTTCTTGTCCTTGCTCGAGATGTAGTAGCTCAGCGACCGCCCGTCGCAGACAAACCAGCGCTTCTTCCAGCCCTTGAGGAGCTGGCCCTTCTTCTGCAAATACCCCTCCTTCATGTACGTTGGGTCATAGTTGGGTCGGCGCTCCAAGCCGCTTCCTTCCTAGTACAGGCCCTCATAAGCATCACCGCTTCCTTGCGACCGACCGACGCACCTCAAGCTCCGACATCGTTCGTCGTTTCGTCAGTGTCAGAAAAGGGCTCACAGCAACTCCGGATATCGTTGTACTTTTTAAGGGAATAACCCTTTGAGATCTCGTTTATCCGGAATCCGCGCTCTCGTGGGAGACGAGGCGCAACAACATACCGGTACCAACCAACCAAGACGAGATACCACCGCTCGCACTCGACAGCTTACATCCAATGCAATGTGCAGCAGGCTCAGTCGAGCTTGTCGTCCGAGTTAAAGGCAGGATGCGACGCTGGTCGAGGACCTCTTTTCACTGTAGACTGCAACGAGCGGACTTGAAACGGTGTCGTACTTGAACGACGCACTGAGAGTCAATCCTGCGTCGAGTTTGTGTAGCAGTTGAAATACGCTGAGTATTGTTTCTTGGGTCATATGCGCTCGAGAGCGTGCTCACTGTGGCGAACCTTATGTGTAATTGCAAGGCGAGCCATAGCTTCAATAGCCAGTAACGACAAAGTACTTGCCGCATCCACTCGGTAGCAGTGAGTCGGTAGATGTATTAATATGTACCCTTGGTGTAATCGCTCGTCAAGTAGACTAAAGGTATCCCGAACGCTACCGGTATAACTTTCCTCGTCATCTTGACCCTCTGAGGACGGAGTGAATTCCTGAGAAATTCCTGAACATGACTCGAATTCCCACATCCAAGACAGAGTGCTTGGCACGCGCTGATTCGTTGAAATAAGACCAATGAAATCTCGTATAAATAAGCGGCTCGATTACGCTGGCGTGCCATGGAGGCTGAACTTGTTCCAGGAGAAGGACCTGGACATGAACACCTCTTCGTTGTTGTCGGAGAGGATCGAGTCAGCGCTCTCCGAGGAGCCGATTGAATACGGCGACATGAGGCTGTCGATTGGCCGCTGCTTCCGCAACTCCGTGGGTCGCATGAGCGACGGCGCCTCGCCCACCTCTTTCGGCAGCTCCGTCTCTTCGGCGATGACGACGGTGCCGCGACCGCCGCCGGATGCCGCACGCGTCTTGGCCTTGGGCTCAACGTCGTCCTCGAGGAGCGGGATCTGCCGCGCGCACGTGAGGAGATCGCTGGTCCGCACCGAGTCAAAGTACGACGCGCGGGCTTCCAACGGGCTCGCCGACTCGATCGGCTGCAGCGCGCGCTTGCTCTGTAAGAGCATGTCGTTGGTGCCAAAGGCCTCGAGGAACGTTTCCATCTTGCGCGACGACGTCGGCGGGTGTAGCATCGGGACGTCGTCCTTGGCGCTGGCGCTCGCCGGGCGATAGAGGAAGAGGAAGCCAAAGATGCTGATCGTGCACACCGAGACGCCGACAATGTAGGCGATGTGGAGCGTCGACAACGGCGGCACCGATCCTACTCGAAACGTTACGACGCGTGGCGCCAAATGAAGCGCACCAGGGACGGGCGTCGGGGCGCTATAGGAGCTAGGGTCGAGCGGCGGTATTCGGCTCACCGAGCCGTTGGTATCGAGGCGCCGCACCATGGCTATGTGCATGGTCATGAGGACAGGCGATTCGAATGGAAACACGGACTGCAGTCGATGAATGGCGGGTCGTGGGTTGGACAGCGCGCGCCGGTGGACTCAAAACACACGTAGACACCGGTCTCGGTCATCGGCAGGAGGCACGACGGACAGCGCTCGCGACCTCGGTGGCACGTCGTGGCCTCGCGCGTGGTGCAGCGGTCGATCGATGTACAGAGGTGCGTTGCGTTGCGCGTTGCGAGGCCCGCGGCCGCCGTGTGGAGCAGCAGTAGAAGGAAGAGGCGGCGGGTCATCACCCTGCGAAAAGAAGGCTGCGATGCGGTCCGATCGAAGCACCGTGACGGGGCCTCGCCAGCTGGTACTGCCTGTCTGCCTATCAGAAGCATGGTCGTAGAATCGTGCGGGCAAAGAACGCGCGCAGATGGTGACACGGGAGAGGGGTCGCCGTCGCTCGTGCCGTAGCCCGCGTCTTGCTGTTCTCGGCATGCGGAAGCGCCATGCAGGCAGCCCGACGAGACGAATAATGTAGCTCACTGCGCCGCGCTGGCGCGTTGATTAATAAATCCTATTCAAACTAGTAGTGGCGTCTAAATTCGGGCCTCCTTGCCGTCGTAGTCGGTCATGTAGCTGTCGCGACTTGCCTGGGACATGCGCGACTCGTACTCGCTCGCCGTCTCGTACGCCGAGAGCTCCGAGACCATGCTAAAGTGCGAGTACCGGCCGTCCATGCCTTTGGTGAACGACGTCGACGACCGGTACAAGTCCTGATCGACAATGTCAAAGTCGTCATCGGCAAGGCCGTCGCCGAGCTTCTTCATCGGCGCGTGCTGGATGACCATCATGTCGTCGTCATCTTCTTCGTCCTCGAGGATCGCAATGTCCTCGGTCGCTGTCGGCTTGGTCACGACAAAGTGGCTGCCGACGCCGACGGACGACCCAGCGCTGAACGAGACGAGCTTGGCCGAGACGTGCGTTTGAGGCGGCGGCGATGCGTCCAAGATGTTGCTGTCGCGAACCTTGTCCTGGAGGACGACGAACGAGCCGCTGCCGCGGCCATCTTCCATCTCGGTGAGCGCGGTTGGGTTGTAAGCGGGCGTCTCGACGGGCTTGGCCGGCGGCGGCAGGCGCGCCTTGTCGCGGCTGCACTTGTACGACATGTAGCCGAGGAAGAGGATGGCAAAGGCGACGAGCCCAATGCCAACAAAGGTTTCCGCGCCCATGACGACTCCGAGTACACTGAGGACCAGTTTGATTCTGAAATCGCATGGGTGAAGCGTGGGCGAAGACGACGTGTTACACATCTGGTCAAGTTCGATCGCCGCCGGCCACTCGATACGAACGCTGAGTCGCACTCCCGCAGCTGGTGCAGCCGGTCAAGCGGCGTAACCGCTCCTCCTCCGCGCCAGTTCGTCGACGCCGCCGACGCTGCCTCCTGTCACCGCTCTCGGCAGTCTCTCAGGCATGTAGAGACCTGGCGACACTCTGAGATGATATTGGATGCTGCTGCATGGGCGATGTGTAACTAAGCTGTAATCGGCCGAAAGTGTTATAACACGTGGCGACACGACAACACAGCGTTTGCGAGGGGCAGACGTCCCGGTTCGCATTCCAGCCGCGCCAATGCGCGATGCAAAGAATGCAGTAGACCCTGCTGCTGCACTACTATACATGTACCTACGTTCGATGCGTCGGTCCAGTGCGCGGTTGCGACTACATCTCGGTACCAAGCAGAGATCGGGACAGCGCACTGCACTGGCGCAATCACATCGACTGTCCACACGTACGTACGTGCGTGCGTACGATCCGCACACGTATATACACCTCGGACTAAAGTCAGAGTCACTACGTGCTCTATATCGGTACGTGTGTGGTCGACCTCTCCCTTGTTTCAAAGCGGCGTCGCATACGTTGAGGTCGTCCTCAAAAGAGTGGAGAGCGTGGTGCATTTCCATGGTGCTATTGAATGCGCCATGCACTGCCTCGTGCCGTTGTTGCTTGCAGCTCAGAAAGCAGTGCGAATGTCAATGACCGAGGACATAGAGGTGCATTGCTCCTCCATGTGTGGACCGTCGTTGCAAGTTATAACACTTTGCACCTAGCCCTAGCCTGGAATAGCGGAATTACAGACAGATTGGTGTATTATAACTTATTAGTACTACGTCGTTGAAAGGAACGTCGTTAGATCTCGACCTCCTTCTCGCGCTCGTCGTCGTCGTCCCACGAGACGCGGAGCTTTGGGTTGTTGTTATCGCGCGGATCGTCCGAGAGGATCGAAAAGTTGCTGTACCGGCCATCGAGCACGAGCGAGTTGGTCGACCGGTACTGCGACACCGAGTCCGAAATGTCGTCGGTCGCTGCTGTTGTCGGGAGCGGGTAAAACTGCGCAAACGACACCGAGTCAATGTACTCGTGGATCGTGCTGTGTGGTTGCACGTCGTCGCGGCCTTGCCCGAGAATGCTCTGCACGTCGCCAAAGCTCGACGGCGTCGGGAACGACCGCAGCGAAAGGTCGTCGTTCTGCGACGAGAAGCCCGAGTTGATGCGCTGGAGCTGCGACCCATGCACGGCGATGCTGCCGCCGCGCTTGAATTTACGTTGCGCCGGCCGATCCACGAGCGTCGGGGGCGGGCACGGCTCGCGGGGCCGCTTCTCGCGACGATACATGAGCGCGCAGACGCCAGCCACGAACGTGAGCGCGACGCCCATGCCAATGGCGATCATGAGCACTGTTTGACTCGCCGTGCCCGAGCCAGCGCTGTTCGTGCTGCTGCCTTCGTTCGGTCCCGGTACTGTCTGTGTACTGTTGTTGGTCGTTGGAGTCGCCGTCGTCGGTGTCGCTGTTGTTGTTGGCGCCAGCGTTGTTGTTGGCACCGGCGCCGTCGTTGGTGTCGGTGTAGGCGGCGCGGTCGTAGCATTCCCGCTGTTGCCTGAGCAGTCGAACATCGTGAGCTCCGACTTGTCTGTGAATGGGCACGACGGTCCCGTTTTCGCCCAACAGAGGTACCCGCCCTGCGCGTTCGCGTAGAGACACGGAGGACACGCGCCGAGTTGGCGGTTGCACGGGGTGTTGGTGATGGTGAAGCAGAGTACGACGAGCCGGCACAAGGATGGGTCTTGCATCGCCAACGTCGCCGCAGCTGTGCGTGAGATGCATGAGCCTCGACATAGCCACGGAAGGTCGCGTACCGTGAAGAAGCACGATGACGAGGGCGGTAGAACCGTGCATGTTGCAAGGCCCAGAGGCAAAATGACCGACGGACTGCGAGCCAGGAGCAAGAGGCAGCCAAAGAATGTCCATCTGCTCCGATTCGGTGGCGTGTCAATGATCTTGGCATATTTGATGCCATTTCCGTGCCCTACCTAGGCGAAACAGGCGCGGACAATCCAGACAAGCGGAAAACACGCAACCATACGGGCAGCAATAAAAGCCGCACGTGCAGCACGAGCGGCTCTTGTGTCCAAGGCGCTTCATGTCAGCAGCGGTTGTTGGGTCTGCTGGTGATCTTGGTCGTTTGACGCAGCTGAACCTGGCTTCAACAAGTGGTGAACGGTCGCTTCTCCAGCATCTGAGCCCGAATGTTGGCGCGGCCTCCGACGACTGCTTGCACGGAATGTACATGTACAGCACATCGCATCTCCATCCTCACTCTCATTTGCCTGTGTAAGTCGTGCAATGGAGTATGAAGCCCCTCGGAGCCTCCCCCTTGGATGCTAGATCGGCTCGTATCCACAATCTCCTAGTTTGGCGAACGTCTGCTTGTTTTCTCTTGGTCTCGACGGAAAGTCGGCGGCATGCATAAGGTCTTGCTTCACGCACGCAGCAAGGTAGTAATACCAGTACGTATCTATCTGTACCCGCAGCTACAGTGGCTCCAGTGCCTCGAGAGGTGTGGCGCTATGACGCGGCACACGAATGTGCTAGCCAACATGGCAGTTGTGTGTGTTTAGACCGCTGGCAATGTACGTGTCCCAGCCGAGTGCATACAAACTCCAAGTCGAATCAGATGTCTTGGGCATATTTTGTGCCCGGAAATTTCCCGGCGAACTGCCGTTTGCCAAAGCCGCAGGGCGCCGCAGAGCCGACTGACCCAGCATGAGCCAAGGATACGACCATGGGCCCTTCCCCACGGGGGACGCGCCGCCCAACCCCTTTGCGGCGCCGCCTCGAAGGCCGTCGGCGTCGCCCTTTGCGTCCGGGTATATATCGCCTCTATGGACGGCCATTGACCTTCATCGGCGAGTAGGCCTGTGGCGCATGTCACCCCGATGAAGCCGGGCCCAGGACTACCGCTAGCTGGCGGCGGTACAACCAATCACGATGGATATACCAAGAGGCTCATGTGTGAACACATAGGTCTTGGCGCTCGGCCGCAAGCGACGAGCCAGCTCAAGACCCCGTTGGTCGTCAAGCCGGCCGACTCAAGTGCGAGTCCTTTTGACCACGTCGCCGACTACTCGACGGCCAACGCGCAGTTTCACACTGCAGACCTCAGCGACCCTTTCCAGCACGTGCCGGAGGCGCTGACGCCCTTCCAGCATGCACCGCCGACAACGCCGGTGCCACCAGCTCTTGCATCCAACTTCAATTCCGCAGACTCGGCCTCGGACGAGCTCGCCAACATGTTTGGCGGTCCACCGCCAGCGGCCAACCGAGACAGCTTCTCCGACGCCCCGCGACCGTCGTCCATGTCGGTTCGTCTCTAACGCTACTTGTCGTTGTGTCTTATCCGACGGGTGTCAGGACCCGTTTAGTGCTGCGACCGCCGTGGCCCCGCCGCCGCCGGCCGCGCCTTTCTTGGGATACAACCAATCACCATACGCAAGCTCGAACACGTCACCGATGTTTGCGGGCCCGACGCACCCGTCACCGTCGTTTGCGCACCGGCAGCCGTCGCCGCTTGCGCGGTCGCCTTCGCTCGCATCACCGCAGCGCCAAACATCGACGCAGATCCTTCCACCGCCGCGCAGCGTTGCAGAGCTCTTTGAGGCGTTCATGGCGCAGGTATCGCCAGAGATGCACCCGACGCCGCTCCCGCCCTTTGACGGCACCGAGGCCGGTCTTCGGTTGCTCTACGACCACCAGCGCTGGAAGTCGCTCGAGGCGGCCGCGGCGTCCATGGCTCAAACCAACGACGTCGCTGCGATGCTTGCTGCGCGCGTACGAAAGAAAATTCGGTTCTTCTTCTGACTCGACTTGTGATGTAGTCGTGGCAGCTCGTCGCACTGTACAAGCAGCGCAACGTGACGGCGTTTGAGGCTGTTGTCCGAAGCCTCGGCGATCTTGATAGCCCGCAGTACCAATGGACGACGTATCCAGAGGTAGGCGTCGCTACCAAAGACCGAAGCCCCGCACATGCTTTTCAGTCTGGCAAGACGGGGTCCATGGTTCCCTGGCGCCTCCACTTTCTTGGCATGCAGCTACCGCGCCTTCAGAGTACACGCATCTCCTGCGATGACGAGACATTCGGTTGACGATGCTTGGTAGACAACTATGCCGAGTACGAAGCCGCCTCGGCAGCCTTTCTCCAGCGACTCGATATCGCCCAGGACACTGCGGCCGACGTGTGGCGGGACATGACGACCGGCGCCATGATCAACACGTTCATCGAGCGCAAGAAGCTGCACTTGGCGCTACGTTTGAGCCTCCACTACCTCGTACGAGCCTTGATGACCCCGCTGTGTATTTTATGGCATATTTTTTGTAGACGACCAACGTGGGCCGCTTCTCGCCGTGGCAGGAGCTGCTCTGGACGTCGCGCGTCGGTCGCGTGCACCTCCAAATGGGCAACCTTGTCGCCGCCGAACGCACGTTTGCCAAAGCTGCAGCGCTCCAGGCCTCGATGGACCACGGTCGCACTGCGAAAAGATGGCAACTCGTCGACTTACTGGATCGCTAGACTGCTCGGCGCGTCTTCTTTTGAACCAGGGGCTGCTTTTCTTTGCACAAAACAAGGTACCCCCGTGTCTCAACCGCCGACCGCTCACACGCACCACAACTAGTTTAAGGAAGCGCTCGATACGTTCAACACGATCCTCGAGCTACATGCGGCGCCCGAGCCCACGTACGCGGGTGGCGACCCGTTTGTGACGATCGACGACGGCGACGTGGCCTCGTGCGCAGCCAACAACCTTGCAATCTGCGCCCTCTACTCGTGCGAGGTGCTGACGGCAGTGAACGTGCTCGAGTCGGTGCTCCAGAGCGACCCGCGCCGCCACTTGAGCGCCGCGCTTGTCTTCAACCTTAGTACGCTCTACGACTTGGTGTGCGACAATGCCAACGCTACGAGCCGCAAGGAGGCGATCAAGCGACTGGCGGACGCGTACAGCGTCGAACACATTGAGCCGAGCAGCTTTCGCATCTAATAGAATTCGCCCTTCTTGCGCTTGGTAGGATGCGGCGCATCCTCGTCGTCGTTGTCGGCTTTGGCCCGCTTCTGCGCCTGCTTGGCCGACTGGAGGTGGACATGCGACGTCCAGTATTGCTCTTCGGCAACGCCCGCCATGGTCGTCATCTCGACGATCGCCTCTTGGAGCTGCAGCGGATGGGCGGCAAAATGCCGAAGTACTACAATCAGATGCCGTAAGATGGTCGCCATGGTTGATGGAGACTTGTACCGTTGGCCGAGTGCGATGTCGACAGGAACCGCGCTACAACGACGGACCCGCCAGCGCGAAGCTTGGTGTCGTCAAGAAACGCGACGGGCGCGGCAACTTCGAGTGCGGCCTTGAGCGCCTTCCGGGGCGTGTCCACTGGTACGTTTGTGAGCTGTACAAGGAGGCCGCGAGTGAAAAAGTCGGGGGCCGGCGCCGTCGATGCACTCTCGACAGCGTGCTGGAGCGCGCTGCAGGACGATGTGTCGGTGTGTGCCATGGCCATCTGTGCTTTGAGGCTATCGCGCAGCGCGACCCAGCGCGCCTTGGCCATGCCCGAGATGCCGGCGGTCGGCGGCGCGTCCGGGGATGGCGCCGTCTTCTTGTGAGCTTTCAGCACCTCGAGGACTGGTGCGACAGCTTCAACTGAGGCAAACTCGATGAACGCAAAGCCTTTGAACTTTCTCGAGCCTGGAAAGCGGGGCATACTCACGAGGTTGACCTATCCAGCCGCGTGAGAGGGTAGCACGAGCGCTCGCGTACCTTGCCAAAGGGCGAGAAGAGCTTGCGGAGACTGTCGTGATCCGAGCCCGCCGAGAAGTTTTCAATATAGATGGTTCGCTCTGTAGAACGTGCGTGTAGTGCGACGGCGAGAGAGGAGCGTGAACACGTACCGATGCTGTCGTCGTCGTCATAGTCGGGCAACTCGGTCGGGCGAACGTACGCCTCGTCGTCGCTGAGCACCATGAGCGGCGACTTGCGGATGGCGTCCGTGAGGATACGCGTCGTAGCTCCGATGGCTTTCATGCTACTCGTGCTGACGGTCATTCATGCGCTGCGAAATGTAGCATGCGTACCGATTGAAGGTGAGGAAGACGTCTATGGGCATGTAGCCTTCGTCGTCCATGGACTGCTGGAGGAACTTGTCGCTTCGGAGGTTGGAGGCGCTGAGGTAGAACTCCATTTGTTTCTGGACGCGCTTCTTGACGCTCATGCTGCGATGCTGGCCCGGCGAATCTTGAGATCCCGAGCAGATCCTAATCCAAGCGCACCATGTCCTAGAACAAGGTCACATACTATATTGCTATATTGACTGTATATAGTGTCATATGTGCAAGCGAACCAGAGCCACCGAGCGTGTCGCGGTCACAGACGTCCCCCGGTTGTGCACGCTTTTCTCTCGACTTATTCACAATCCAAGAGATATGTGTTTAGTGCTCCGGTACACAATCCCTTTCATGGTGTTGTCTGCACTGCGTGCTACAGTTTAACACTATAAACTTTCTCACACTATTCCATATCAGTGGCGGTCTCGCTCAAGGATTTTAGCCAATGACTGGCGGGACGGATTTTAGCATTGAATTACCTTGGTGTTTGTAGCAACATCAAAAATACCAATAAAAACACATACCTGGCTATCGGTTGGCAGTCTACGACTTGCACAAGATGGCCGCTTACACTGCTCCGTCCGTCAGCGTCAACGGCGTGGGCTGGGGCCCGACGTCGCTCCCCAAGCAGTTCGCCAACATCCCGTACGCACCCTTCGGCAAGAGCGACAAGCTCGGGAAGGCCGCCGACTTCATCAGCCAGAACAACCAGGCGATCGGTCGCCCGGGCCGCTTCCAGCGCAGCAACGACCCGTCGGGTGTCAACGCCGAGTTCCAGTACAAGCACGATGCGGTCGAGGACCTCTCGTTCCAGCTCGTCGACACGGCCAAGGCGGTCCGCAACAACACGCGTCTTCGCCCGACGTGGGGCCAGCAGCGCTTCCAGGCGAACCGCAACAACAACCGCAACAACCTTGCCAAGGACAAGGGCCTTGTCGCGCTCGAGACCACGACGCAGATGAAGAAGGGCCAGCAGAAGCAGAACAAGCGCTGGGACCGCCTCAACACGGCGCGCCGCATGTTTGGCAACAAGCGCCGCGACAACGACACGAAGGAACGCGTTGCAAGTGTGCAGGTCGACACGACGTGGAAGATGATCGAGCAGTTTGAGCTTGCGCAGCTCGTGAAGCTCCAGGCCAACATCCCGGCCTCGGAGGACCTCAAGACGTGCGGCCAACTCCGCAAGTACGACGACACGTACGACCGCATCACGACGCGCTTCGCCAAGACGCTCGGCCGCCACGAAGACAAGGAGTTCGTCTCGGTCACGACGACGGACGATCCGATCATCGAGGCGCTCGCGACCGAGGGCGCCGCGACCGTCTTTGCCACGGACGCGATCCTCTCGCACCTCATGGCCTCGCCGCGCTCGGTCTACCCGTGGGACATTGTTGTCCAGCGCGTCGGCAACATGCTCTTCTTCGACAAGCGCGAGGCGTCGACGCTCGACATGGTGACAGTCAACGAGACGGCGATTGACACGCCGAACGCGGACGACCCGGACTCGATCAACCACCCGGACCGCCTCAGCCTTGAGGCGACGCTCATCAACCAGGCCTTTACGCAACAGGTGCTCAAGGCCAACGACGACTTCGTCAAGACGTTCGAGGCCAACCCGTTCAGCGGCGAGAACCTCGCGCCGATCGCGTACAAGTACCGTCGCTTCCAGCTCTCGGAGACGGTCGCCATGGTTGCGCGCTGCGAGCTCCACGCGATTTCGACCAAGGGCGGCGCCGAGCAGACGGTCGCTGCCTTTGCGCTCAACGAGTGGGACCCGAAGCTCAGCGGCAGCGTCGAGTGGCGCAAGAAGATTGATCTCCAGCGCGGCGCGCTCCTCGCGACGGAGCTCAAGAACAACTCGTGCAAGATCGCCAAGTGGACGCATTCTGCGATCCTCGCGGGCGCCGACCAGATGAAGCTCGGCTTTGTCTCGCGTGCGAACGCCAAGGACCCGTTCAACCACACGATCCTCGCGACGCAGAGCTACAAGCCTGTCGACTTTGCCTCGCAGACGTCGCTCAACCAGAACAACGCGTGGGGCATCGTCAAGATGCTTGTCGACATCTTCCTCAACCAGCCCGAAGGCAAGTACGTCATGATGAAGGACCCCAACAAGCCCGTCGTGCGCATCTACTCGGTGCCGCTCAACACGTTCGATGACGAAGGCGACGACGACGATGAGGATGACGACGACGACGACGATGACCAGGACGACGACGACTTGGACGACGATGAAGACAACTAAATGCAAGTAATGTAGTATTGACGAAGATTGCTTGCTTCATGGTACACGCTCTCTGACTGCAACAAATCATGCGCACTGGGTGTTGCACGCTTCTCCTAGTCATGTCATCGCAGTACCCAGAGGAAGACGCACATCCAGAAGTGCTACCAATCGTGGTCGATGATGATGCCACACGTGCTCGGCGGCGATCGGCACCTGATGAGTTAGCGAGAACTCGGTGGAGCTGAAGGAGCATACGAAGGCGTCGGCAGCTGCTTCCAAGAGAGAGTGTTGCTGCCCTTGCAACCAACCTTTGCTTTCCGTCTACGCTCTGCTGACTGACGGTTCCATTCTTTTTCCTTGACCACGTGTGATACACGCGGCGCCTCTGCGATCGCCGATCATCCCGCGCGACCGCCTCTGCTGCTCGACGCCTTTGCACCCAGCGCAGGCCCACGACGGCGCGTGCATTGCGAGCTGCTTCTTTGCAGTCGTGGGCGCGACGCAGCACGGTCCACCGCGTAGATTCCGCCTTCAACGCGCCTGACCACTTTGCTGTTGCACTTCTCGGACGTTTCCCACTTGACATTGCACTTGTCAAGTGTGTCCAGTTGCCGTTTGCCATCCGGCGAAGGGTCCGTCGCATGGTAGGCGTTGGGATGGCAGAGGGGCTCGCGCGGTTGGTGGCGGTCGCCTCGTCGTGTGTCTCGTACAGCGCCGCATTGCAAGTGAAAAGTCGCGCGAGCGCTCAAGGGCGCGTGCGACCAGGTTGGGACTTGGCCCCTCGCGTGTCCAACACCATGTGGTAGGCGTCGAGATTCGGCGCCAGATTCATAGCGGGATAAAGGCAGGGAGTGCGCACAGCGAAGTGGCTTGTTAGAATCCGGCCGCGAACGGTTACACGTCGTGGCACCTGTCGGCCTTTCTGGCGACGGCCCAATGGAATCTCTCAACGCCAAACCCTCTGGCGCACCAACGCGGGATGCTGCGCCAGTTTGCAATTCTTATTTTGACTCTCAAGAAGCATGACGACGTCTCGAGGTAGCGCGAGCGGCGCCAACAAGTTTCCAGACTTCCGCCTCTCGGCGTCCCAGGACGCCCATTTCCGCGGTGTCGCATCGACGCTCCTGCAGAACGCGATCGTCGAGTGCGAAGACACAGCGAAGGACATCCACGGCAAGTGGAAATACGTGCGCGAGGCCAATGGCCTCAAGCTTTACAAGGCAAAGAAGCCCAGCAAGACGATACCGGGCAATCAGCTCATGGCAACTGGCATCGTCCGCGGCAACCTCCTCGAGGTGCTCCGCGGGCTTTACGCCCATGACTCGGTCTCGTTTCGCGTCAAGTCGGCCCTGCTCATGCCCAAGGAATACCTCGACTGCGAGGTTTTGCATGCAATGGACGTCCAGGACGACGCAGCGCCCTTCCGTTTCAACGGGCTCAAGTGGATCGCGACCAAGTGGCCGGGTGGTTCGATGTCCAAGTCGCGCGACTTTTGCTACTTTGAGTCGATGGGTATTGCGCGCAACACGGACAAGAACGGCAACGCGTTCGAGTACGGCTACTGCTTTATGGACTCGTGCGACGTCGGCCAGTGCCCGCCGCTGGACGCGATCTCGCTTGTCCGCGCCAAGATGAGCATCCGCCACATCTTCCGCGAGGTCTCCAACGGGTACACGCTCGTCATGACACACTGCAGCATCGACGCGTGCGGCAAGATGTCGGGCTTTATGAGCGACATGACGACGCTTCCGTTCCTCTCGTCGGCCGCCCGCTCGTCCGAGTGCGCCGAGTCGGCGCGTCTCTCGTTGGCGACGATGGGTTGTGACGAGTCGGCGTCGACGCGCGGTTCTCGCCGGGGCACGTCCATGCGCAACCGCGAGTGCATCTGCTGCCTCGCGTCGTTTGCCGGCGGAAAGCGCGAGCGCGCCGAGTGCTCGCTCTGCGAGTTTGACGCGTGCAAGACGTGCGTCGAGGACAAGAAGGTCGTGGAGCTTCTCGGCACGTCGATCCGCGCGACCAAGAAGCCCTACTGCAAAAAATGCTTGTCGGCCAACCGCGCGAGCTTGACGTCGCGCCGGTCGCTCTCGTCCGTCTCGGCTGTGCACAGTCAGCGCGGTCTCAGCTGCAGCTACGGCTCGGACCACGCGATGGTCAACGAAGCCGCGACTGTGCCCGAGCACGGCGCCGTGTGTCCGATTTTGGATTTCGACAACGAAGAAGAAGAAGAGTCGGTGTACTCGGGGCTCGACCTCGACCAAACGAGCTCTGTCGCGAGCCTCCACGACGAAAGCAAGGACAAGGTTCAAGTGCTCTACACCGGTCCGCTCGCGACCGGCACGACGTCGTTTGACGGCACGGAGGTCGGCAGCATGTCCCGCATGCGGCTCTACGACAGCTCGCAGAGTTTTGGCGGCGAAGACAGCCCCCATGTGGTGCCCATCCAGGTCGTGAGCTCGTCCGCGCCGAGCGCCGACCTCTACGAGCCGCGGCCGATGGCCTACCGCGATGCGAGTCCGCGCTCGATGGCGATGAAGATGATGCAGCTCTCGATGCAAGCGCGCGAGACGCACGACATTGTGCGCCGGAACCAAGAGTTTGCGCTCAAGATCTAAGCGTCGTCTAGTCGTTAGTATGCGGTCGAAGTATATCTATATAATTAAGTTAATTCCTTTCAGATTCCATCCTCTCAACGTTCGCGGTGGCTAGGAAATGGATCGGGCAAGCAGAAGACGAGTGGTCGACGATGGGTGTCCTGTTCGCGTGTGGTGAATGATGCGAGAATCGAGCATGAGATTCCCATCATGCTGCAGATTCATCGCATGCGGAAGCAAAAGCGTCCGTAGAGACGTCGACCGATTAGATCGTCCGTGGTGCCTGGTCGATGGGAAGGAATCCCCAGTGTGGTCGGATCTCGAATCTCTGACGAGGCCATCAATCAATCAGCATCATGCGGACGTTTCAGGAGCCACGGACGTGCGGTGCAATCTGGGGAGCGACTGTCCGATGTCCCACGTCTCGCCGGTCGCGCGTTGTCATGTCAACATGGCGCTTCAATCAACGTCTCTGGATACTTGTGGTAGCACCCATCGGCCGTCCATCTTTGGTCATGTCAAGTGCAGCCCGTGTCTCCAAGGCGACTCCATGGCGGTTGTGGAGAGCACTCCAGGCGGCTGTGGAGAGCACTCGGAACTGTACTGTTATATCCATCGTTTTTCAAAGTCCATAAAGAAGAAGGGGCGCTACTTCTGCGTAAAGTCAAACTGGACAGGGCCGGTTGCGGGCTGGAACGTCAGCTCCCCGTCGGCGACGCCCGGGGCGAGGGTGGCGTCCACGTCGTCGTTGGCATCGCCGGTGAACCACTTGTCCATGACGTACGACGCCGCCGCCGAGACATCGTCGTTCTCGTCGTAGCAGAGGTCTTCGATCGCGACGACGCACCCGCTCTCTTCGACCGCCTGCTTGGCCGAGTCGATGGTGCCCGTCTCTTGACCAACATTGAGCACGTTGCTAATCGCCTCGAGCACCGCAAGCTCGATCGCCGGGTCCTCATACTTGTCGAGGAGCGGGCACAGAGACACGAGCGCGCCAAGGCGCACGAGCTCGCCAATGACGTTGCCATCGCCCCGCACGAGGAGGCTGCACGTCGCCCACGCGGCCTCGTGCTTGACGTCGTACTCGGCCCACGCCAGCTGCTCCAAGATGGCGGGCACCACGCCTGGCGTCTCGATCACGGCGTGCAGCTACGCCATCCATACTCAGTGAGATGCATGCTTCCAAGGAGGACCACGTACGAGCGCCTCGCTGCCGGTCGTCAAGTGCGCGAGGATCCAGCACGTCTCTTCGCGGATGCTGCGACTCATCGAGTTGAGGACACGCGGGAGCGCGGGGAGGAGCTTTGCCTCGAGGGCGACGACGGCGAGGCTTTCGTCCATGGCCAGAATCTGCCCAAGGAGCTGCAAGAGCGGGTGCAGCAGCATCGGCGACGCATACAAATGGAGGAGCTCGACGAGCTTTGGCAAAACGCCCGTCGCCACAAAAGTCGACACGAGCGACTTGTTGTGCGTCGTCATTTCAATGATGGCCCACGCGCAGTCGCAGAGCGTGAGTGCCTTCTCGTCCAAGGTGAGGCTCTCGGTGGCATCGTCCTCGGCCTCGGCCGAGTCGTCGTCGCCGTCGATCGTCTGCATCGGCCGGAGCGCTGACTTTTGGACCGTAAAGACCGAGTACTCACCGGTTTCGTAGTTGACATCCACGTCGACGACCTCGACCGTTATCGCGTCAATCTCGCGCAGGAGTCGCACGAGCACGATATCGTTGGGCGCCGGGCGGCCCGAGTCCATCTGGAAGTAGCGCCACGTCGCGACCGCAGGCGACGGCGCGGCCGGCTCCTTCGCGAGCGCCTTTGTTTTCTCAACGACGAGCTGCTTCATGACGTTGGCGAGGACTGTCATGACATCACCCTCGAGTTGCGGCGTGAGAAGACCGAGTCCCGCGAGGAGTTCGGGCATGTCGATCATGCTGCGAAGGAGCCAAACGGACGCGCGACGCAGACTCGGCGTGCTCATGCGGATGTGCGGAAGCACGGTTTGTGGCGGGCAGACCGCCACGACCGCCTCGCACATGACCTTGGACTCGCTCGCGACGTTGCCGAGGCACCACGCCGCCTGGATCTGGAGCTCCGAGATACCGCACTGCAAGAGCACGACCATTTTGGGCAGAACGCCGCTTTGCACGACATACAGCGAGCGGTCCATGGACGCGATGAAGCGCAGCGCAAAGGCCGCATCCGACTGCATCGAGACGTCCGCGAGGTCGAGCGCGCCGACAAAGAACGGGATCGCTGCGAGGATTGTCTGCCAGAGCGGGACATGCTGCGGGTCGCTATCGTCAAAGAGCGGCGGGACACCCGAGCTCATGAGGTACACGAACGCGCGGAGGCTCTTTCGCCGCACGTCGGCTTCGGCGTGCTTGAGACCGATGAGCAGCGCTTGGCAGCGCTGTGCAATCTCGTGGAGCATCTGCGACTTCTCTTTCGGCATCAGCTCGGCCAGCGCCTTGGCTTGCGCCGCCATGTTGCGCCGCTGGTTGTACCCGTCCTCCTTGCGCGCCTTACGGATAGACACCTGCCCGCGCGCATGAGCCATCGTGGCGACCATCAGGTGCATCTACCTGCGTGTCCATGCGGGCGCGCCGGCCATTGACGCCGTTGAGCATGCGCTTGATGGGCTGGCGGTGGTCCTTCTTCGCCTCCGACATGTCGACGATAACCAAACGTCTTGTACGACGCCGTCTACTTCGATTCGTTCCACGACCCCGTTATCCGGTGGCGCCCCACCGGTTCTTCGAATCCGGATACATCCGAGTAACCGACTCGCCAGTCAAACCGCCTATCAGCGATTATCTAACCGGACATAAACCGACTAGTCGAAAACCGTTATGAAACCGGTTTGTCGGTCACAGCCATGACGTCATCGTGAGGGCATTGTCCATGTCACGACGTGGGCTGCCTAGTCAACACAACGCGCTTACGAAGAGGGCCATTTACGTAGTCGGTTGATGGGCCCACCTCAAGCACCTGCTTCACGTACGAACACGTGTGCTACGCGAAAGAAAAGGCCCGTCACGACGCTCAAGTTGTCGACGCCGGCAGCATGCATTGCCGGATCTATGCAGTCGGATATCGCTGACCTTCGCTGCTTGGTGGTGGCGGGCAGGACGATGCTGCGGACACGGCGCAACCATCTGTGTGGGTACACTTTGTCCACGAAACACAAGAGGGCTGACAAGGGACAGCGACAGACAGCACACCTGGGCGCCTGCATAGGCTGCGCGCAATGCGCGCACGTGCTGGGAACACGCCGCGCGCGTTCTTTTCCGGATATCGAAGGGAACGGTGGCCAACGGCTACGACGGGACGTGGGGCGCTTGGTCCATGCGTTCTTTCTGCCTAGTAGCCAGCGTGTAAGGTTGCGACTTCACCGGTAGGCTGAACTAAGATCCGAGTGCGACGGTCGACTCGACAAATGCAGTGTATGCTGCCACAATGATCAATCGGTGCATTGTCCATGACGCAGGTCAAGAGCGGAAGGAATAAAAATGTGCATGCATTAATTGTTGCCGTCTTCTAATAAATAACTAAGAATACCAGGTGGAGATGGACGGCAGTGTAGGGAGCGGCGCCGCTTGTGTGAGCGACGGAAAGGTCTTGAGCGGCGAAGGTGCGCGGTCCTGCGGCGGCGCATAGTCGTACGCGTAGTAATGCGACGGCGCGTAAGCGTACTCGGTGTGTTGCTGCTGGATCGCATGATGATGTTGCTCGTACGGCTGGTAGTGCGGATGGCAGTTGATGTAGTTGATTTCGCGCACCGAGAGGTCAAACGGCTTGAGCTTCGGGAGCTCCGTGCGCGCTTCGTGCTTTGTGATGGGCTGGATCTCGGTCGCCGACGAGTGCGACGACCGGTACGGCGGGCTCGACACCATAGGCTCGTCGGGCAGCGAGCCCTCGTCGTCGTCCTCGAGGTCGATGCTGTTCGGGTTGTGCAGCAGCATGGCGAGGCGGCGGTGCTGTTTCCGGATCTGAATGTCGTACGCGGCGCGGTCTTCGCCTTCGAACATGGTCGACGCCGTCTCCATCGAGAGGATGCTCTTGCGCAGTGAGCGAATGTGGCGGTGCGGCCAGCGCGGGATACCGACGCGGCGGCACACCTTCTTCATGAGCGTCGTGCAAATGCCAAAGAGCTTGGCGACTTCGGCCAGCGGCTTCTCAAAGTGCGGGCGCAAAATGTCGATCGTAATGTGCTTGGAGAGGCTGTGGGTCGCGTTGGGACTGAGCTTCTTCTTGGACGGCGAGACCGCGAGCTTCTTTGCCGACGAGCTAATGTCCACCAAGCAGCGTGTGGACCGGGCAGCAGGTTCCATGAGGTCGTTTACAACTGTAGCGGATTGGAGAATGGAACTCCATGTCGAAGTTAAGCTCGCGCTACAAGATTGGGGAACCGCGTCCGTGACGCGCACCGACGCACAGGTCCAATTCCACTCTTTCTTATACTTTTTGCCAATCTTTTGTCACGCGACTTGTGATTGGCCATTCGCAGGAAGCGGATCCAATCACATCTACGTATGCGGTGCACGCGCCTGCGATTGGTTGCGACGATTGGCTGCGTGTATGGTCTTTGCAAGCCGATCTATCTACCATCTTGCGTCACGCGCGCAAAGGAAAATTCGCGCTTTATCACATGGAATTTATTTTAATTATTTTTGCAGAATCTGCGGTCGGGACATGGCGCTTGAACTTGCTGTCTGCATTGACGTGAAGAGGTGGACGGCGTCGGCTTTCGCGGTGCACGGGCATGAAGTTACGGGCGTGTTTCTTGGTGCCTGCGATGTGCGTAATGTGCTTGCGCGCTACGGGAAGAAGAGAGCGAGACCATCGAAATGCGCGAAAAGACAAGCCGAAGAGGCGCGCGGCTTGGACGGGCGCCAAGGGCCGCGCTCGGATGATAACCGCCGATGGAGCCTGTCTTGTAAACAGCAACTGGTTTGCTGGCTTGTTTCGCCAACACCATTACGCCGTGTGATAGACTCCAGACCGTCCGTGTCCTCGTGTGTCGCTTGGTACGTATCGGTAACGGTGCACGCAACGCATAGAGACGCCAGCCAGTAATAGCATCTGCGACGTCCCAACTGTCAACAAAGGGTCAGTTGAAGTTGCGCGTCCCGCGGCCGTGTGACCCAAGTCGAGGTGCCGAGGCACGGCAGAGTGCGACGACGCCATCATCGTCGCCAGCTATCGTCGCCCAACACCAAGTTTACGACCGACTTTTCTACTTCCCGCAAGCGTCAAGCGACGCATGGCACGTCCCTCTTTGCAACTGCAAGCTGGAGCAAAGGCGCAAAACGCACGCCTCCAGTGAGAGCGCACTAAAAATCGTAGTTTATGCACATGCATGTCGACATCTGGAGCGCGGGGATGAAACGAAAATGGCCATTTGGTCATCAAGCGCGGGCGCAGATTTCGCGGTCGTCTGTCGGTCGTCGAGTCAACGGGCGTCGTGTCAACTTCAAGCGGTGCTCACAAAAAAACGAGCAGCCGTGCCCGATGGAAACAAGGGGGCAACTGTGCGCGGGCGGCTTCTCAGACGCCGAGATTCGTGCTCAGAGTGGCTTCGCGACGCGGGCGGGAACGCCAACGGTGACACCCACGTGTGGCCTTGCCGATCCCGCACCGTTGCGCCCAGTTTGTCCAACGGCGCCGACTTGTCATGGTTCTCATTCCGAAATTGATCTTTCACGTCGTACGCGCTGTGTGCTGTGGCGGTCCACGGCGCGGGCTGCTCATGGCTTTTCGAACGCGTCACCACAACCACTATAGACGATGAAGTATGCGTCAAGAGGGCCGGAGGGACGGCTGGATGCGAGGTGGAGGCGCGCTGGGACGTAGTTGGCACAGGAAGGTGACGACTGCCACGCGGTCGTGGCGTCGGCAAGGAAAAGTCCGCGACGGCCGTGCTATGTCGGTCGCGGGCGCCGCTTCGACTCGCGCGCGTGACGCGGGTCCGCTGGCAACTTGATTCGGTTGGATGATTTTCAGCCAATCGCAGTGGCCTGTGACGCCACACTAGCGTTCTCTATAGTATAGTCCCGTTCAATCAAACAGCGCACGGCCTTCAACCGTGGCGGCGCCGGGGATACTTATTTCAAGATTCGAGATCCAACGCAAACGATGGCTGGCAAGGGCAAGCAGAGCAAGGGCAAGAAGACCGCGGCCGCCGCCGCCGTCGCCACGACGCCGATCGTCGACGACACGAGCTCGGAGACGTCCTCGGTTGACGCCAACGCCGAGCCGAATGCCGAAGCGCCCGTTGCCGACGAGGCCACCGAGGCCGTTGAAGACGAGACCGTCGAGGCGACGCCGGTCGTTGAGGAGGCTACCGTGGAGACCGCGCCTGCTGACGTGGCCGCGCCTGCTGACGTGATCGAGCCCGTGGCCGTGACGCCCACCCCTGTTGAAGTGGAGGCGGTTGAAGTGGTGGCGCCCGAGGCCCCGGTCGTCGAGGCAGTGCCGGAGCCGACCGTGTCGCTGACGCACGAAGAGACGGTGCTCACGGACACGACGCCGCGCTCGCCGCGCCACGATATTCTGGCGCTGCCCGTGGACGAGGCGACGACCATGTGGTTTTTGCATCCGTCGTACTACTATCAGAAGACGAAGGAGGTCTACACGTACACGACGAGCTTCCGCGGTGTCGGCGCGGTCGCGCACGTTGGCGAAACGAGCGTCAACTACCTCTTGAAGCACCTCAACATGAAGCAAGTGGCCACGCTCCAGGACGTGGATACGAGCCTCGCGCCGGCGCTCGCGACGATTGACGAGCAGCTCGACGAACGCGTCGCGGGCGTTCTGAAGACGCTGGTCGATGGCCAAGAATACATTTTGGCCAAGAAGGAGCAAGTCGTCGGCCGGGCCAAGGAAGTCCAGTCGGCGACCCTCGAGAAGGTGTCGGCCGTCACGACGACGGCAACGGACAAGGTGTCGAAGACGGTCGAGTCGGTCACGACGACGGTCGAGAAGACGCGCGCGAGTGTGACGCAGGTCACATCGAACGCGCTCGAGTCGGTCTCGAAGGCGAAGGACGCGACGATCGAGACGCTGACGGCGACGGCCCACTCGTTCCTCTCGTACGTGCCGCTCCTCAACAAGAAGGTGATGGCCTAGGCCAGCGACCCCTTGTCCACTCTTATGTATTTCTCCGTTGCCTTCATTGGCCGGCCACGACGGTCGGTCGATATCCGACCCGCCACTCCACCACAAAGAAGCGAAAAAACGATAACACGTGACGTGCGGTGTCAGTTCTTTGTTGATCTATTGTCCTATCTCATGGACGCGGCGTCGGAGTCCCGGTGGCATTGACAGTGTCCGTGGTGGTGGCGAACAGCAGCGCTGGCGCCGCATTGACAGCGGCCGTCGGCTGAAGGTACAGCGCAAGGGGCACGAGCATGAGGCACACGAGCGTCGCACCGCACACGGCCAAGAACGACCTCTTCCGGAGGAGGCCGCGGGGCTTGGGCGCGGCCGACGGCAGCAACCCCAAACTCAGCTCGTCGTCGGCGTCGTCGTTGCGCAGTGCGTGGCGCCCGAGCTCGTACTCGTAGTCGTCGACATCGTCGTAGCGCACGAGCATCATCTTTCTCAGACTCCGGTGCTCGCTGGCGGTCGTTGTGTCGAAAGCTTCGATAGAACCATTGGAACGGCCCAACGGCCTGTGATCTTCAACCCTCTAGAAGAACTGGCAACGGAGAAGATTTAAAAGCGCCGGCTTCCTGCAAGCAAGCATACGTGAGCTCGCACCAACCCGTCTCGCTGCGATTTTGATCTTGCCCGGGCGGAGGCTTCTTCGTTCTCGGGCGTTGGACCCGAGAACGAGGTACGTCAGACGTTCTCCCACTGTCGATGGCTGCTGACCATGGTGGCATGCTCGACAGGCTCGTGCCCTTCTCGTGACCGAGTAGCCAAGTTTGTTGAGCCTTCCATGGATTTCGGTCGCTGGAAGATCGCCGTGGGATCCAACTTCAACGTTGACGCATTGGCCCAATCGGCTGGCCCAATCAGCGATGTGGACGCGCAAGACCATGGCGCCGACGAGGCAAGCGCCAAGCTCACTCGCCAGCTGCGCCTGGTCGACTTGATTGCCATTGGCATCGGCGGTACCGTGGGCTCAGGCGTCTTTGCGACGACAGGTCTCATCATTGCGCACTCGGCCGGGCCCGCAGCGGTTGTCAGCTGGGTCGTCTTTGGGTCTTTCTCGAGGGCGGCGACAGCGACATCGATGCCCGCGAGGCGCGATCGGTGGCGCTTGGGCCAAAACACGAGGAGAGCGGAGCGCAGACGTTTGAGACCGCGCCGTGTGACCCAGCGCCCGACCGACCGACCGACCGACCGAGGAGTGTGGATTGCATCGAGGTCGACGACGTCGGGTGCTTCGGTGATGCGCGCCACGGTTCGCGTGTCGGAATCTCGTCGCAGACGCAGTACTTGTAGCCGCGGGCTTGGGCTTTGCGATACGCCGCGTCGACACCCGCATCGCTATCCTGCTCGTCGTCGTCGTCGTCCCCGTCGTCCTCGTCGTCCTAGGTGCAGACACGACCGTCGTACGCGTCCGTGTCGTCATCGTCGTCACAATCCGAGTCGCTTTGGTGCGGCCAGTCTCTGTGGTCGTACACAAGCGCCATTGGCAACTCGTCGCCGTCGCCTTCCTTCTCTGTCCCGTCATGGCGACGCTTCTTGGTCGTCTTTGTCTTGCAGAGAAAGCTCTTGTCGACGGCAGTGTCTGGAACAAGTACAGATGTCCTTCGTCCAACGGATCATTTTTCAATTCGAAGAAACGTCGCCGCTTCTTGTCCACGGCGGCGTCCAACCTCTTGTCGTCGCTGCAGAATTCGGCGTCCGACGCGTCCGTGTCTCGCTCCTTGTCGTTGCCGTCATGCGTGTCAAGAGGGACGTCCGAGTACTTGATGGTACCCTTGCCATAGCCCAACGGTGTGCGCTCTTCCTTCGGCAGCTGCACACGCGTTGGTACGGTTGACGCCATGTCGTAATGTCGAGGGCTTCTTGCCGCGCCTTGTTGCATTTGGGCGTGTGCATCTCAGTGCTCGTGAGCTGCTGCCGCGACGCTCGAACGAGCGCGACATCAAATGACCCCGCAGCGACGAGAGCAGCATCGCGACCTTGAAGCGCCTCGAACCGCAGATCGGTGGTCTTGTTGCAGAGTCATGACGCATACGTGGTGTCAAGCTGGTGGGGCTGGGCAGCGAGGGCCGCGAGCTCGCTGGCGGCGGAAGACGTGGATGCCGGACCTCTCCGATGCGGCTCGCCGTCGCTCGTCACCAAGTTGTACACGAGGTAGGCGCGGTTGCCGGGCGCTGTGATCGGCGCCACAGCGAGGCTGCAGTCGTTGTACCACACGGCGAAGCTCATGGTCATACTTTTATGCGTCCACGCAATGTCGTCCTGGCCCGTAATGGTGATGCGCCGGGCGCACGGCGACGTCCCGAACGTACCCCGGGGCACATGCGACGGCGTGAGCACGGGCGATAGATGCAGCACGGGGGGTCGACACGTAGGCTTGAGGACGCTCGTGACGATGTGCAGCGTCCAGCCGTCAAGGTAGCGCGCCCACGCGTGCTCGCCTTGGACAAAGTAGATGTGCTCCTTGGGCACGACCAGCGGCGCGGCGCCAAAGCTGGTGATGACCGAAGCTGGCTGCTTGACCGGCACCAGATCCGGCGACGGCTTGTGGCCTTGCGAACTGTCGACGCCAAGCTTGGGCGTGCCAATATCAGATAGCTCGCCCGTTAGAGCGCACTTGCCAGCAATCTTGACCGTGCTTTCGAGGCTCTGGATGACCTGCAGGTATGTTGTCGACATGGACGTCGCCGCCTTGGTGCCACCCATCGACGTCAAGGCGAAGTGGCGGTTTCTGGTTTTGATGCGCACCAACCAGTGGCGTGGTCAGTCGCTGCTTCAGATCGCGGCGCGTTGATCGTTGGCTTGGAGGCAACTGATGACGAGAGAGAGGCCGCCGCTGACGAGCGGGCTGAGGATCGGACTGACAAGGCGATGTGCTCGAGGCCACGGCCCGCAATTCCAGATACATCGCCAATCGAATCACCGCGCGAGAGCGAGGATCCCATGAGTCTCATGGAGTACTAGTATACTGACAAGACGAACACGCATGGCGGCAAGAACCTTGTAGTAAATCACAGCGGCGCAAATACTTCTGTAATGGGATCTAGCGTGGTGTAATAATAGAGAGATTTCGCAACTGACTTCCCGTTTCCATCTGCGTTTTATTTTATGTGGAGGGAGACGGGACGCAAAAAGTAAAAATTGTGATTTCGCACAGGACATCCTGTCTCCGTCGGCATTCGAATGCAGACGAAGACGGGAGCTACATCAACCTTGATTTCGCAAAAAATTCAGAAGAATTCCATCCTCGTCTGGTCTTGTGCTACTGCTGCGATAGCCTAACCTAATCATAAACGATGTTGTCGTCCCGCGAGCTTGCGGTGCTGCTTCGCCGCAGTCGCCGGATGTCTCGTCACCGCCGCCGTCAGTTCCTCGAGCTGCTCCTCTCGGTAATTGAGCGGCCGTTGGTTCCGGACACGCGCCTCGACCTCGACTCGATGAACGACGCCGATGCAATCCTGCATT